AGTATGTAGCTCCTTATAAAAATGAGTTGATTGTGTAATAAGTGAATAAAATTTTATCACCTGGAATATTCATAATGTTTATTTTTTTTGTAACTCCTGTCATTCCTACCAAAGCGTTATACTATAAATCATAATAGATATTTGTATTATTTTGTCTATAATCAAAATATTCTATTAATTAAAAAAAGTCATTTCTTTAAAAAAAGTTTAATGTAGATTCATATAGGCATATGATTAGCTACTCTTTTACATTAATAATTGGTATATTTTATGATGAATTCGGGTATTATAATTAATTAAACTAATATTTAATTTAATAAAAAATAAATTTTAAATAAAATATAATGTACTATAAATGCTCATTATTTAAATCATTCCCAAAGAATCTTTTTTCCCAAAAAAAGTGAAATAAAAAAAAATTAAAGAAAAAAATGTCTTAATTAACGAGCATTCACAGTATATAATCAATTATTTTTTGATTACCAAATTAAATAGTTCTAAATCTTCTTATCCAGTAAGTAAATTAATAAATCGAACAAGTGGAGAATAAATTATTAATATGTTTTCACTACATTTCAAAACAAATTTAAGTTATAAAGCAATCAAATAGTTTAAATAGAAAAATTGTGTGTCTACTTATAATGAAGCTTTTTCTTAAATCTATTTAATTTAATAGAAATTTAAAATAATAAAATCTTAAAATTAAAATTACTTTAATTATATATAGATTTTATTACTAGGTCATGGCAACGACTATCTATTATTCAAAACAATATTAGTATTCTATTATATTTGAGTCTAATAAAGCAATTTATTCATTTGTAATATTATTTTTTTTATTATAAAGATAAATAGTTGAACCACTCACGTATATAAAACTAAGATTATTCCAATCAACTAACTTGATTGTTAAATCGAACTTAGCATTAAAATTTACTTAGCTGACCAATTTAATGCTTTTTATAATATCATAAATCTAAACACATTAGCAACTGCTGTCATGTAATGCTATTAAATTTTATCCTTCTTCAAAATAAAGATCTTAAAGAATTTAACTTTAAGTGAAATTTAATACTTAAAAAGGCATATTTAGTAAGTTTTTATACCAATAAACTCCATTTACTGATTAGAATATGTGTAATTATGTATCATCTGTATAAATTTAACCAATGAATATAGTATCATCCTCTTATTAAGTGTTTAAAATAATCATATTTTCAGTATCAATTATTTTTCCTGATTATTATACATAAAAAGTGCTTAACTTGTTAAAATTTATTATCTGATTTAGATTAGAAACTTTATATGACTCGGCTTCTAAAACTTAGAATTTTTTCAACTCCATATCAAATTTATAAAAATTGGTTGAATCATAATAAAATACATATCTCTCAGTTTAAAAAGAATTATATTATATTGATTATGAATTGGGAAATTAAATTCCTATATTTAGTTTTGTTTGAATTTATAAATCGTATGAACATATTAATATAATTCCATTATAAAATAAAAAAATTTCCTTTGTTTTTTGATAAATAAAGGTAGGGTTTCTTATAGGAAAAATTTCAAGTTAAGTAGGTTCCATTATAAAATTTTATGCTCTCAAAGAAAAAGGTTAGCAAATAGCCTATTAATAAATATCACAAAAGTAGATAATATCATCATCAAATATAATAGGATATATTTCATCGCCATAAATAGTCCAAAACCAAACCAAATAATTATCATTAAAATTATAGATTTAGTTAGATATGAGAGTAGTTAAATCTAATAAGTATAATATTAATTCATATTAATCATTTGAAGATTAATAAAGCAGGTAGTCTTCATTGATTATTATATAACTTTCGAGAGAGAAAAATTGAGTTTAATCACTGCTAATTAACTCTTATGAATTACTAAGATTAAAAATTTATGGAATGTTAGAAATAAATAAAAGATTTTTATTTTAAAGATAAACAAAATCTGTCTATTAATAAAAATAAATACTATAATTATAAGATATTATCTCCTTTCCTTAATCAAGATCAATTATAAAACCATATATTTTGTAATGTATAAATTATTAAATTAAAATATATTAGTTACTTATTTAACTAACAAAGTTGTAAGTTTAAGGAATAATGCCATCATTTTATTAAAAATAAAGACTTTTAGTATTAATCGCAGGAGTTTTTTAAAAGTTATATACAGATTCTTATATTGCTAAATACCCTATTGTACAATTTACAAATGATTGATGACTATCATAAATAAAAAATTTATTCTCATTACTTTTATCAAAAAGAATATCAGATAATTAATTTTATTTGAAAATTGGATTATCTTTATAATAAAAAGTACCAAATTAATAAGGATTTAAGTATTAAATCTTAAATGTATAATCTGTCAGATTATATCTTAATCTAACTTATTGTTAATTTGAATTGAATTCTGAAAGAATTTGAGTTACGAAGACATCCATTATTTTTGAATCCATATTAATTATTAAATTAGTAATCTTAGATATTTTAGATATAAAAGATTAATCTAAAGGTTTGAAATAATTTACATAATTTTAAGCTTAACCTTAATTATAAAAAATTAAGTAACTTGTTAAATTCATTATCTAGAAACTGTCAGAAAATATAAAAGCCATAGTTGAGTTTGATATGACATCTTCAAAAATTTGAAATTAATTTATTTATGATTAAGTTAAATTTAATGTTGAAATTATTTCATCAGACTATTAGCTTAGAAGGAGCATTTCTAAATGAAAACTATCACTATTTTGTACAACAATACAATTAAGAATATTCGAATAATAAAATGGTAAAATTTATGGTTAAATTAAAGTTTCACATTGAAATTTTTTTATAACTTAAACTAAAGCTATTAAATCTTATTTAATATCTATTTTTATAACTTCACAATCGTATTTAGTAGAAATCAAAATAAAGAAATCATTGTATTATTTTATTTCTACAAATTAATAACCATCTAAGTTCAATTAGTTTATACTTTATAATGTTAACTATCTTTATTCATCCAAAACTCCTATCTTTTTAAAAAAATTGATTAAGTAATATGAATTTATTATATTGCTATCTTGAATAATTATTTCTCTAGTAGGTTATAATATTTTTTTAATTAAAAAACAAAAAAATATATCCGTTTAGTTTCGAACTTGAATAAAGAAAAATAATAAAATATTTTTTTATCAAAAAAATTATTTTTTACTTATTTTTTTCTATTAATATTTAAGAAAATTGTTTCAAGTCTTTTTTAATTTTATTAAATTAATTTTTATTGTTTTAATAAATATATATTTCCTACTCAAGAAATATTTATCAGAGAATAGCTAGCAATAAATAATATTTGAAATTTACTTAAAGTGAAGAATCTTCTCTTTACACATAATAAGTTGTGATATTATTAACATGAGTTTAAAAAAAAAGAGAAATTCTTTAATAGCCTATCTGATATTAGCTTAATCTCTTGTTAATAGCATCATACACTAAAAGAGTATCAGATTAGTAGGATTTTAGAAAAATAATTTAGTTTTTTTAATCTACATAATTAACAATATAATCAAAATTTGTTTTACTCTCAAATACTACTTCAAATGTCTACAAATTCATCACTAATAATCTGCTGCCTGCAATACATCCTCCTTAATTTCCAACAACAAAACTTTCTTAAGTTAATTCATTTCCATTGTAAGTATATATTTATTCATAGTTTGTTATATTTTAAAGGATTTGTGTATTAATTACCTTCCAATTATTATCTAATAGAGCAAAAGTACAAGCATTTCCTACAATTATATATTGATCCTCATTAATTGGTTATATTTATATAACCCTCTAAGTGAAAGAAAGATTTTAGCTTTCTTGAATTTAAATACACTTTACAGTTTCTTCGCAAATTTATGCTTCCATGTTTTAATAGAAGCTTTATGGACATTGATTATTACATTATTTGAGGTTTGATGGTCCCTAAATAAAGTTTGTTAAAAAAGGGCAAACATTATTCATTAAAATGCATTGATTATTAGCTTTATCTAGCTTAAAGTTTTATTCACATTAATCACATATTTGGTTTGTATTACATTTAACACATCCATAGATTTAGCATTTCACACATTCAAAATTTTCATTTAAAAATTCATTTTTTGAACATTTTTGTACACAAGTAGAACTATCATCAGAGCTCTTAAATAGCCTATCACCACAATTAATACACGCAGAATCGCTAGTATTAAAGCAACTGCTGCATAAATCTGAACACTGAAGGCAAGATTAATCTATCAAAGAGTAAATTTAATTTGACTTACAAATATTACAAATACTTATTTTAATTGCACACAAGAAAATTATGATTATTATTTTGTAATTCATTCTTTTCAATTTTATAGATGTTTTAAATTTTCCAGTTGTTTTAATTTTTTTCTTTATTATTAATTACATTCAAAAAGTAATTAATTGTATTCAAATTTATAATGTGCTAATCTCAATAGACTTACCTACATAAGAATTCATGTTATATAATAGCAATCAGTTAATTAATTTAAATATGAATTAATCATTTAAATAATCAAATTCTGTGTTTTATTATATTTATACTGGGTGTTTTTTTAAGAGAGGGGGGATTCTGTTTTATAGAGTCTTAGCTTATAAAGTCTATTTTAGGTTTATCCTCAGCATGAAATTTTTAAAATAAGCAAAATTTAAATTAGATCCCCTTTATAATAACACTAGACTCATGCATATTAGTTTAGACAAAAAAAGATTTTGAGAAATATTTTTATAAAAATAAAAAAAGAAAAGTAAATTTTTATTTTGGAATTTTATTCTTTAAACAGAAATGTGCTAATATTAGAAAAAATATTTAAGTAATACAACAAATAAAATATATATTAAATAGTTATTGAAGCTTTAAAATTTATAATCAACAATTTATATAAATAAATATATCTAGAATTTATTTAAAATTAATAGAAATTATAAGATTTTTAATATTCAACTTTTATCTAGAGTGAGCTGAATTTAAAATCTATGACTACTACTTTATTGAGTATTTTATATGGACCTTTCAGTTTCTTAAATAATACTATCCTTTGTATTGCTATTAAATAAGCTTTGCTTATCGAATATTCTATCTTTTAAAGCTATTTTAATATAAAAAAAATTATATTACTTTTTCTTAAGAAAGAAAAGAAAATTACATATTGAGTTTGATTTAGAATTTCTTGTGTAGTAAGACCATTTATTTTTCATTCTTTTAATAGAGTTATTTTTTTATACTTTTTCATCATTTATTTCAGATGAAATTATTAAACGCGCTTACGGTGAAGAGGGTGAAGAATCAAAGTCCTAAGTATTTTTAAAATCTAATTTAAGTTTCTAATGCTATGAGAATAGTATATCATTTTTTTAAAATGATTTCATCAATTATTTTATTTTTTGCTTTACTTTTTTAAACTTGAGTAAAGAACTTATCTTTTAATTATTTTATATTTCCACATAAAGCAATTAAGGATATTTTATTTTAATTTTAAGTATTAAATTTTAGAAACATGTTCTTTACTCTTATTGATTAGAAATTTTTAGTCTTACCAATCCTGTTACTAAAGTAGTTATAAAAACAAAGTTAAGAAGCATAATCATAGCTAACCAAAATGTTTAATACATTAAATCATTTTAATCACCTACTATCTGTATCATACAAAAGTTTATTGATATTGCTAATATTAGAGTAGATATTTGCTGTAAACTGTTAAAATATTTATTTAAATAAGGTTGCGATTTAAATATTAAAAAAAATTAGATCATCAAGCAAAGATTCGTAATAGCAACCTATTATTTTTTAATGGTAGAATTAATTAATTAGAATTTGTGTATGATTAAATAATAAAATTAATTTGAAGGTATTAAGTTACCTATTTACATTTTATAATATTTCAAATAATTCCTTAAAAATTGATAATTATTGAAAATTTTATTAACAATAGATAAAAATTTGAAAGTTTTATTAAATTTATTATTTGAAATCTAAATTAAAAATATTATATTACCTTTAATTAGATTTTTTGTTGCAATAAAACAGATATTAAAATCAAACTTGTTTTATAAGACAATTTCCAAAACTCCCAGTAATAGTATTGTTTTTTATAGCCAGCAAATAAGAAAGAATATTTTATTTATTTAATAATTGACTTTTTTTTCGATTTAGCATCATAAATTTTATAGAATAGTAATAAAGGTATTAAAATACACCATATAAAAATAACAGGAATAGTAAAAAAAAATATGTACGGCTTATGATAATGTTTATCATAGCATTCAACTCCAAAATCTAGATCTAAATATTTTTTATCTCCTATCATTATACAATTAATAGATCTAATAGCAAGAGTAATTATCATAGGGTAAAAGTAAAAATAAATAAAAATAGCTGCAGTTTATAAATACCTGATAAATAAATCTATTTTTAATCGCTTTAAAATAAATGCTTAAACTAAGTAAAAAATAAAGATTCCTGCTGGTAAAGTAAATGACCAAAGAAATTAGAATAACCACAAAGGTTGTAAATTTGGGTGTTTAGAAAAAATGCAATCAATAGACTTACTAGCCACACTAACTGAATTTCCTGATAGTTAAATAGGAACAGTAAAAAAAACAGGCATTTCAGTAGTAAATGTGCATACTAATGATAATATTTATAAATGATCGGTGAGGATTTTTGAAATAATTTATGATCTGTCTGATTAGTTTACTTTTTATATAAAAAAAATTTTTTTAATTGTTTAAATGGAATAATTTATTTCTTACATGTTGATCCTAAAAAAATAATTTCTAGTTTATTTAAATAATATCCTTTAACTTTAACTTCTAGCTACATTATAATTCTTCTTAGAATTATAAATATGTAAAGAGAAATCATTAAGTATGCAAATAAATTATAGAGAAGAATTTTATAAACATTTTCTTCGCATTTATAACATTTTCCATGACTATAAATTTCAGAATATCTACTTCCCCAAATATCACCGTATGTATCACACTAATAGCATAGAGGACCTTTATATCCTTCAATGCAGTAAAACTTTATTTAATTTTATTTAATATATTTTTAAATTTAAATATTTAATTTTAGTAGACTAATTTTTAATAAATGAATTATTTTGTTAAAAATTTAAAATTAAAGAACAATATATTTTAAATTAAATATTATTTAGATATTTAAATTTACTTTAGAAGAAGAAAGCTCAGGTTAGCATGGTAGAGGGTTAAAACTGCAGTAAATAATATTGTCAGTATTTTCATCTTCTCTCCAATAACTATTTTTTAATTAGATATTAGAACCTATACATTTTACAGCTGAATCAGGGCATTGTCTACACTCTTGATCATTTAAACTTAAAGAATATTTACCATCAGGGCATAATTCACAAGCTATTGAGTCACCATATGATTTAAATATTTCTCCTATTGAGCACTAATCTAATTGTATATTCAATTATAATTCTATTTAACCTGAGTTTACCATAATATTTCCTTTTTAATCTGTTAGTGAAGGAAATGAATTGCTAACAATTTTTAGTACTAACTCAGAAATAGGCTTGTAAAAAATCTGAAAATCTAAATTAAAGCCCCCATTTGTAAATTATTTTGATTAAAGTTATCCAATGCATTGTATTTATTTGTTTTCTTAATTCCATTAAACAGAAACACTTATTTGTTGGACTAAATTTTAAACATCACTACTTAATAATTAAAAATTAGTTGAGTTAACATCTATAAATCTAATTGGATTATTTTCTTCATCAAGCAATTGTATTTGTTCAAAATTTATTGAATCTCCACTTTTAATTTTTTTAATAAATATAACTTTATTTTCATAAAGCTTTACACTGTTTTTGGGAATTTTTATGTTTTCTAAATTAACAAATACACTCCTTAAAGTAGAACCAAAATTCTATCCGTAAATATTTGCTAGATTATCTTTAAAAGTATTATTATTTTTATTGCCTTATTACAGATCAATTAAAAAATCTGGCATAACCACATCATAAAATATTCCTCCACCAATTTATGCTTAATTTGAAGCAATAACTGAATTTTACATGATCAAATTACTATTTTAGAGATAAATTGAACCACCTGAAGAATATTCTGATTTATTTTCTATTAATTAAGTTTAATTTATTTTTAAAACTCCTTTTTTAATAGTATTAGTCATATAAATAGCTCCACCATTTTTTAACTTACAAGTATTAAGCTAAAAAATAGAATTTTATATTATTATTTCTATGTTATCAAGTACGTGAATAACACCTCCAGGACCATTAATGTTTGTATTGTTTGTAAAATGACTCTCTGTAATAGTAACTGTTTAGCAATCTTATATCGTAAATATAGAATAATATTAGCTATTTACATTAACTACATCTTTTATTAGTAAATTTTTTAATTCAATATTAGACAATTAATTTAAATGGATTAAGGGATTATCATTAAGAATAGAAGAATTCATAAATTTTGCTTTAGAAATAAGAGCATATCCTTCACTGTTTTATTGATTCATAGAAAGGAACTAAATTTAATTGTTATTTTAATTGATATTTTCTATTTATGAATTATTAAAACTTATTATATTTATAAAACTAATATCTAATTTCGAAAACAAATATTTTATATTCTAAATATTTAAATCAGCAATATTAATTTAATTAGCTTGAATAGTGAAAACAGTTTATGAAACTTAGAGAAGATCAATATTTATTTGAGAAACTTCAAAGTTATTAGTTTTAAAAGAAAATTTAGTGTCTACACAATCAAATATCTCAATATCCTTTAAAATAGCAGAATCACTTAGATACTAAAATGTTTTAATATCATATTCTTTTATTTAAATTATTTCATTGTTTGTTGAGTATTTGAGTTAAATAGTTTAAATATTTGATGTAATTGCTCTTTATATAAAATAAATTGTAGAATGATATATTTAAACTATTGAAGTATTCACAATTTTAAGATCATTTATTTACCATAATTCAAATACATTGTATAAATATTAGCAATTTGTAACATTAACATTTGAGATATTTACCATTTGACTTTAACCTATCTAAAAAATATTACTTGAGTTCGAATTAGAAAGATAAACGTTGTTAATTAAAACATTTGTATTGTTATTTAAAACAAATATAAAATCATCATGCTTTTTTATATTTTACAGTATTAATTAATCAATGATAACTAATTCACAGTTTGAGATTTAAATTTAGCTAAAACTTACTAAATTAAATGAACACTTATTATAAATAAACCTTTTTAAAATTTTATAAATTTAATGATTCATTTAAATTTAAAGAAACATTCAGCATTTAAAAATTTTCCATGTTTCCATTTAAATTTAAATTTATTTGAGTTTCTAGAGAAAGAGACATTTATTTTAAAAATAAATTGAAAACTTGTTTAGAAAATTGAATATCATTTATCCATTTGATTTAATTTTCATATTTAGATTATAACCTTAAGCTTAATTTGTGTGTTTCATCTCTATTTTAGTCTTGTAAGTTAATGTCAATTTATTCAATAGATTACCCATCTTGATATTCTATTTCTATTATTGAAAGTATTTATTAAGTGGTTTAAATAGATTAAGTAATATCATTAATGATTGTTTTTGAATAAATATTTTCAGATGTTCTTTTCTATTGTTGAATTTAAACAGAGCATAATTTATTTGTTGATAAGGGTAATACAATTTAAGTTATATTTTAGTAATTAGAAACCAATAAAGATGAATATCTTTGGTTGTTAGAATCAATGATTAGCTAAAAGTTTTATAAAAATGCATTTTTTATTTCGTATTCATAGATATTTGAGTATGTGTTGTTATATTTCAGTTATATTATGGATAATTTATTTTTTTAAATAATAATAAAATAGTTATTATAATTTATATTTATTAAATTATTTGCTTCTGAAACTCCTGTATTTAATGTAGGAAATTATTGTTCAAAGCTTATTCTATTGTACACAATTATATCATTTGGGCAAATAGAATATATAAAATTTTAATCGAAGGATATAATTGCTTACTTCAAGCAAGGATTTTTAATTGTAGTAATAAAATCTAAAGTATAGCTAAATATATTAGTATTTGCCTCATTACTAACAATATAAATGAGCTATTTGATAGGATCATTTACAACATTCATTATTTACCAATTAACTATATTTTTTTAATAAGTGAACTCTTTCTTAAGCAAATCTAAAATTAATATTGTATTTTAATTATCTTACTTTTGTAATATAAAAATATCTTTTGTTATATTTTCTTCATTAACCCAATCATATGTATTAAATCTTTTATTATCCTCAAAAGGAATTTTCCACCAATTATTTTCTAGTGAATTAGCTTACTTTACCTATAATTTAAAAGCTAATTTTATTTTACCTTCACTAGGTAAAGAAATATTCTATATTTAGTTAGATTTAATATTGTATATTTATATAAAGTTATTACTTGGAAGGATAATATAATTACTGCATATGAATGCATTTGATATATCACCTTATTAAAAATTAGTTAATAATATTTCTCCTAAACTAAGTATTTTGGTATTTAAACTATTTAACTAAAAGCCTGATTTGTACAGTAAAAATATTTAATTTGAGCTTGAATCGTAAAAGAAGTTATCAGGTGTACTTTTTAATTAAATTCTAGATACTAACTCTAAAGAATTATATTCGAGGTTTACTTAAATTAGATTTAAATAATTAAATGTAAAATAAATAAATTGATTTTCTTATATCAAAATAGGCTCAGTTAAATATGGATAAATATTCTACTGAGAGATTTCGAATAACAATGAGTCAACAAGCTTTGCTTTATAAAATAGATTGAGTGAGAGATTGGAAATACTATAATAAACTTAATATTCTTCATTTAGATAAACATTCTAAACATTTTAATACTATAATAGGTTTACTTCTGATTAGTAAAGAACTTCAGTAAGATCAAACGCAATAAAAGCTGTATTTGTTTAAACTATTAGCACTTAAATAAGCTAATTTATGTAAATAGCTAAGATATTTGATTGGTTATACTATTATAATGAAAACATCTCAATAAGTTACATTTCTGGAAAACTCAAAGCAGAAATAAATTAGTATGAATATAAGAAAATGATATTTTTATTTTAATCCATTTAAATACCTTATGTATCTTGAACAATTGTATTAAATGTTGTTATATTTCTTGTTACATAGTTACATAAGTATATTATAGGAGTTGTATCAATTAATATTATACTTGTTTTATCCTCAAAATAGTATATTGCTCCTTATAAAAATGAGTTGATTGTGTAATAAGTGAATAAAATTGTATCACCTGGAATATTCATAATGTTTATTTTTTTTGTAACTCCAGTCACTCCTACTAAAGCGTTATACTATAAATCATAATAGATATTTGTATTATTTTGTCTATAATCAAAATAATCTATGTAAAATAAAAAGTCTTTTCTTTAAAAAAAGTTTATTGAAGAGGTATATATGATTAGCTACTCTTTTACATTAATAATAGGTATATTTTATGATTCATTTGAGTAATTTATCTAATTAAACTAAGATTTAATTATATAAAAAATAAATTTTAAATAAAATATAATATAAAAAATAAATTATTTTTTTATTACATAATTAAATGGTTCTAAATCTTCTTATCCAGTAAGTAAATTAATAATTCGAGCAAGTGGAGAATAAATTATTAATATGTTTTCACTACATTTCAAAACAAATTTAAGTTATAAAGCAATCTGAAAGTTTAAAATGTTAAATTGTGTGTCTACTTATAATGAAGCTTTTTCTTAAATCTATTTAATTTAATAGAAATTTAAAATAATAAAATCTTAAAATTAAAATTACTTTAATTATATATAGATTTGATTACTAGGTCATGGCAACGACTATCTATTGTTCAAAACAATATTAGTATTCTATTATATTTGAGTCTAATAGAGCAATTTATTCATTAATAATATTATTATTTTGATTATAAAGATAAATAGTTGAACCACTCATGTATATAAAACTAAGATTATTCCAATCAACTAACTTGATTGTTAAATCGTACTTAGCATTAAAATTTACTTAGCTGACCAATTTAATGCTTTTTATAATATCATAAATCTAAACACATTAGCAACTGCTGTCATATAATGATATTAAATTTTATCCTTTATCAAAATAAAGATCTTAAAGTATTTAACTTGAAGTTAAATTTAATACTTAAAAAGGCATATTGAATAAGTTTTTATACCAATAAACTCCATTTACTGATTAGAATATGTGTAATTATGTATCGTCTGTATAAATTTAGCCAATGAATTTGCTATCATCCTCTTATTATGAGTTTAAAGTAATCATATTTTCAGTATCAATTATTTTTCCTGATTATTTTACATAAAAAGTGCTATTTAACTTGTAAAAAAATATTATCTGCATTTGATTAAAAACTTTTAAAGATTCGGCTTATAAAACTTAGAATTTTTTCAACTCCATATCAAATTTATAAAAATTGGTTGAATCATAATAAAATACATATCTCTCAGTTTAAAAAATATTTTATTAAAAAGAAATTTAATTAGAAGGAAATTAAATTCCTAGATTTAGCTTTGTCTGAATTTACAAATCTTATGAGCATATTAATATATTTCCATTATAAAATAAAAAAATTTCCTTAGTTTTTTGATAAATAAAGGTAGGGTTTTTAATAGGAAATAGTTAAAGTTAAGTAGGTTCCATTATAAAATTTTATGCTCTCAGAGAAAAAGACTAGCAAATAGGCAATTACTAAATATTACAAAAGTAGATAATATCATTATCAAATGTAAGAGGGTATATTTAACTGTCACCAATAGTCCAAAATATATTTATTTAAATATGATGAAAATTAAATATTTATGTAGATGAGAAGGTAGTTAAATCTAATAAGTATAATAATAATTCATTTTAATTATTTGAAGATTAATACACCAGATAGTCTTCATTAATTATTATATAACTTGAGAGAGAGAAAAATTAAGTTTAATCACTGCTAATAAGCTCTTATTAATTATTAAGATTAAATATCTATGGAATGTTTTAGACCAATAAAAAATTTTTATTTTCAAGATAAACAAAATTTGTCTATTATTAATTATAACTATAATTATATGATATTATCTATTTTTCTTATTCAATATCAATTATATAATCATAAACAGTCTAATTTGTAGATTATTAAAGTAAAATATATTTACTACTTATTTAACTGATAAAGTTATAAGTTTGTTAACAAGTGCCCATATTTTATTTAAAATTAATACTTTTAGTATTAATCGCAGGAGTTTTTTAAAAGTTATTTATAGATTCTTATATTGCTAAATACTCTATTGTACAATTTACAAATGATTGATGACTATCATAAATAAAAAATGAATTTTCATTACTTTTATCCAAATTAGTAACAACAAATTAATTTTAACTTAAAAGGCTATTTTAATCATAATAAAATGTACCAAATTAATAAGGATTTAAATATTAAATCTTAAATGTATAATCTGTCAGATTATATCTTAATCTAATTTATTATTATTAAGCATTGTACTGAGAAAGAATTTGAGTAACGAAGACATCCATTATTTTTGAATCCATATTAATTATTATATTTGTTATTTCTGATATTTTAGATATAAAAGATTAATCTAAAGGTTTGAAATAATTTACATAATTTTAAGCTTAACCTTAATTATAAGAAACTAAATAACTAGTTAGATTCATTATTTAGAGTTTTTCAGAAAATATAAAAGCCATAGTTGAGTTTGATATGACATCTTCAAAAATTTGAAATTAATTTATTTATGATTAAGTTAAATTTATTGTTGGAATTATTTCATCAGACTATTAACTTAGAAGGAGCATTTCTAAATGAAAACTAACACTATTTTATACAACAATACAATTAAGGATATTTGAATAATAAATTGGCAAGTTTTATGTGTTTTGATATCCTTTAAATTCAAATTGTTTTATAACTTAAACTAAAGCTATTAAATCTTATTTAATATCAATTTTTAACACTTAAAAATTGGTATTTTCTGTAGTAGAAGTCAAAATAAAGAAATCATTGTATTATTTTAAATCTAGTAACTTATGATTATCCAAATTCAATGAGTTAATACTATGTAATATTAACTATCTTTATTCATCCAACATTCCTATCTATTTTAAAAAATTAATTAATTAATTAATATGAATTTAATTCTTGAATAATTATTTTTGGAGTAGGGGATATATATTTAATAGAGTAATTAATATTATTTAATAAATTAAAAAATAAAAAAAGGTAACCAATAGGTTTTGAACCTGAATAAAAAAAAATAAAATAAAAAGTATTTAATCAAAGATTTAATTTTTTGATGAAGAAATCTAAATTTTTTCTATTAAATATATATTTCCTACTCAAGAAATATTTATCCTTCAATAATATTTGAAATTTACTTAAAGCGATAAGTCTTCAATTTATATTAAGTAATTTGTGGTATTATTGCTTTGAATTTAAAAAATTTAAGTAATTTTTGAATAGCCTATTTGATATGAGCTTAATCTCTTGTTAATAACATCATACCATAAAAGAGTATCAATATAATTTGATTGTAAAAAAATAATTCCGTTTTTTTAATCTACATAAACAACAATATAATCAAAATCAATATTACTCTCAAATACAATTTCAAATGTTTAAAAATTCATAACCAATAATTTGCTACCTGCAAGGCATCCTCCTTAATTTCCAATAACAAAACTCTCTTTAGTTATTTCATTTCCATTATTAGTATATATATAATCATAGTCTGTTATATTTTAAAGGATTTATATATTAATAACCTTCCAGTTATTATCTAATAGAGCAAAAGTGCAAGCATTTCCTACAACTAGATATTGATCCTCGTTAATTGGTTATACTTCTATAACCCTCTAAGTGAAAGAAAGCTTTTAGCTTTCTTCAATTTAAATACATTTCACAGTCTCTTCACAAATTTGTGCTTCCATATTTTGATAAAAGCTTTAAGGACATTCATTATTGCATTATTTGAGGTTTGATGGTCCAGAAATAAAGTCTATTAAAAATGGGCAAACATTATTCATTAAAATGCATTGATTATTAGCTATATCCAGTTTAAAGTTTTGATCGCATTAGTCACATATTTAGTTTGTATTACATCTAACACATCCGTAGATTTAGCATTTCACACATTCTAAATTTTCATTTAAAAATTCATCTTTTGAACATTTTTGTACGCATGTAGAACTATCATCAGAGCTCTTAAATAGGCTATCCTTACAAGTAATACATGCAGATTCGCTAGTATTATAGCAACTGCTACATGAATCTGAACATTAAAGACAAGATTAAGCTATCAATGAGTAAATTTAATTTGACTTACAAATATTACAAAAACATATTTTAATTGAGCACAAAAAAATTATGCTAATTATTTTGTAATTCATTCTTTTCGATTTTGCAGATTTTTTCAATTTTACAGTTGTTTTAATTTTTTTTCTTAATAACTAATTAATTACATACAAATAGTAATTAATTATTCAAATTTGTAATGTGTTAATCTCAATAGCATTATCTACATAATAAATAACTCTTGTGATAAAATTGTAATAATATACTATCAATCCTCATTAATTAACACCAACCCCCCGCCTCCAAATTTTTACCCTCTGAATGGGTCATGCTATTCAATATCATTCTAAAAAAATTTGTTTCTTGGGTGTTAATTAATGAGGATTGATAGTAATCTATTTAAATAAAAATTAATCATTTGAATAATCAACGTCTGTGTTTTATTTTATTTATAGTAGGCGTTTTTTAAGAGAGGGGAAATCTGTTTTGTAAAGTCTTAGTTTATGAAGATTATTTTAGGTTTGAGGATATTTTGTTCTAAAATAATAAAAATTTATTTATTTAAAATGATTTATTTATATTATATAATATTAATCATCTGATGCCTGATATCTGATAATAGCTATTATTCAATTTTAATATTTTTTATAGAATTAAAATGGTATTGTGTGTGTAATAATGTTTAATAGAAAAATTACTAATCAATTAATTCAAAAATTATAAAATATTTTTGATGAATTATTTTTTTTATTTTTGAAAAGTAGAATCAAGTGTTGAAAAAAATAAATAAAATTAAACCATAAAATACTTAACAGCTATAAATGCAGTTTTAACCTAAATTTAAAATAATTAAATAAAAATAAAATTAAAAATTTGATATTTAAATAAAACTCATCTTCAAGTTAAGATCATTGATATTTTAAGAAAGGTAGGGGACTTTAATGAATCAAAAATTATTGAGTGAGATTTGCTAATCAATGCTTAATTTCATACAGCATAGAATAAATATAAGGGAACTAAATGCATATTTAATAAAATAATAAAGAAGAAATAAAAAGTGATGAGTATAAATGGAAAGTAAAGCAAATAACTAAACAAACATGTTTATTAAAAAGTTTAAAATTAAATTTGATGTGTTAATTCTGAGATACAGATTTATAATACATTAGTATTATTGCGCCGGGTAAGAATGACCTTTCATTAAAATGCGAAGGAAATTCTATTTATTTGCAAGTAGGAGATGGATCAATAGATAGATCAAATCAAATTAATCCTAGATTTATGTTTTAAGGTATTATAATAAATTTTAAAGATTCAGTCACAGCTAGCTAGCTATAACTATGAATGAAAGTATAAAGAGTATAAGATTATACATATATTAAAAAAAGGTTATGGTTAGTATTTTTATCTCTTTTTACGGACAAAACTGTTTAAAGCGATATAAAGCAAAAAATCAAGCAATCAAATTTTACAATCTAAAAAAAGGAAAGATAAAGAAAATTATTCCTTAGAAATAATAATTATAATAATAAAAAGAAAAAACAAATTTGCAAGAAATAACAAAGTGCTTTTGTAAACAAATCTAAACACCAAGCAATTAAAAGTGATTACATAAATGACTGATCATAAGAAATTCGGTATTTATTTATTTATTTTCACTCCTTTTTCAATTATTTTGCTGCTTATTAAAATATTTTTCTAACCTTCTTCTTTTAAAAATATTTAGATAGCGTTGAAATTCAATAGTAGCTTAAAAATAAGGTAGAGTATAATTTAATTTTAAAGCATGCAATCAAGGTGGTTTAAAGCAGTCGACCTTTTATTAAAATTTGAAGGATGCTGAGTAGCTAGCTTAAAAGCAAGCTTGCGAAACTACCACCTTTTGAAATGCTATCAAATTTAGCACTTTTTAAAAAAAATAGTCACTTAATAATTTATCTTCTACAATTCTTTTTTTGGTTAAAATAAATAGTTGGAAGACCTTTTCAGAAGAGAAAATTTAGAAAAGGATGTCTACTTTATTGCCAGAATGAATGACAAGATGGAAATACCCTTACAAATCGTTTATCAATAAAAGGAAATCTATAAAATTTGTCCTAATGGACGTTATGTTTTGCAAGCTTTGAAGACCTGCGAAAATATTATTGTTAATTAAGAATAGCTCTATGTTATTCCTAAAATCATCCCTAATAAGGTTAGAATTTATGTTAGAATTGCTGAAATCAAGCATACTAACATTGACAATTTACTTAACCATATTAAGGAAAAGTCCAATACAGTAAATCTTTAAAAATGTTTTTATTTATTATTTGAAATCCGCCACCTTTATTTTACAAATTAAAAAAAATCTATGATGATGCTTATCTAAAATATGAATGAATTGATAGATTTAATGATTGCATTAATCTATTAACAATTATAATCTTTAGTTAAGATAATTATAATAGCATTTGAGACCTTTAATACCATTTATAAGATCTATGTTAGAATTAAGAAGTTAAATTATTTTTTAAATCATAGAAAATTGATCACATTAAAATTGTTAGCCCCACTTCTGCTTTCTTGACTGTCGAAAATGAAGAAAAGGCTACTGGTTTATACAATTGGATTAATTCCAACAAAATAGAAGTAATTACATTTGAAAAAAATTCATTTCTTTTATTGTTGAAGAAAATTGTTTTTTAAAATTATTTCTTATAACAAAATAGTGTGAACCTGCTGAAGTCTAATTGAGAGAAGAAAATCTCTACAAAGTCTTTAGAAATAATGTTAAGGAAGATCTTTCTAAATATTATGAAAAGTAATTCAAAGTTTTTGATTTCTAAAAAATTTGATATAAATTAAAAAAAATAATTCTCTTTATGTTGAATTTATAATAAAATTTATTCTAAAAATAGGTTAAATGAAGATAAGAAAGCCCAAGAAATGTACGAAAATTTACAATTCTTTTAAGGATAAAACAATTTCCCTGTTGCAAATAAGAATAAGGTTGGTGAAAATATCTTTGCTAATCCTTTTAACTATTTCTTCTACTAATAACCCACCTAAGACTTTAATCTTTAGCCATCAATTAGAAAAAGCAATGGTGAAAGTGCTACTATTGATAAACAATAGCAATAGCAACAATTCAACCCCTTGGCTTTTATGATGTACTAGTAACCCCAATTATTCGGCTTTCCTCAATAAGGAAATCCTAACAATATTAGCAACAATCACAGACGTAATAATCACGTCTAAGGTAACGGAAAAGTTAACAATAATAACTAAAAAGGTAACAATCGTAGCAAGAGCAGAGGTCAAGTTGATAACAACAATAAAAATAGCAGCTTGAATAAAAGCAAGAGCAAAAAGAGATAAGACGGAGGTAAATTCAGTGAAAAAAAGGGCAAAAATGCAAGCAATTACAACAATAAATCCGGCGAAAAGGTTGTCAATAAAGATAAGAATTCCAAGAAGGGCAATTTGAAGAATGGAAACAAGAAGACCAAGCCTCAAAAACCCATAGTTGATAACGAAGAAAACTTCCCATCTTTGTTAGGTTCTCAACCCTAAGCTCAAAATGAAAACTAAGTCGATAACAATTAAGCCGACTCTAGACGCACCAGAAAAGCTAGCGCTGAAAAGAGATAAAACGCAGAAGCATCTCCTGCCGCTAAAAAAGAAGTTAAAATAAAAGTTGACGACAAAAGCAAGGATTAAAGAGAAAGACTCGTTAGTGAAAGCAAAGACAAAGTCAGAGAAAGACAAGTTAGTGAAAGTAGAGATAAATATAGTCACTAAAATAAAAATCACGAAAAGTCTGGCCATAAACATGAAGAAGTAGTTTATGTTAGAAAGGGCAAGGATGTGAAAATTACCTATGATAAGGAACGTTTGGTTAACATTTTCAAGCTTATTAAAGAAAAAATAACTACTCCTGAATCTATTGTTAAATCCTCAAAGGATGATTTTATCCCTGTTATTAATATAAATGCTGCTAAGGAAATCGAAGTCACAAAGCCCACTGAAGTCGAATTATTGGTAAATAATTAATTAATTAAAACTAACTTTTATCTCCTTCTACTAATTAATTAATAAACTTTTTAACTCCTACCAAAAATTTTAATTTTAATTAATTTGTATTTTTAATTAATTTAGCCTCTCAGCAACCCTGGAACTCCTTATCAAGGTACTACCTCAATTCCTTATAGAAAAAACAGCATTTCTAGAAGTAACATTAAAAGAAAAGAATCTGAATAATTAAAGAAAATTGATGAAACCGAAGCTTAGTGAGAAATATTTATTTAAGTTAATTTGATTGAGCGTCTTGCATTACTAACGGCCTAAATGCATACATATTAGTCGCCTTAGTGATTTTCAAAAGCTCAATCCTTATTAATTTATCAAAATCTATAAATTATAAAAATATTGTTCATGAATTAAATAGTTTATATCATTTTTCATACAACTATCTCACTTAATAATATAATTAGAAGCATAACAACTCCATCTATTAATCATATAATCAATAAATAAATTAATTAATTATCCATCAATCCATATCATACATATTTCATTTCTAATAAATAAGTTAATATGCAAATATATAAATAAATAAATATATTTGTAATTTGAAAACATGTGTGATGGAAGTTAAAAAGCGAGTAAGTAAAAAGCAAATTAATAATATAATTAAGTTAGTTAGTTAGTTAATGCTAAATAAATTCAAATAAATATTTATTGTAATGCAATAGTAACAATCAAAAAATCAATTAAATATATTGTATAACGTTTATTATCTATCATTTATGTTGCCTATTAGCTGTATATTAAATAATATTTTCACTTTGTTTCTAACTAATAATTGAAATGTAAATACATACTTTCATATGTTCATTTACTGAAGAATTAAGCATAACTTTATTCATGCTTTAAAGACTAATATGTAAATTTTGCTATAAACTTAATGTCCAATTTAGCATTTTCATATTTGCATAAAATTATTCAGATTTGAGGAATTTATCTAAAAATAATTAAATGAATTTTAAAAAGAAAGACACTATCAAATTCATTTTATTAAGAAGTATGAAATCATTAATTAGAGTTATAAATCAATAAAAACAATTTATATTGCTTAAAAAATATTTTTTGAATATTAATATTTAAACACTTTTATTTATTCATTGTTCTATGTCTTTGTAAAAATATTATTAATGCATTCATGATAGATGATATATATATATATATACTTAAATAGCTAGTAAATTAAAAACTATAAATATTTATTAAAAATAAATTAATATTGTTTGTTTCTGAAGTGAATACAAAAATTAAAGTAGCTTACATTATTATGAGCGTACCAGATTTATTTGATGATTCCAACAGATATTACAAGGAAGCTGTTGATGATCCATTAAAAATTATAGAGCCCTTGGGTATGAGCTTTTTCAATAATAGAAATAATGATAAAAGACCTAATCCTTCTGACGATTAACATAAAGATAGATCTCCTCACAAAAAAATACATTCATCTAATAATGAATACTAACCCAATACTCATTTAGCCAAAAAAGGGAATCTTAAGAAATTAACTGGCATTCTGTTTAGTAAAGACGAATAATTAGAGAAAATAACATATAATAGAGTCCAATCGATTAGAACTGATATGCCATTTTTAGAGAAAATACGAACTGAGTAATTAAAAGAATAAAAAAATCTTATTGTAGACACACATTTCAAGAATTCAGTTACTAATTTTGATCGCCAGGAATATATTAAGCAATATAATTTGATTGTAGACCAGGTAAATAAATATAATTTTGCATTCATCTTATCATTTTACCTTTAGCTCCCATCTTTCTATATAAAATATTGTATGTGATTTGCAAATAGATAGAAGTTCATAACTAAATATATAAAAAAGCATCTAAATACTTTGTTCAATTAAATATATTGAGCATTTATTTCAAAAGATGAAAAAAACGCACTAAAATTATACTTTTAGCTAAATAAAAATAATTTTTTTAAAAAAATTAAATTGATAATTAGATCAAGATGGAATAATATTCAAATTTGAAGGTTATAAAATGCCAGAATTTATTGAAAATTCTCACAGGATTTGTTAAAAAAAACAGCTAAGTAAGCACATTTTATCATGTTTATGGAAGCTTTGAGAATATTGGATATATTGAGTATCTTAAAAAAGATATTGAACTGAATATGACTACCTCAATCTTAAGTGTATGGCTTTAAAACACTCCAAAACTTTAAAATATTAAGAATTCACCAAATTATCATGAAATTGACATGTATATTAAAGAAACTTAAGATTTTAACATCGATAGTGGTGAATCAGTTAAAAGTTACATCAACACATTAAAAGAACAAGCATAAGAGTAAGATTTTAGCTTTGAAGGCTTTGATTTATATTTAGGCTTACGCTCTTGTCCTAATGTAGAAGGGTATTTGTAGTAAGAAAAGCAGTGCTAAAAAAGAATGATATTTGATTTGACTATGATTTGCAATTTACTGGCTGATTAACAAAATTGTGTTATTAAGTTTTATCATACATTTAGCATAAGAACTCTTATGATTTTGTACTTGTTCTCTAAAATATTTTAAACGGTTGTCATGAGTAAACCTAGAACTTCTTCTTTCGCTTCAAATGCTCGTTACCTTCACTGCACTAATTTCAAGATTGACATTGGTAGAAAAATGGGTGAGATGTTCTTGGAAAAATATGACGAATACATTTAAGACAATCTTCTTTTTGACTTGAGAATACTTACTTAAGACACCAAATTTTCTGGAAATTTCATTGAAAAGTTCTTGTAAAATCTTTTGAGATAACAAATCGATTATTTTGAGTGTGATGAAGTGGTGAATCGTAAATATGCTGACATTGTAAAACAAGAGCTTAAAAGCATTTTTTCAGAGCTTTATTACAAAGATATAACAGAAAAATTCTAAATAGAAGATTTAAGTCTTAAAAGAGATCTAGGAATTAAAGAAATGAATTTAGATGAGGCTCGTAAGTAAATAGAAAAATATGGATAAGAATAAAGTCAAAAAGAATAACAATAAGATAATCCATAGACCGATTAAAAGTAGTAAAAGTAAAACTAACCTCAATTTAGTGATTCTGAAGAAGACGATGAAGAAAACAAAAAGAACAACGAATCATCTTTTACAAATTAATTCATAGAAAATAGACGTAAAAAAGAAGAAGAAGAAAGACTCAAACTAGAACAATAAAAAGATGAAAAGTAGCGCCAAAACAATGTCCCACCACCAAAGAAAGATCCTAATGTTATAAACTAAATTGTTGATAGAGATCTGAATGAAACTAAAAATTTCTTTAAAGGTTTGGTTCCTAGTTTTTTAATAAAAAAGAAAAAATGAGATAAAGATAAAATTAATATAATTAATTATAAACATTTTTTATTTTTCGTTATTAAAAATATTTTATAATTTATAATTTAGTTCAAGCCATTCATTTTCACTTAAATAATTCCTTTAAACTTATTTTCTTAATATGAACCATCTGATTATTATCAAGTATTAAACATTATTTTTTTATGTTTAAATTAACTATTTCCTTTTATTAAATAGAGATGTATGAATATTAATTTATTTATTAAAAAATAATTATTTCATTTTTGAATGAAACTAAAAATTTCTTTAAAGGTTTGGTTCCTAGTTTTTTAATAAAAAAGAAAAAATGAGATTAAGATAAAATTAATATAATTAATTGTAAACATTTTTTTATTTTTCGTTATTAAAAATATTTTATAATTTAGTTCAAGCCATTCGTTTTTACTTAAATAATTCCTTTAAACTTATTTTCTTAATATAAACCCTCTGATTATTATCAAGCATTAAACATTTTTATTTTATGTTTAAATTAACTAAATACATTTTTTAAATAGAGATATATGAATATTAATTATTAATTATCAATATTTTCTATTTCAAATATATTTATTTAAGCTTTTCAATTCATAATTTCCATAATAAATAGATATATCGAATTAATTTATATGTTTTTATTCAAGTATATTTAATTAATATTCATCAATTATTTTTACTTGATTCTTAAAAATGTTTTTTATTTCATAGTTTATAAAATCATTTATTTTAGTCAAATAATATTCAAATATTATTTTACTTAAAAAATTAAATACAAATTATTAATTTATGTTCTTTAAGTGGTTTAACCTAAGTGCAATTTTTATTTAGCTAATTAAATAAATGTGTTAATTTGTTTTATAAAAAATAATTATATCATTAAAATACCAATAAATAGATTTATTAACAATATTTTCATTTCAACTTAATTTAAATTTTTTAATTTATAATTTTAATTTATTATTTATTTATTAATAATAGCAATTATTTTTTGATATTGATTATTTAAAATATTTTTTTATTTAATTGTTGAATAAAAAATTTAAAAAACTAATTATATTTAAATGTTATTTTTACCTAAAAAATAAGCATCAATCAATGACTTATTTTCTTAAATTTTAAATTAAAATACAATTTATTATTTTAGTTATTTAATAATTGTTTAAATTTTATTATTTAGACTTATTTCTTTTAATCTAACACTACTTTACCATTTTTCTTTTTCCATTATATTTTGACTTTAACTATTAAATTCCATAAAATCCATATAATTTATTTACATAATGCATCAAAGCAAAAAAAACAATTAAACCTTTTTAGGATAAATTTTATTAAATGCTTATTTGGAAAAGCATAATCCATACTTGATAGTTCAACTTTTAATTCTACTTTTATAAGCTTATCAGATAAAAAAATTCATGGCTATTATAAAAATGCCCACCAAAAAATCTTTGACATCAAATTTTTACAAATATTTCTACTTAATTTAACAGCTATATCTAAAAATTAATTTAATTTATTTAAATTTCCTTATTCACAAAATATATTAAAAAATAATGAATAAGCCCTTTTAAAAGGAATATACATCTATTAAAAGAAGGAGACAGATATAATTAATCGAATGCATATCAAGAGTAGTTGATTTGTACACAGAAGAATATTAAATTATACTGCCAATCGAGTTTTAGTAATATTTCTCTACGATACTGGATAAAGGTATTTAATGCCTTCTTTTGTATGGCATCTACTTGTCAGAACAGAGAGATGAAGAATTAATAGAAACCCAATTTTAAGAAAAGTACATTTAAGAAGAATAGCTCATTAAATCTATCAAAGACAATCTAATTTTCAAAAAAGATATAATTTACAATAATCTAAAAAGCAGGTTTAGCTCTTACACAGAAAGCTAAGCATAGAATTTTTTTGAAAAGTTAACTATCGCAACAGTAAATAATGCTTTTGATGTAAAATTCTTTGAGCCTTTGATGAAAGAGATATTTGAAGATATGCAAAAAATTATATTTTTCTTACTTAACCAAAAAGGTCCTTATATTTTTTAATAAGATAGGCCTTTTTTAGAATTTAGTGCTCTTATATCTATAATTTGCATAAATAAGTTTTAATTTGATAGAGATATACAGTACACAATAATAAAAATGATACATTTAGACCATCTCCAAGACATAATAAAAAATCCACTAGAATTTCTCAACAGCCCTAGTTTACAACAATAGTGAGAGGAGTTTTTGTAATTTTTAATATCCTAAACAAACTTATTGAATAAATATTACTTTCAAAATATAATAAAACCTGTTTAATAATATTTATTTTCATTATTTTTAGTTGATTTTATACATTCAATTTAATAATTTAATTTTATGATTTTATGATAGAAAACTGCTTCCTTAATAAATAAATAAATAAATAAATACATTTTTAGTTAATTTTTTAAAGTAAAATAGATATTTTCTTTTTTTCTTTGTTTATTTGTTTTTTATGTTTGATATCTAATGTTCGTTCTGATGATACCAAAATCTAATAGGAATAATATAAAAGTTAAATAATTAATTAATTTATTAAAATTTTCTTTTAAATGAATATTTTGTCAAATAAAATATTTGAATATTTTGATGAGATAATTTATTAATTAATTAACTTTTTTCTTTTTTGATTGAACTTAACTTTTAAAAGAGATACTAATTATTTATTTGTTTATTTGTTTATTTTTCAACTATAAAAATATTGTTGAAACAAGTAATGATTCTCTAAAATTTAATCATTCCATTATAGATATTTATAATTATAATCTTATTTTATCAAAAATAGACATTAAATGCTTGTTATTGCAGATATTATAGTATTTATGTCAATAATTTAAATGAAATTTGCATTCTAATTACTTAATAATTTAAGAAACAAACAATTAATTCAAAACATGTATGTTGGTTGGTTGACGACATTAGTGAATTTTAAATAAAATTTATGGGTTGAATATTATTTTATTTTATATTGCTTTTGTTTTTGCTTTGATTAATTCAACTAATATGTATGAGAGGGTTTGTGAATTTGTTATTACAATTAATTTTCAATATTATTTTTGCATATTAGATTTTTTCAATCAGTTTTTGCTTTACCAGGGATTTTGTCAGCCAAAGCAGAGACTTACTAGGTAACTTGCTACTTAACAGTCTAATATAATTGCTTAATTTACTCACTGTGGTTTTAGAGAACATAAGGAGTAACGCAAGCTACGTTGGAAGCAACAAACAAAAAGCCGAAGTCACCTAAGAAGTAAGCAACCTTAGTAGCGAAGTAGAGGATTGATAACCATTTTAAAGTGTACAACTTGTCTTGGAGTAAAACAATCTTTCTGAATCTTTAAACTCCGTTGTTAATCCATGTATATAAATGGATGTAAAGACCCTTAATGGATTCAGGATTATTCAAATCAATCTTGCAGCAGGAAGCTTCAGCAGATTATTATTCCTTTTAGCTTGATTGGTTATACTTGAATTCAACACCTAAGAACTTCTTTAATTAGACTGCTACTAAACAGGCGAACAAGGAGAAAGCTAATATGTTCAAAGAGGAACTAACTAATCTGAAATCTGCAAGATATGCTACCATTAAACCTAAGTTCAATGCTGCTAAATGAGAACCAAGAATAACTGGAGTGATTTTATGTTCAGGATCCTTTGAGAAGGGACAGCCGCCGTTGACCATTTCTATTTTGAGAGATTTATCTTATTAAAACTAATTAATTGACTTTTGAAAAATTTTGATAATTTAAAGAATATATCAATTATCTTTTATATTTGATTTTTCTTTTAAGATTTTTAATTATTTATTCCTATTTTCCTTATTAATTAATATACTCTCAACTTAAGCATTCATTCACTCATCATCTTTCACTTTTAATTCCATTACGATCATAAATAAATACATAAAAAAATAAACACATACACTTCTTATCAGTCAACTATATATTTTTTTTTCTTCTTTATTTATTTATTTCCCCTTTTTTTCTGACTTCTCCTTGCTTGCTTATTAAATAACTAAATTAGATACAACATTTATTTTTAATGCCCTAATTATTTATAGAGTCATGCATTTTAAATGGGCTTTTTCATATTAAATTCATTTACTTCCTAGTGATATTACGTAAGTATGTAAATACATATCATTTTTTATATATTATCACACAATTTAAATAATAAAAAATTCATATTAATAAATAAATAATTTTAAATTTAAAAATATTTAAAAATTAAATAAAAAAAATAATTTTTAGTGTTAATTAAAACATTAAAATATTATTAAAATAATTCACTTTTAAATTTAATCTTTTTTTAAACTTTACGTTTTTAAATAGCTTAGTTTAACAATTTTAAGTTTTTAAAAATATCTAATAGTAATTAATTAATCAATTATCATAAAATTCTGTGATATCAAAATTAGAATTTACTAATAGATAGATAGATATTTTTACAATCTAAAAAAATACAAACATTAATAACTATAGATTGAAAATCAATATATACTATTCATTAATATAAGGTTTGTTATAATGAGCTCAGATACGAGTGAGTTTTAGGTTATAGAAGAAAAAAATAGTGATGAAAGCTAGTTTGAAAATATATAGCACGAATCAAAAGAGATTAATAATAGCGGTAGCAATAACAACAATAATAATAATACTTATAGCAATATTATTATGAATAGTAGCAGTGAAGAATAAAATGATAAGGAGATAATTGATAATATCAAACAAGAAAATAATGAAAAGGAGAATTAAGATACAATATAAGAAAATATTCAGTAAGGATATAAGATTGTAAATAATTTTAATTCCAGTGAAAGTGATTCAAATGACACTTCTCAAGATGATGACGCTAAAGTTACATTTACAGAAAAAATAAAATTAGAAATAGCATCCAATTTAAAAGCAAAAATTATAGAGTAACTAATTCTATAAGCACATCTCCACATCATCTAATTAATATCCAACTTTAATTATATAGTTTTATCAGGAAAGTACAGCAAAATCCTAAAATTTAAGATGACATGCCTGAATATATTTAAGATCATATTTATGAGTTTGAGCACGTATTTTAAGAAATATTCTAGGAACCTCAAGCAGTGCATAAATTAAATGGTGAAGCTATTGAGGTTATAGTAATTAAACCTTTGCATGATATGTAAATATCAAACCATATTTTTATATTAAATTAAATATATTCTAAATATATCAAGTTTAATGAAGAAGTATCCTGTTAAGTAAGATAAAAGACTTGAGTTTTATTTTAGAGTATATGAATTTATTACACTTACAATGTTCGAGATAGATTCTGCGGTTTTAAAGCATCCTAATTACACTAAGGCAACAAAATGTAAATACTAAGATTTGATAATTAAATTTTTGTAAATTATAACAGTCTTTTCTTATACTTTAACAGTAAATCTATTCTTAAAATACAGGTTTATAAAAAATTGATCAAGTAAAAACACCAAAAGAAAAACTTAATTTGATTGCCTCTGCTAGTGTTTTGCTAAGCAGTAAATATTTTAATTTTTATCAGAAATAGTATAATATTTTTATATAGAAGCATTACAAACGATATATCCAAAAATGCCAGTAGGAGCAGATTAGCTACTTCCTATGATGATATTCACAATAATATAAGCAAAACCCGAAAAACCTTACGCCAATCTAATGTTTACATAGTAATATTCAAAATATATTAACAATAAAAAAACCAAATTATCTAATAATTATTAGAGAATATCGCTGCAAATGGAGGATTAAAGGAATAGACCAGTATTATCTTGCTACTTATGAAAGTGCTTTAGAATTTATTGATTGTATCGATGCATAAAAACTCAAAATAAATGAAACTATTTTTGATTAATTGTATAGTAAAAACTATGAAAAATACAAAGATTTAGGCTATCTTCACGAATTTGAATAAAAAAAAATTAATCCTTTTCTGACAAGCACATAATCTCTAAGTATGTTATAGAAAGTAGAAAAATAAATGTAAGATCTTAACTAAAAAATGAATATAGACGAATAGCTTAATTTAAAATTTGTAAATTAAAATCTATCAACAGTAAAATTAAATTAATTACCAGAAGTTTATGCAGAATATTAAATGATGGTTGATGGCTATAAAGATATGATTTAAAGGTCTTAAAAAATATTATAGTCACTAGATGATTTTTGCCATAATGAAAATAATAAGAAATCAATTTTTAACATCTTTTGAAAAAAAATAAATTTTTGAAAATAAAAACTAACTAATTCACAATTTATATAAAAGTATAATTTAAAAATTAATAATTCATTCATTCATTCCTTCATTCATTTATTATTCGTTATTTGTTTTATTTATAAATTTGTTTATTACTTCTTCTTTTTGGTACCAAACGAAAATGCATAGATTTATTTTCTTTAATTAAATGATTTGATAATTAATTTATTTCAAAAAAAACAATTATATTTTATCAATAGTCAGTAAAAATTACCATATGTCAATGAAAGTGATATATACATTCTATTTTATTTCATCTTATCAATTAAAATTTAAATCATATTTATATTTTAAGGTGAATTTTAGCCTAAGCATAGAAGTCTAAATTAGTAATATTTTTTTAATCTATTTTTTTTTGATTTATAAAATTTTAATATCATCATTTTTCCTATCTAAAAGCACATTCATTAAAAATTTAAAATAAATTGGTTTTATTAATTATTTAAAAAGATCAAATTTCTGTTTTTATTTTTACTTTAAATACTACTAATAAGTAAATATTTACTAATATATTTTAAAAATCAAAGAAGAAAAAGAATTCAAAAGATGATATGTACATGAAAGAATACTTGTTTTTAAAATTTTTATAAGCATGCAATTAATTTCTTTTTTACTCAGAAATTTCTAGAAAATTAGATATGAAATGATATTTAATTAATTTATAATTTTTTGTTTAATTAATTGAGATTACAAAACAATATTTTCAAAAAAACTAGTTGATAATTAAAAATGATGCTACATAAACTAATCAAAAAGGTTTCATTAACTTAAAGCAATATGGTGAAATACTTGTAAAATTAGCAAAATTTAATATTTAAAAAAAAATTTCTTGTAACTTTTTTATTTAAAATTAAAATAATAAGTTGTAATATTTAAGTTAAAGACATAAATCAATAAAGAGAAGTAGATTAAAAACTTGAAAAGTATTATTTAGGTATTCATTTAGGAAATACAAATCTTTACTCTGCAAAAAAAAGATATGATACTCCATTTAAAATACCTAACTCTGAAAATTAGAATGGAATTCTAAGTTATGTTTCTTTTCTCAATGATGGAAATTCTTTAGATGGCTAGTCAATTAAAGATTTAGTAAAATTTAAAATTATCTTTATAGTTCAAACTAATTAATTCCTTCTAAATAAAATTAAATTTTTTAGATATAGATGAAAATAAATTCAACTTTTTATGGAGCAAAACGATTTATTGGAATGAAATTTGATGATCCTATAATACTACAAAATTCTGAGAAATTACCTAAAAATATAGTTAGAAATTAGAACGGAGATGTTTGCTTTTAATTTGATAATTAAATACTCACTCCAGAGTAAGTTTGCTAAAAATTTATATCTTAGCTTAAGTAAATAGCTGATTCTAATTGTGAATCTAAGCTAATTACTGTTCCAGACTACTACAATGACAAGTAAAGGGAAATCTTTTTAGAATTAGTTTAAGATTTAAATATTCGAGGTTTAAGAAATTAATCTACCAGTGTTTTATATGCAAATGATCATTTAAACTAATAAAATAATAGGTTAATTGCTATATATCATTTAGGGGGATATACATTTAATATTTCTATAATACATTTTGAAGATGGTTTTTATGATATAAAAGAAACTTAAAGTGATATTTTTAGTGGAGGAGAAGAAATTAATAATTTACTTTCTGAATATATTGCAAAATAAATTCTTTCTTAAACAGGAATTGATATCACTAGGTGTGAAAGTGCAATTCAAAATTTAAGAGATGTTACTGAAAAGGCAAAATGTGAACTCTCTTAAAATGATATCGCCAATATAAATTTAGAATATTTCTTACCTAATAGCATTGAACGTAGGTGCTTTAGCTGCTCAATCACAAGACTTTAGTTTGAAGAAATTTGCCAAGAATTTTTGGAAAATACAATTAGGCTTTGTGAAAAATGTCTCAAAGATTCAGGTTTCTCTAAGGATAATATTGATAAAGTTATTTTAACAGGAGGTTCAACGAGAATACCTCTTGTTTAGAAACTTGTATCTGAATATTTTGGAAAATAAATTTATTAAAATAATCTTTAATTTGATGGAGATAAAGCTATGGGTAATGCTATATTAAGCGAAACGTTCAGTTAATTATTTAAAAATAAAAACTTCTTTATTCCGTTTAATTTAGGTATAGAAATAGCTGGTGGATGCGTTTATTGGATGGTTGAGAGATCTATGAAACTTCCCATAAAGGTTTCTTAAGTTTTTTCAACTAATATTGATAACTAGACAAGTGTTTCTATAAAAATTATATTAGGAGTTAATCCTTAGGCAAATTAAAATAAGCTGCTTTATAAAATTAATTTAACTGATATTAAACCTCTTCCTAAAGGTGTTCCTGAAATAAAAATAACTTTGACAATTAAAGATAAAGACATTCTTGTTGTAAATGTTAAAGATATGAACAGCCTGAAAGAATAAGAAGCTATAATTGAATCATATTCAAATGTAAATTAGGAAGAATTGGAAAAAATAAATGAACATTATTTCAATTAGATAGATAGGTTTTGAAGGTTAGTTAGTTAGTTAACTTAAATTATAACACTTCGAGGTTTTAAGTTCTTATGGATAGTTAAATGCTATAATTTATTTAATAAATGGATTTGCGATAAACTAGATTTATTTCTAATTAATTAATTTAATAAATATTTTTGTTTTAATTTTTATTATGAAAGAATTGTTTTATGATTTTTTTTAAATAAAAATTTTTTTTAATTTTATTGGTTAAGACTTAATATATTTACATATAAAGTAAATTCATTTTTATCCCATATCCAATTAGTGGCACTACAAGCACCATCAAAAAATCTTATAATTCTGATTCATTTTTTTTCTTAAAATAAAAATTAGAAACTTTAATTTTCTAATCATACATATATAGTATAAATTATATAATGATTCAAATGCTAAAAGTAAACTTAAATTTATTCTTAAAAAAAAATTAAAATTACATTTTGTGATAGTTAAATTAATTTTCTGTTAAAATTATATTCAAAAAACTGTGTCATTTTACTTAAGATAAAATCTAGAAATTTAAAAACCTTGTTATATCATTTTTAACAAATTTTATACAAAAAGTTAATCAATAAATTCTTTTACTTTCTATTTTATTATTTCAAATTAATTTTCTTTTAAATTCTATTAACTTCATTACATATATGTTAATTTCTCATATTGATAAACGCACTAAAGAATTTTTAACAGTATTTAGAAAATTTAGAAAATATCCAGAATTACTTGATCAAGTATTTAAAAACCAAAAAGTAATTTCATAAACAATAAATAATTTTTAAATAAAAAACAACAAAAAGAATTAAATATTAAAAAATGATCAACGGTTCTGAATAAATCCAAAGCAATGCATCTAGCTTATATGAGCTTTCCGCAATAGATATCAATGGCTAAAACGTTTCTTTGAAGAGCTTCAACAATAAAAAGGCTATTATTGTTGTAAATGTAGCTTGCAAATGTGGTCTTACTTCTGATCACTATACTTAGCTTGTTGGCTTGTACAAATAGTATAAATCCTAAGGATTAGAAGTCTTGGCTTTTCCTTGTAACTAATTTGGTGAATAAGAACCTTGGGCTGAATCTGAAATTCTTTCATACACTCAAAAGACCTTTAATGTTGACTTCCCACTTTTCTCAAAGATTGATGTGAATGGTGAAAACACTCATCCTATTTACAAATATTTAAGAAGAAACTCAGAACTATTTTAGAACAACTCTGCAACTAAGATCCCATGGAATTTTGCAAAATTCTTAATTGATGGAAAGACAGGTAAGGTCATTTCTTACTTCAGTCCTAAGGTGAATCCAAACGAAATGGAGCAACAAATTAAATAACTTTTATAATGACTACAAATAAATAATTAATTTGTATTTGAGTATATATGTAAATTTATGATTTAAAATAAATTTTTTAAATTTAAATATTTTTTTTTTTACTATTTTATTTATTTAAAATTAAAATAAATTATTGATTATTTTTATTTAATTAATGATTATTAAAAATATATTATATTACTAATATTAATCTAGTTTTATAAACTTAATGCATGTATTTTAAAAATAACTCTATATTTGAATATCATACATTATAAAAGTTAAAAAATGAATAATATTTTCATGTTATAATTAATTTCTTCAATCAAATTTTTAATTTAAAAAAGATAATTTAATAGAATTAAAATAGTAAATATTGTTATTTTATACAAAAAAAATAATTTTAGTTCTTAAATTTCAAATATAGCTGTTCCTGCATTTGAAATATCACGAGCCATGATATCATGATATAAAGGATATTGTCAATGTGAACACAAAAACATAGTTCACCATTATTTCAATTTTACACATTTTATCTTTAAATATAAAATTTATTTTCAACTAAATCTATTTTTCATACAGTGCCAAAATATCTATTATAACTATAATTAAATTTTTATTAAATTTGTTCTTGAATAATTAAATCAATAAAAGATAGTGCTCATGATTTATAAAATTACCAGTAAGTTATAAGAATACTATAAATATTTATTAAATTTGTTCTTTCATTATTTACAAAATTACCAATAAGCTATAAGAATATTAAAAAATTGTTAAATAAAAATAAAGTTTTGTTTGTAGTGCTCAAGAATTATCCTAAGATATTATAAATTTTCTTGAAACATTATTTTTTTATGAAAAAAAGTAAATATTTTAATATCATAATTCAAATATCTTTAAATTTATTTCCTTTCATATTTTTAATAAATAAAATTTAAATTCATTTAATTTAGTCAAAGAAAATATAGAATTTAAAATTAAAATGTTAATATATCTATGAAATGATGATATTAAACACTAAAGAAAACTTAAATATGTTATACTTTATTACATTAGATAAAATCTCGAAAGTTGAAAAATTTTTGACATCACTTTGATCAAATTTTACACAAAAAGTTAATCAATAAAAAAATATTACTTTCTAGCTTATTATTTCAAATTAATTTTCTTTTAAATTCTATTCATTTAATTCCACGTCAAATTCTTATAAATATAAACGTACCAAACAGCTATTAATAAGCATTTTGCAAATTTAGATAATATCCAGAATTCTTTTTTATTAATTTAAAAAGCTAATTTTGTTATCTTAAAAAGTAAAACAATTAATAACAAACAAATAAAAAACAAACAAACAAACAAACTTAAAAAAATAAAAAAAATGATCAACGGTTCTGAATAAATTTAAAGCAACACATCTAGCTTATATGAGCTTTCCGCTATAGATATCAATGGCTAAAATGTTTCTCTGAAGAATTTCAATAATAAAAAGGCTATTATTGTTGTAAATGTAGCTTGTAAATGTGGTCTTACTTCTGATCACTATACCTAACTTGTTGGCCTTTACAAATAGTACAAATCTCAAGGATTAGAAATCTTGGCTTTTCCCTGTAACTAATTTGGTCAATAAGAGCCTTGGGCTGAATCTGAAATTCTTTCATACACTCAAAAGACCTTTAATGTTGACTTCCCACTTTTCTCAAAGATTGATGTGAATGGTGAAAATACTCATCCTGTTTACAAATATTTAAGAAGAAACTCAGAGCTATTTTAAAATAACTCTGCAACTAAGATTCCATGGAATTTTGCAAAATTCTTAATTGATGGAAAGACAGGTAAAGTGATTTCTTACTTCAATCCTAAGGTGAATCCAAATGAAATGGAATAATAAATAAAATAACTTTTATAATGAAAAAAAATAAATAGTTTGTATTTAAGTGTATGAATATGTAAATTTATGTATGTAATTTACTAACAAATTTAAATACATTTTCTTTAAGTTTAATTTATTTTATAGTAATATTAAGATTTAAAACATTAGATCAAATATTTTTTTAAGTGAATACCTATAATTAAAGATTTATTATATTTACTAATAATATTGTATTCGTCTTAAGAAATTATTATAAAGCCATTTTTTGTAATTTTTGCTCAAAATTTTTGATGAAAACTATTTTTAATTTAGTTAATCATAATACAAAGTGGTTTTTTACTTTAGTTTTAAGTTAATTAAAATGAAACGAAGTAAAGAATTAAATAAATTTTATAATGATAAAATATTATGTAATTATTTTAAATTTAATATATTATTGTTAAAATTCTTTTAAATATTTGAAAATATAAACTACATATTACAATCTTTAAATTTTTGCTCTAAATTATTAAAATATGATAAAATTTAAATTGAAATATGCTATTCTCCAAAAAATGTTTGTGTGTTAAAATAATAATTTCATAATATTATTTATATTAATAATCATTTCTATTTATGATAAAAAATATTTTGTAGAATTTTTATTAAAATTCTGATTCATTTTTTTTCTTGAAATAAAAATTAGAAACTTTAATTTTCTAATCATACATATATAGTATAAATTATATAATGATTCAAATACTAAAAGTAAACTTAAATTTATTCTTAAAAAAATTTTAATTACTATTTGTGATAGTTAAATTAATTTTCTGTTAAAATTACATTCAAAAAACTGAGTCATTTAATTTAAGATAAAATCTAGAAGTTTAAAAACCTTGTTACATCATTTTTAACAAATTTTATACAAAAAATTAATCAATAAATTTTTTTACTTTCTATTTTATTATTTCAAATTAATTTTCTTTTAAATTCTATTAACTTCATTACATTTTTATTAATTTCTCATATTGATAAACGCACTAAAGAATTTTTAACAGTATTTTGAAAGTTTAGAAAATGTCCAGAATTACTTGATCAAGTATTCAAAAAGCCAAAAAGTAATTTCATGAACAATAAATAAATTTTAAATAAAAAACAACAAAAAGAATAAAATATTAAAAAATAAATGATCAACGGTTCTGAATAAATTTAAAGCAACGCATCTAGCTTGTACGAGCTTTCCGCAATAGATATCAATGGCTAAAATGTTTCTTTGAAGAGCTTCAACAATAAAAAGGTTATTATTGTTGTAAATGTAGCTTGCAAATGTGGTCTTACTTCTGATCACTATACTTAGCTTGTTGGCTTGTACAAATAGTATAAATCCTAAGGATTAGAAGTCTTGGCTTTTCCTTGTAACTAATTTGGTGAATAAGAACCTTGGGCTGAATCTGAAATTCTTTCATACACTCAAAAGACCTTTAATGTTGACTTCCCACTTTTCTCCAAAATTGATGTAAATGGTGAAAATACTCATCCTGTTTACAAATATTTAAGAAGAAACTCAGAACTATTTTAGAACAACTATGCAACTAAGATCCCATGGAATTTTGCAAAATTCTTGATTGATGGAAAGACTGGCAAAGTGATTTCTTACTTCAGTCCTAAGGTGAATCCAAACGAAATGGAGCAACAAATTAAATAACTTTTATAATGACTACAAATAAATAATTAATTTGTATATGAGTATATTTGTGAATTTATGGTTTAAATTTCCTAATAAATTTTTTAAATATTAATATATTTTCTTTCACTATTTTATTTATTTAAAATTAAAATAAATTATTGATTATTTTTATTTAATGAATAATTATTTAAAAATTATTATATTACTAATATTAATCTAGTTTTATAAACCTAATATATGTAGGTTTAAAATAACTCTATTTTAGAATCTTATACATTCAAAATTTTAAATTTAATAGAATTAAAATAGAAAATATGATTATTTTATTCAAAAAAAATAATTTTAGTTCTTAATTTTCAAATATTTAGATTAAATCAAAGAAATATTTATTTAATTATTTATAATCTCAGATAATAAATTATCGAGTAGGAAAGGAAATATATATTTATTAGAACAATAAATACTATGAAAAAAAAATAAAAGAAATAAATAAATAAAGGTTTGGAAACAGTTTCAAAATTAATTTTTTTTGTTTTGTTTTGTAATATTTTTAAAAAATTTAAGATGAAAATATTAATTAATTAATTACAACAAATATTTTTATAATTTTCTAATTTAATTTGTGTCAATATTATATTTATATTTTATAAATAATATTTTAATCGAATGTAAAATAAATAACTTTTATTTATCAAATTTTTTGAACCTTCGAATTTCATTACATAATGTTTTGAAATTTTGATGGCTATGAGCTGCTAAAGTTTAATACAATAAAAAGTGAAAATTTGGTTGCTCTCTCCTACAAATTTTATTGAATCTACCAAGAGAAAGATTTTTCAAATCTTTGAAGAAAAAATGAATAAAAATATTATTTTTCTCTTTTAATTACAATATTTATTTTAAAAATCACTATTATTATCATTGAAATTAATTAATTTTTGAAGGTTAATTTATTATCTGAGTTACCACTCATGCTTACATAAAGAAAATTAACAGATTAAGATTAAATAAAAACATACTAAACATAATTACAAATGAAACAAAAATAATTTACATTAAAGAAGATTTTTGAAGACTTTAGTGGCTTCTTAAATTTGTAGTAAAAATTAAAGTAATTTCATTATATTTTTGATAATTTTTTTTCACTTTTTGTTTAATTGGTACTGAAAAAGGATATATATCTTTATTTCATAAGAAAAAATCTGGAAATTAAATAATTTGATTACATCATTTTGAACTAATTTTTAGTGTAAATTAACCAATAAATCTTTTTTAATTTCAAATTTATAGTTTCTAATTTATTTTCTTATCAATTATATCAATTTATTTTTTATCAATTAAATCAATTTATTTGCCCACCTATTTCGTATTACAATCCACGCACCAAAAGATTACTACAATTTTTTGTCAAATTTAGAAATTATCTAGAATTTTTTTTATTTATTCAAAAACCCAACTTTTACTATCAAAAATAATAAATAAATAACAAGAAAATAAAACTACATACATAAAAATAAAAATAAAAAAAAAAATGATCAACGGTACTGAATAAATTTAAAGCAATACATCTAGCTTATACGAGCTTTCTGCTATAGACATCAATGGTTAAAACGTCTCATTGAAGAACTTTAACAATAAAAAGGCTATTATTGTTGTAAATGTAGCTTGTAAATGTGGTCTTACTTCTGGTCACTATACTTAGCTTGTTGAATTGTATAAATAGTATAAATCTTAAGGATTAGAAGTCTTAGCTTTCCCCTGTAATTAATTTGGTGAATAAGAACCTTGGGCTGAATCTGAAATTCTTTCATACACTCAAAAGACCTTTAATGTTGACTTCCCACTTTTCTCAAAGATCGATGTGAATGGTGAAAACACTCATCCTGTTTACAAATATTTAAGAAGAAACTCAGAACTATTTTAGAACAATTCTGCAACTAAGATCCCATGGAATTTTGCAAAATTCTTGATTGATGGAAAGACTGGCAAAGTTATTTCTTACTTCAGTCCTAAGGTTAATCCAAACGAAATGGAGCAATAAATTAAATAACTTTTATAATGATAACAAAAAATAATTTGTATTTCATTTTGTTTGTTAGTATTTGACATAAATTTAAAAAAAAATAAAATTATTTACTCTTATCTTTACTTTAAGTAAAATTTTTAATTTTAATTTATAAAAAAATTATTTATGCTGAGATAAACGAGAGAAGGGATTCATTTATGACGATTTAAGATATTATTATTAGAAGATAAATATAATAAATCTAAAAAATTATCTTAAAATTAAATAAACAAATAATATTATTAATTAATAGAATTAAAATAAATTTTTTTAATTGCTAAATTTATCATTTAAAAATTTTAGGTCAATAGAATTTAATATAAAAATATGAAAGAGAAAAAAATTTATGATGATAATAACAAAACTACTTGCAAAAAAATTGGTTCACAAATAAATATTACTGAATGAACATATTATTTATACTTTATAATTTTTGAAATAGAACATTTATTCTTAATTTTCTTATAAAAAATTATTAATTAAAAAAATTTTTCCTTCAGATTGGATAACTTGTCGATAAGAAATATATGCATCATTCAACAAGCTAACATTTTTTTTGAGCATAATTTTTTTATTTAAAATATGAGAATTATCATTATTGATTTTACTTTATTATAATTGAAATAATAGAATCTATAGATTTTGGTAAAGATTTCAGTAATAATTAATATTAAATTCATTTTTATATCTTCGTTTATTATGAACATTTAAAAATTAAAATCTAAGTTTATTAATAATGAATTAGAAATTTCAGAATGATTAAATAATTAAATCATTTTTTTATTTATTTCAAATATATTTTAAATGTTTGTTAATCATTGATTTATCCTGTTGAAATTATTACTAAAGTAGCAAACTCATAAATTATTTTGTATCTAAGGCAATTAATTTGTAATTTATTTTTAATACATAATTAGATCCAATTAAGAATATATCATAGATTTTTTATAAATATATTTAAGTAATTATTTTTTAAACAAATGGATAAAGATAAACAAGAGGGAAAATTATATGAATGGAAAAAAGAAATTATTTTAGCTTAGCTGCTTTCCATAGAAACATCAATAGAAAAGCTGGAAAAATTGAATAAGGAAGGAAAAAAAATTTTTGATGATATTATTATTTCATTCTATGATATCCAGTAATATTCAAAATAATGCTTCTAATATTTTGAGTGCGCATCATGCGAACATTCTTTTAAACTATTTTTTAAATTGATAGTTTTTATAAATTAGATGTTTGAACGAAGAAAAGGATGATATGTTAGGATTGTTTAATTCTTTAGACCTAAAGCTTTGTGTAAAAATAGTAATTTAAAATCAAAAAAGACTTAATTAAGTAGAGTAAATACATCAAAAGATGGTAAAACATTATTTCAGAGCTGAACAATTTCAACTCAAATATTATTTACTGTTTTATAAAAAGAAAAAATTTATGGGCATGATTGAGGAGAATTTTGTAAACTTGTAGAAAGTTTTAGATGATTGCTTTGGAGGAGATACTTTAAATAAAAAGTAGCAAGTTTTAGATTATCTTCTACTTCAGTATCCTAATATTTTGAGCATATAAATTATTTGTAATTTTTTTATAAATAAATAAATGTCTTTAATTTTGTATAATTTCTACTTTAATATTATTAAAAGTAAATTTACTCCTTGTCTTGGTTCCTCAGTTAAGAGAGGATATACAAACAAAGTAATAACTCTTAGAAGAAATAAATGAGTTTTTGTAGGATAATACAACTGATTAAGGTCTTTTGCAAATAGATCATGAATCAATAAAGACATTTAAATACTATATTTATATATGGACATTTAGACCATCAGTGGATGAAACAAATGAAAAAGCACTAAATAAAGCTTTGACTGCATATTATCAGGATTTTGAGCCAAAATGAAGACTAAATCAACTTAAATAATATATTTTATATTGTTTTATTAGAATTAAAATATTATCATTTTACTTAATATTTTTACTATCGCTTAAAATTGATTGATTGATTGCATGTTTTAAATTTTAAAGTTTAGATTAAATTATTTTTTATAATTTCTCAATAAAATACTTAAAAATAACTTACTTTTCTTGCTATTCTTTTAATTTTTAAAACTTAAAATATAATTTAATTTTATAATTTGAACTATTTTGGAGAAAAAAATATCATATCAACTTAGAAATTCTTAAATAATAAAAATATGATGCTAGAAATAAAATAATATCATAGTTACTTCAACGTAGAATAAATTTTAATTTAAGATTTAAATGATCTTTTTATTTTAAAAATAAAAGTTCATCTTATCAAATAAATATAGCTGCTCTCATATGCAACTCAACTTCAAGTATAGATTTGACATTTATTTATGGCCTATAAATTACTTTTCATTTTAGGAATAACAATATCAAAGATAAAGGAGTTATGAGTTTAGGCTTGGCTTTACAGAAATGTGAGAACCTAATTACTTTAATAGCAGATTTAAGGTATAAATTTTATTTACTTTAATCCTATAAATATTTTATTAAATTTTTATAAATTAATACAAAGACTAAATTGTATTACTAATGTAGGAATATCAGGTTTAACCAGTGAATTAAAAAAATGTGAGAATATCTAATATCTATGTATAAATCTTAAGTAATTAATTCAAAATTACTATTTTTTTAGTTAAATCAGTAAAATATTTTAAATTAATAAATAGGTAAAACTCCATCTATGAGAATTAAATAAAAAAATCTACTAAAATTATGAAAAAAATGAAGAGATTAGTAATACTTAAAGTGCTTTGAATGAAATAAATATCAAACTTTTTTAACTTTAAAATTAAACTTTTCCAAAAATGTTTAAATTTGAAAAAAATAAATTTATTTTTATGATTTAAAATTACTTTTTTAATTGTTAAATAATTTAATAAATTAAAAACTTTAGTAAATAAATTATTTATTTATATCAATATTCATTGCATTTTTTTTTTAAATTATAAACAAAATAAAATAAATAGTTTTATTAATCATTTCTTATCCTTAATTTATTGATTGATCACAATAAAGATCTTTCAAAATAAATTTTAAACACAAAGGATAAATTTAAATATTTTTAACTAAAAAATTAATTTTAATAAATTTCAATTTATGATTTTTAAAAAAAGCTTTCCTTTTTGAAGTAAAATTTTTGAAATTCTAATAATATTAATTTAAAAATATTTTTAGAATCGTATGAAATCATTTATTTATGTTTTAAATTAAAAGTAAAAAATAATTTAAGCTCGTATGAATAATAGAATAGATATTAGTTTATTTAAAAATATCAAATCAAATCAATTTAAATTAAAAAAAAGTTTTTATCAGAAACCAACCTGACGAGGTGATCAGTTGTTATTATATTCGAAATCGAAAAAAAAAAAGAGCTAGCTAAAAGAATACAATATGAGTCAAATTATGAATGATATTAAACAAAAAATATAATATATTTAAAAAGGTGGAATCACAATAATTTTTGGATAATAAGTATCTATCTCAAAGGAAAGAAGTAATAAAGGTATTCATTTCTATATCTTTTATATATTAGTTATTAATTATTTCGCTAAAAATATACTCCAGATTTGATAATAGAACACATAAATTTTTTTTTTATAGGTATTGTTTTAATATAAGTTTAAAAAAAAAATTAATATTGTGAAAGGATAACAAACAACAAAGCAAGAATTCAGAAGTATTAAAAGAGAATAATTATTTATATTTGAAGTATAAAATGAACCGTTAACTTCTAACTGAAAATCCAAATACGACATTTTATGACGCAAACTAAAGTGTAGCAGGAATAGAAATGCATGAAATCAATAACACAACCAACACTACATACAGAGCTGGTTATGTCAACTTAGAAGATATTGATGACAGTATTCAATAAATTATTAATATGATATAAGCTATTTAATACACTTAATACTTTAATATTCATTCAATTATTTGTATTAATCATTTATTTTTATGATAAAAAAGATGTTTTTTATGCAGATAACAATGCTTAAAAGAAATATCAAAACCTACAATCAGAAGATCCTTTATCTCATATTGATTAATAAAAGATATAAAACGCATAGATAAATAACCAATAACAAGATTAAATAGCTCTTAAAAATGGACAAGTAGGTTTAGCACAAAATTAATTAGCTAATTAATAGCAAATTTAGTATCCATAATAGGTTAATAATCAACAAAGCGCTTATCCTAATATGTCAAACAAAAATGTGGTTTCAAGCAATAACTTTTAGCCTTAGACACATTAGTTTCATCTTCCCCAAAACTAATAATTTGTTGCTTAATAATACCAAAGTGTCCCTTCAGTTTACAGCAGCTAATTAAATAACATGTATAATCAACCACCAATTTAATAATAGTAGTAAGCTTCTTATTTCGGTATGGGTTAAATGACAAACACTGAATATTAGTAATAATTGCATCTTTAGTAAAAAATATATGAAGATATATAGCGTTAGAGAATGTCTTAAAATTAAAGTTAAATTAATAGACAATCAAACGTCCCTTCTTAGTTGCCTTTATAGATGCCATAAAATCCAAGTTAGCCCTAAATTCCTATGCAAAGAAGTCAGCCTTAGATTGCACAATAAGAAATGATTGCGTAAATTGATAGATTAAACTAATATTTTGGGTAATTATGAATCAATCAATCAAATACCTATTAAAAAGAAACAAACATTCTGATTATACTTTTTAAGATATTTAGCAATTATTTCAAAATAATATCATTAATTTTCTTTTATTAAATTAATTAATATTACAATTAATATTTTTAAAAATAAAGCAAAGTAGATGTTAAGTGTATTCACTGCTTTGTAATGTAAAGAATCCCTATGACTTCTAAAAAATTCTAATGCTTTAATTGCTAGAAGGTTTAAGATTGTAAGCACCATCAAAAATATAAAAATAAAATTTACATTTTCAATCTATTAAAAAAAAGCAAACCCAACCATTCCAATTTACTCTATGTTTTCTTGTGGAAAATGCTAAGCTAGAGTCCTTTATGAGCCTGGTGGTATGATATTTATTGTTATGAATATATTTTTACTCTTTGAATAATTTATTATTTATTTATTTAATAAAGTAAGTGATTTGATTTGCTGCACAAGATGTCAAACTATTAACAAAGTTAGCATGGATGCAAATTTACTTAAAAAATAAATGAATAATTAGTTAGATAAAATATTATAAAACCCCATTATGAAGGAATAATAAAAAAATTAAAACTAATAGCCAAAGGATGAACTATCAGAGGATGAAATAAAGTAAATAGAAAAGCAATTTTCCGAAATCAGCATCAAAAAAGATGATCAAAATTAAAGAAGTGAGTCTTTTGATGTAAGTTAGGTTTAAGATGAGTAGTTTATTTAACTCTAGAAAAAGCAATTGGAATAAATAGAATTAATGAAAAAGTAATAATAGCTCTTATAGTAGTAAATTGAATAGAAGCAACAAGCTATTAAGTAATAGTCTGTCCTGTAATCTTAGAAACCAGCCTCACCTTAAGTTTAACCTATAATTATAACCTCTCCTGAATAATCCAAGTATCCTATTCTAGCCTAAGATGATAAATAATAAAATCCTCAATCTATAAATAACTAAAAAGATTTATTAGATCTACCATAATAACCATAGTAAGAATAATAATCGGAGATAATCTAACCTTAATAGAGCTTAAATTAGCAAACTTAAAATCAAGATATGGTTTAATAAAATTCTAGTCACAGCAACTAAATCTAATCTAACCAGGAACAGAATAACAGTATATTTGTAGACCAAAACGTATAAAAAAATAATGATCAACACCAAATCAACGACAACAATAATTATAGTAATTAATAACTATAGTAATAGTAGTAATACCACTAATAGCAATAACAACAACAATAACATTAATAATAAGTAGAAGAATAACAAGTTTAAAGAAACGATAGAGGCTTCTCCATTTTCGAAGACCATCAAATAAATAACTGCTTGCTATGATTTTTGATTGCCTGATTGACCATAAATTGATAACTGTAATAAAAGGAACAAATAAAAATAAATAATAAATGATTAATAAAATTAACAAGCTTTGTATTAAATTTTTCTTATTTTTTATTAGTAAACAATTAATTTAATAAATTAATTTTTTGACATTTATAATTTTTTTATTATTTCTTTTTTTAAAATAATATTTTTTTAAATTAAAGTTTTAAAAATAAATAATAAAACTTCAATATAAAATTATTTTTTAGCTAAATCATCCAAGTCAGCAAGTAATTAAATTTAATTTAATTTATGTAAAAACTATAAAAATGAAATTACAATTTAAAAAATAATTAATATATTTATTTATTTGTTAATCAGAAAATGATTTGTAAGAAAGCTAAAAGAGTAAAGCTATAAATTAAAACTCTGCTATTAGCTGACTGCTAGACTTCAGATACGAAAGTACAAACTCCTACCTATCTGTATAAGCAGCCAAAAGGAGTTGTTTAACATGAATCTTCAGATTAACTAAAACTACAAATTTCTTCCTTTGGTTTACATACTGCAGGAACTATTTCTTAGACCAAACAGAAATTATAATTGACTCCTGTAGTACAAGATTATCTTGATTATGATGAACAAGTTGTTGACTTAGGGTTAATTTTACAGTTAGATGGTTAATCAACTTTACAGTATTCTAAATCACAATTTGAAGTACAATATGCTTGGTTAGTGTTGCAAGTACCAGAAAGCCAAGTACAAAAATTAGCAGATTATCCAGTAGAACAAGAATTTTGATCTTTTGATAGACTACAACCTTAATCTTAAGTAGTTACACCAACGCATGAAGTAGATATCTCGCATTCTGGATGACTAGCACAATCCTAAGGATTAAATGAACTACAATCAACATCAGAAATTAAAGATCCTCTCATTTATTTTTGAGTTTTATTTACACATTTTTGCACAGATTAGCAGTAAGGGCCAGCACACTAATCCCCAATTAAATTTGCACATTGATTAGATGCTTAATTGTATATGCAAGTATTACTAACTTACCAAGTACATTATGTTGTTCCACAAGATTCAGCTGTGGTAAATGAAGGACACTTTTCGGGTTAAGCTGAGCATTTTTAAGGAGTAAAAGTACAATAATCAGCATTACAACCTTAATCAGAAGCATTTGCTGGGCAGGATAAAGGATTAGAAATACATTAAGCAGGTTACTAATTTACCCAAGTACATAGGGAATTAGCAACACATTCTTATTAGAATTTTGTTGCATAACAAGCAGAGTAGCAAAAATTGTATTCTGGTTTTTTGACCCATTAACAGCTTTTATATTATTGGCATACTTCATATTCATTAATGTCTGTACAGTTGTTAAATATGTATTAGCAATTACAAGAGCAAGCTAAAACTAAAAGCAAAATTGATAATTCGAATGAAATTTTCCTCATTTTTCTGAAAGATATTTGCTAGCTATTTTTTTACTAAAGAAGATTAGTTTTTTGTAATTTGTTATTTTGTATAATGATTGATTGTGTTATTTTTGAGTTTGTCTCAATAAATCTATTTTGTTGATTTAATAAAAAATATTGAATTTTTGAAATAATCTTAAATTATAATTGAAAATCAATTAATGAATGAGCTTCTATAAAAATAAATTTACTAATTATCTCTTTCTAATCAGATTTTTTTTAAGCACCTTATTATAGTCATTCGATTAAAGATATTTCCTTTAAACATTTTCGTTTACATATTTTACCATTATAATTGCAAATAATGTATAAAAGAAATTACTTTCTTCGTCATTAATATCTATTTGATGTTATCATTTATAACTTACTTTTTAATATTATTTACCATCACATTAAAGTGCTCAGCTTACTCATAAATAATAACACAAAGCTTAAATTTTGTGGAATTAAATAAGAAGATAAATAGATATATATTCTTTTAAGCAATTTCAAATAAATAAATAAAATTATTTTCATTATTTTAAATGGAAACTATTTTTATTATTTATTTTTTTTCCCTAAATATCTTAATAAAAATCTTGGTCTTTCTTTGGTTATTCTTTTTTGTAAGTTGTTGAAAATTTTAAATTAAATTAAAATAATTTTTATTTTTAATTAAATATCAATCAAATTAGTTTAACAATATTAAAATAAATATTTACAATTTAAAAAAATATAATTTATGCTCATAAAATTGATTCAATTTCAAAAATAAAATTTACATTAATTATTAGTGTGAACACTACATTTATAGGTTTTAAATAATATAATTTTTTATTTTACTTATTTAAAAAAATAAGTTTATAAAATATTTATGAAAATTATAATTTTTTATTTCAGATTATTATTTTTTAAATAAATTTTTTAATAAAAATAATTTACTTAATTTCAATTTGTAAAACAAGCAAGAAAGATTTTAGAATTTGAATAAAAGGTTTAGAAAGAAATTTCGATTTCAATTATTTAATTTATTGAATAATTTGGTTCAATAAACTAATTTGTATCTTTTCAAAACAATACAAACCAATCAATCAATCAAACAATCAAATAAACTAACAAAAATAAGAAATTATTTTCAGACTACTCAAATATAAAGAAAATATTAATTACATATTATTTATTTGATATTTTAGAGTCACAGATTTTTTATTTTCTGATTTTATTTTTGAAATCATAAGAAGATTGTTAAGATTATGCTTAAAATAATGGCTGAGCTCAAATACTGAGAGCTATTGATAGGAATTGAAACTTACTAGCATGAATAAACATTTGACCAATTACAAAAATCTTACTAGTAGCACAAATTTTAAGTATATAATGTGCAGTCTACAGTACTTTTACAGTGGTCAGTCTGATAATCACAATATCCTAAAGATAGGCAAGATGTAAAAGAAGTTTGCTGCAAACATTGATTATCTTTTTAATTGTTTTCACAAGATTGAGGAATCAAAGGTGTATATTAACATAAATCACTTTTTTGTTCACAAGTATCAACGTCGCAATAATCCTTGTTATCAGCACATGAGCTGCAAAATAGATCTGTTTAATCGCATTAACCCACTTTTTATGAGCAGACATCATTTAATGTTTAGCATTTACCTGAAGTAGATATGCATACATTTTCATTAGCTATACTGCAGTGAGGATCACTACCATCAGTTGGTATTACTGCATAACATTTATCAGAACTAGGAGGTACGCATTTAGCTGCAGTACCAGTATCCCATACGCAACCTGCATTTTAACATGTTTGTTAATTTTTATTTTATTGCATGCAAGCTTAAGCTACCTTAGGAGTAAGGGCGCAATCTTTAATAACATATTTACAATATACAGATCCCTAGCCTGCCAATTTGCAGTCAGTTTTTTAAAGATTTTCACACTTATTTGTTGTATAGCAAGCAGCATTATCCCATAAACATTGAGGCTTACTTGCACAAGTTTTACTGTCATAGTTTTAACTGCAATTAAATGTATTTCCTTTAGGAGTGCAAGTTGGTTATTTTACTGGGTTATAAATACATGAATTAGGATAATTACAAGCTGATTTATCTTGATTTAACTGACAAGCATCTGCGAGAATGTTGCAGTTATTAGGATAGGAAACCCATTCGCAATTAGAAGTTTTTTCTATTTTGTTGCAATCATTTTGATTATTTAAAAGACTGCAATTTACTTAATTTTGGCATAATTAGTTATTCGATTATACCCACTTGCAGCTATTATTATGCTAACAACTTGCCTAAGTTAAAAAGAGAGAACAATCTGCAGCTTCACTTGCTAAAATTAACCCTAAACTTTAAATTACTAAAAGGGCAATTATCATTTCTTTTATATTTTGGCTAATAATTAATCCTTTAATTTAATATTAGAAGAAATTTAATTTATAAATTAGCTAATTATTATTGTAAACAAATATTAAAAAGTAAAGCTTTTTATATCTATCAATAGATAGATAAATAGATATGAAATGAGTAGCTGCTGTAAAAGAATTAATTAATTAATCAAATTTATTTAAGAAACTTTAAATTCTAAATTAATTTAGTTCCACCTTTAGTAAATCGAAAAAAAGTTTATATTTATTATCTGTGTTTTCCTGTTCTATTTTATATCAAAAATATTTAATTCAAAGAAAATAATTCTTAATATTAGGCCCTATTTTAAAATATTAAATTAGTCATTGAATATTTTATAATAAATTGAATTCAAATTCATAAAATTAAGAGATTAATTAAATTTAAAAATGATTAATTATAAATGAATTGAAATAAATAATATATATAAATTGAAATATCCATAAAAAGGGGAATAGCAAGTAACTCATTTAATTAAAAGATAGATAATTTAATCAATTTATTCCCACAAATTTAATAGATCTGATCGATTGATATTTATTGATTAAAATAAGTTTCCCATATAGATTAAAAAATGTTCAAGACAAAACAAAGAATTTTAATTCAATAAATTAATTTTAGTGGCTTGTTATAGTAAGAGATAGAAATTAATTAATTTTATTTTTAAAAATATTTAAAAAAATTGAATGAAATAAATTATTATTAATTAATTTCATTTAATTAAATGTTAAATTTTAAATAGAAGAAATAAAATAAATTAAAATGAAATTATTTTTGATTTATTTTGGTTTTTGAATACTTTTTTTTTAGTTTAGATGTAAACTTAACAAATAATTAGTAGATTAGTACTGAAAAGTAATTAGTATAGAGTATGAAAATATTTATAAAATATTGATTAAATGGATGATTAATCATATTTAGAAATATATTTAGTTAATTGTATTTATTTATTTAGTTTGTTTGTTTGTTTGTTTGTTTAAAGTTTAAAATTAAATTATTTTTTTTCTCACATAACAAGCTCAGTTGAAGGAATTTATAATATGACAGCTAAGAATCTTTTCATACAAAGTACAAGAGATGTGTTTTAAGCTAGTATAAACATCTGTATAAACATGTTTATAACGTTTACAATGAATATTACTAAAAATCCTGTAACTATCCCGAAACCATGTTCACCTCCTAGCAAACTCATTGAAAGTGAAGTATTCCCAAATTAGATAAAAAAATTAATCATAGACATAAATTAGGCAACTTTAATAAAAGTTAGGCTACACTTTTTCATGCTGAGATAAACCATAAAAGTCTAAACTGACATATAAATTATACTAAAAATTTAAATAAGAATATTCAGCAAGTGAAAGTAACCTGAAGAGGTTTGTCCAATGAAATAAACAAATGATAACACAAAAAGCCAGATAGGTACTCCTATGCATATAATTTTAGCATATTTATTTAAAGTTTTGTGAAAGTAATTGCAACAATAAACTGGTTTACTATTTGCTAATATGTTTCTATCTAATGATTAATTTGTAAGCTGGAGTTTGTCTACAATTTCTTTCTCTACAAAATCTTTACTAAAAAGATTTGATTTTCCTTTTACGTCTATTGCTGAATAGTCAAGTATCAAATGTCTATGTATTTTTTATAGTAGCACTGAAAGTCCATAAGTAGTTACACTACCTTCTTAGTAGTATTTTTTTTTATTTAGAATAGGAGCAGTGCAGTACGCTATTTCTGGTTTATCATCAAAATCATTGGCTGGATTACTAAGTGAAATTGGTTATGAATTATTAACTATCTATAATTGGAATTACTGTTAATTTATTTAATTATTATTAAATTATTAAATTTCTTCATTCAATTTCTCATTTTCTTATTTTAGTAGCATTATTTGTGCTTCATTCTTTTTTATTTCCATATCTAAGACAGAGTTAGAAAGTTGTTCATATTATTATTGATCATATTAAGGAATTTATTAGCTTTATTACTAATACACAGCATCTTAATTCTAAAATACAATGTTATTACCTTAGATAATGTTGTTTTCCATATTTTATTACTAATAAAAATCATATTATTAATTATTATAGTTTGGTAGGTATTAATAATTTATTTAAGAAGGTATATGCTATTATGGCATTTAATTAATCATTTAATATGGTATTTATTAAGGTATGTATGGCGCTGATGCTGGCTGTTAATAGTATTAATTACCTGAACTATATTATATGTGTTGATTTTAGTTTAAACTTAACATTTTTATTAAAAATAATGAATTATCTAACTAATAAGTTATTTATTATATAGAGATCCTATGAAAAAGTTAATTTAATTACTTAATCTATTTAATTTTTTGATTTATATCCTCATTACTCCAATTTTAATCAATTAATGTAGTGAGTATATTTTAATTTCATTAAATTTTTATTGCTTAGTCTTAATATTAGGTATTGCCTTATCAGATACAACATTTAAAATAATTACTTTATCATTATTTTTTAAAAATATTTAAATTTAACTTATTAACCAGAAATTAACAATATTACGCAAGCATAAAGTCTCGTTTTTAAAATTTAAATAAATCAAAAACAAATTTCAACAGCAAAAATAATAGTAAACAAACAATTATTTTCATTTAAAACTTTAATATTGATTACTGAAAAATGTAATTTTAATACTAGAGGAAAGATATTCTAGAATGGCAATAGTAGTCTACATAAATCGAGAGTTGTAACTAATTGCCTGCTAGTTATTAGTTTCTTAGTAGTATTAAACTGACCTGCACAGTCAACTAATTTAAATATCATTGAAAATGAGTGATATTTTGTTAAAAATTATCTTTTCTATATTCGAATTAATCAATTAAAACCAAGATTATGTATTTTATTATTCTAAATAAATAAATAAATAAATAAATAAATAAATAAGTATTCTTCTCGGAGTATGAAATGCACACAGAGAGTTAGTTAATTTAATCAATATATTAAAACTATATAACAGAATAGAAGAAGTATTAGAATAGGAATGTTAGGAAACAAGATATAGAAAAACATTTCTAAAAATTTATTTATAGATAGATAAAAATATTTTTGTAATATTACGGTAACTCATTTTATAGATATGTAGAGTATTTATTTATTTTTTATACAATTAAGTTTACATACATAGGTAAGTACATATTATTTATTAACTTAGATTTTATTTATCATTAAAACAATAATTGATATTATATAATAATAATTAAAATTGGAACAATTAATACAACATATTATAATCAAATAAAAATTGTTATTAAAAAGTTGGCAAGGAAACTATACTTTAGATATAATATATATTAATTTAAATTTAAGATTAATAGGAAATCTACATGTTTTTTTTGAACTTTTTATGAAATATTAGATACAAATTTCACTATCACACAAGCAAAAAAGATGAAAAATATTAACAGTTTATAGTTGAAGAAAAATGTGCATTAGCAAACAAATATTAATATCTATAATTTATCAGAAAATAATAAAAAATAACAACATTTTTTAATATAATAAGTATATGAATATAGATAGATATGAGATAATTAAATTAAAAGATTTGGCATAATTAAATTCCTGTAGCAAATACTATATCAATCCTCATTAATTAAGAGTCTAGATAGAATATTTAGGGAAAAACTTTTTTGATTATAAAAATTAGTGGGTTATGAATGAATATTTTTATATTGACTTGTACCTACCTTGATGAGTAAGTTAAATTACAAATAGGAATACATTCAAAAAACAGTATTTAATTTTTAAATTTAAATAAAACTTTCTCAAATAATTAATAGACACTCTTTTGAGGTGAAGAAATAAATAGCAAACTGGAATAGGTTGCATACTAATTAATTTCTATAAAAATAACTCCTTTAATAACTTAAAAAAATATAAATATATCTAAAATTAATTATTACTTGATTGATTATTTTATAATAAATTTTTAGTTTTTTAATTTAGGGAAATTTTCTTAAAAATTTAACTAATCACATGTTTTTATTCTAATTTATACGACTCCTTAATTAATAGGATTGACAATATATTTATTATCTGTAATTTTTAGTTGATATTTAATATTAAATAGTTTTTTGAATTCAATTTATATTATTTTGGTACTTTTACCCAAAAGATGGTTAATTTGCACTGTTATTTTTTAGATTCCTTCAAAATTCATATTAAAACCATATAAAAATAAATAAATAATTTGTAAAGGTAGAGTGGTAAATTGTTTGTTGAGAAGTTGCATTATCTTAGCTAATAATTAATTTATTGTAAAATTAATTATTTACATTTAACTCATAAAAAATAAAAAATTAATTTGAAAGAAATGCCATATCAATAATTTATTTTTTATTTATTTAATTAATTTCTAAAATTTAATAATTAAATTGATTTAATTTTTAAAAATTGTATATGTATGTATGTATAAATGAGTCATCATATAAAATACTATAATATGTTATTATAAATTTAATTCTATGACTAAAATAAATCAATCAATTTGTAGGAGTAATTTCCACACCTGTTTCTAGGATACCACAAGCATTGCCAGGAGCTAATAAGAAATACCCTTGCTAGCCCCAATCATCAGCCCAAGAATTCTTTAGAATCCAGTTACCTTTCTCATCATAACCAACAGCTAATACAGCATGATTAATTTCAATTGTTTAATTTTTGCAATCATAAACACCTGAAACGTAATCTCCTAATAAAGTAGCATCAATAGAGACAGAAACAGGAGCATTATTCAATGCAACTTTTAAAGCCTCGGTTGTCTCTGGTAAAGAATAATATGATACTGGTTTAAAATTGGTAGTTGTGCTGTTAGTGGTATTGCAAGATCCCTAGATTCCAACATAAGGATACTCTGCTTCTGTCTTGACTCCATAAAGGGAAGCATATCTTATAGCTTCACCAGGAACTCCACCTTCACAGCCAAAAGAGTAAAATCCTCCATTTTTCTCGGTAGTGCAATCAACAAATTCTTGTTCTGAGAATCTTAATAGAACTTTGTTGTGGATAGCATTATAAGATTCCATAGCAGCAGTTGCAGAGAAAGCCCAGCAAGATCCACACTCTCCTTAGTTTTTAACTGGAGTTACGACTCCTTTAGTTCTCCAATCAATAGAAGTAGCAGGCTGAACATCATTAACAGAAGCTTGTTACTTTTGAACATAGTTTTTACCATTTGATAAAATATTTGGGTTTTAGAGAATCTTTTATGAAAATTCCTATTAAGTCATATCAGAAAAACGATTAACTCCTATTTGATAAGTGTTTTCAGGATTGTTGTTATGGTCTTAAATCTTTTAGTAATTTTCTAAGAAAATAGCCAATCTGTAGTCTGATTCAGCTTCGTTCAAGTAAATTCTAGGGTAGTTTCTAGTGAATTTGTTATAAGCTTAAAGAGCCTCAACAAGAGAGACCTAATCAGCATATGCAGAGCAGATAAAAGCTGAGAATATGATAGCAAGCAGTAATTTTGTATTCATTTTTTCTTATTTATTTAATCTATTTATTTAATTTAAATTTTAATAAAAAGTAAAAAAAGCTAGAGTATTTAATCCAAAGAAATCAGCAATATTTATGTAAATAAAGTAGTGTTTTATAGTGCTTATTTTAAATTAGGCCAGCATATATTAAAGATGAGTACTTTATAGACAATATTCATTTTCTGTTGATTTCTATTTCCTTTTATTTTTGAATTAATTTAGAAATTGAATGATGATCATATTTAGCCAACAAAATTTAATAAATCAAATTAATTAAAGCATGAACGATTGTATTTTAGATTTTTATGTAGTCTTTTAAAGTATTATTAATCATAAATTTGCTTAAATGCAAAAAAAAATTACTACAAATAATACAAAAATTATTAAAGATAAAAAGTATCTATTTTATAAATTGAATGCATGATTTAAAATATGAAATATATGTTTAATTTATTACAGTAAAAAATGTGGTTAATATCATTTTATTTCTAAATAAGGTATATTAAATAATATTATTATACAAGTTCAATGCCTAAGTTGATGTATTTTTGAATAAGTTTAATATAATTTGAATTATTAAGCTATTTCCTTAATTTAAATATTACGTATTATTTAGTTTTGATAATTATGTTTGATTCAAAAAAAAAAGACTAGATAATTAATTCTGAGAAAATTAGATCAAATAGAATTTTTATGTTGATTTTGAAAAAATTAATCTACTAAAAAATGACAATTAGAAAATGGGATTAAAGCAATTAAATATCTAATTATTCCCATAATTAACTAACTCAATCAAATGCAATCTCCTCTAAATAGAAAATTACTAATATTTTATATGCAAATGTGAATCAGAAAATAATTCATTTTAGGTTTTAGGTTAAAAGCTAAATTCATTTTGACAGAATTTGCTTTCTATTTCTGTTTAGTGCTTAACTTACCATTTAAATTAAAGACTATAAAAATAATTATCAGAAATCAAAATAAAAAAATATAGTCTTTTTGATTACCATTGATCCAAATTTTATAAAAAAATGGATGAAAGATAAAAAGTAATGAGAAAAATAATAATTGCTTAATATCTAAAACCTGTAAAATATACAAAATTTAGAGCACGATAATATATATTTTACTTTTTAATAGGGTATTCACAAATTTAAAAATATTTTGTTCATTAATTTTACAATTTAAATTTTTTAATAAATGATAAATCATTTTAGATAATAAAAAGCTTGTGAATATCAATTTATTGTTCATTTTTATTTAAAGAAGGAGCTGAACTTTTAAATCATAAATTTATAAGTACAAAATTGATATTAGAGCAATTGATATTTATATAGTTTCAATTTTATTATTTATCACAATAGTATCAAAAATTAAGTTTTTTGAGTATTTGTCAAAAGTTAATACTCTATCCTAATCCCTAACTCAACCATTTTTAAGAACAATTATACCAATATATCTTTAATAATATAGTTTTTAAGGTAATAAATAGTTTTATATTTTATTTTGATGGAAATAAAATATCAAATACTTTGCAATTAAAATGAAGATTATCAAAATTAATTAAAGAGGATTAAACAGTTGTGATAATTCTTATACTACTTTTTAGTGTTTCTCCAACTATTTTTTGAAAATGGTTGATTGCTAAAAGTATAAAATTCATAGTCTTTAATACTATTTTTTTATGTTTTGAGTCTTTAACCTAAGTTCTATCAGCACACACTGATTATAAGAATGACTTTTTAAAATGTATTATTTATTTTAAAATAGTTATTTGAAGAGTTAAATATAATACTAAAATTCATAACCAAGTAAAAAATGATAATATATTTCTTTTTTCATATATTGTTTATGATGTAATAAATATATTAAATTCATAAATACTTTAACAATTTAAAAAACTTTAAAATTATTAGAAAAATATTTTCAGTAATTTTAGATAATCTAAAGTGAGAGATTTAATTTAATAATCAAATTAATTTCTAAATAATTAATTTTTTTATTTTGTAAGATTTAATTTATTTGTATTTTATGAAAGTGCTTTGTAATTTTATTATAAATACATTAGAATTGTAAAAATAGCTTAAGCATAAAAAATATTTATACTTGTTTAAATTTGTTGATAAAGTATATATAGTGCTTATTAATAACATTAAGTTAATAAAATAAAGAATTATATCTTACATAAATAAAAAGTTTGAAGTGATATTTAAAAAATAAAACACCAATAACCATAATTTTGTTAACAATAAATGAGTAAGGAAATAAAAATATAATATTAATTATATTTTAGATAACTTAATTTATGTTAAACGAAAGTAAACATTGTAAATTATTTTATCTAGATATAAGTGGTTGTATTTATTTTAAGAAATGTTGCCTTAATAGTTTCTAAATATATTATTTTTAAATTTGTCAATTCTGTATTTTTTTAATATTGGAAATAATACTCTAAAAATCAATTTCAAATATTTTGCTATTTAATTTAAATTTTAATATTGAAATTTTGTTAAAATAAATTTAAAAGCACAAATTTAAATCACATTTTTAAAGAAATTTTAATTTTTGTTTGTTTGTTTGTTTTAATAAAATTAAAAAAGCGTAAATAAAACTAAAAATTGCTTAATAGCATGTATTATTTATTTAAATTTCTAATTAAAAAATAAAATACTTACTTACTTAATTACTTACTTACTTATCGCTTAATAAATTGACTCAAAAAAAATTGATTTCTTTAATTTGGATGAGTTGATATTTAAATTATAGATAAAGATTAAATGTTATTTGTACTTAAAAATATGTAATTGTGCTTAAATAGGTAAATGATTATCAAGCAAGCAAGTGATATTTTATTTAGTAGAAAGAAAAGAGTCACTAAATTAATTTATTATTAAACAAAATATATTTAAAATTAATTAATTTCGATTAATATAATTTTATGGAGATTATTTGCTTTTATATTCTGAAATAGAAGAGCTATAGAAGAGCTAGAATTACTTATATAGACACTTAAATTATTAGTAAATATAATGATAGTTTTAATTAATTAATTAAGTAATAATTGATTGATTGATATATGCATAAAGATTGCAATTTTAATATAATTAAAAAAAAATCAAATCATTTAATATTCATATTATTTTAAATAATAATTGTAAACAAGTAAAATTTTAATAAAAATGATGTACTTTGATAAGAATTTTAGAAGAGACTGTGCTAACAACACTGCATCTGAAAATAAGATAGATCAGATGCTTTAGGAATTTGAAATCGTAAAATTAAATAGTTTACAAGCTCCAATCGATTAATTCATTTACCATTTGTTAAAAAATTAGAATAAATAAAAGAAATTACTCGATGAGATGAAAAGAAACCCTTAAAAACAAATTAAGCCAAACCCTGAAGATGAAGCAAAGAAATAAGAAGAGCAAAAAAGTAATGTTGTTGAAGAAAAGTATAATAAATATTAATATTGATTTTATTTTCAATAGACTAAGTTAAACCTAACGAAGCATTAGATAAATTGCTTAAAGCTATAAAAATAGAGACGAAAACTTCAAAGTGCTTAGAGATGATTAAGACACTATTTAAAGGGCACATTTTAGAGCTACATCCAGCTCACATTTTAGATGTAAATGCAAACTAAAAAATGAATAAATGAATGAATTAATATAATTTTTAAATAATAAAATAAAGACTGTTTACTTGCTAACAGATATTCCATTAAATTATCGAAAGTAAGATGATTTAAAGTACTTGATAGTAATATTGAATATCATTATAGATGCAAGAGAGCATTGTATATTAAGAGAATATGGAAATTTTTATAAAATAATAGATACTTTTAGAATCAATCTTCTTTTATTTAGAGATGACTCATTTTAGGTACTATTTAATTCTTTATTCTTATATATTTCTCTTTTGCTTTCTTACTTACAATATATGTGAGTGAATTGGCAACAATAAATTAATTTTATTTCATTTTAATAGTTCCAAGCATACATGAAAAAAATTAATGAACATCTCAATATGTTTTACGAGTAGACAAACTACTTTAAGACTATCAATTTTTAAGAACCTCAAGAGTAGGAGTAGGTTGATCAGCAAAAAACCTAGGAATAAGAATAAAAACCAGTAGCAGAATAGAAGTAAGAAATTCCTTAAATTTCTATTTAGCAAAAAGATTAAGATTAGCTAGAAGATGTAGACAAAAAGGAATCAAACGATGAGGGATCTAAGGTTTCTGCTATTAGAGAGAGATTAATGAAAAAGAAGTAAGAAAAGTTGCAAAAAAAAGATGAAGAGAAGACATAAAATTTAATTCAGTAGATACCAAATTAGGAATTGTAGCAATAAGCAGAACAAGCTCCTTAGCAAATTAAACTAATTAAAAAAGAAGATATTGTATAAAAACCTGAATCTAAGGTTGCTTATGAATACAGTTTATCTGAAAATCTGTAAAATTTACTTGTAAATTAAATTTAAATTTATTATTTATTTAGTCTAGTTATCATACTAACTCTTTAATTATTTATTTAGAAAAGTAAATTAGCTCAGTATAATTTTTAGAAAAAGCTTTTAGTAAAAGCGTTGATGTCTATGAAACATTTGCTGAACAGAGAATGGTCAAAAATATCTGTCTATTCTTTAATTAATGACATATTCCTAAATTACAGGTAAACAATATGAAATATTTATTTTTGAAAATAGTAAACAAGTCTTTTTACAAATTTAAATAGAGATCACTTTGATGAGTAAAGTATGAAGAAAATTGACGATTTCATGAGTGAATTGCAAGAGTTAAAAGCTCAAGATTCTAAAAAATAAACATAAAGAAACATTTAAGAAAGCTAAATTGTAGGAAATGCTGTTAGCTCTAAATTCGATGTTAAAAAAGTAAATCTAACTGGAGCAACTCCTACTTCTGGAGACAGTTTGAATGCTTGGGCTAGTAAATAAAGTGGTTTATGAAAGATTAATCAAAAAAAATAGATAAACAAATATTTTTTATTTAAATCTAATAAAAATACTAAACAAATAAACATTAAATAAAAAAATAAATAAATAAATAAATCAAAAAAAGATTATTTTAATTTTTGTATTTTACTTTATATTAAATTTTAATTAATGTATTTTTATAATTATAAAACATTAGTTAATTAACTCAAAAAAATTTTACTTTCAACTTTATGAATTCATTAATTTAGAATTTAATTCTATTGATGTGGATTAAAAAGTCAATTAATAAAATTATAATTACAAAAATTAATGGATTTTGTTTATTTGAATTGATTTTATTTATAAATCACATTAATAATAAATAGGTTGGTCAATTTATTTTTAATAAAGACTATTTATTAAATAAATATTTCAACAAAATTTACCATACTCCCTTAGTTATAAACAGTGTCTTAGATACCAGATATATTGGTTGTCTCATATTGCAATTCCGTCAAATAATAAATATTTAGAAATATCTAATGTCATTATGGCATTAACAAATCTTTTAGTATTTGTTGCAACTGATAAAGGTTTAGAAACAAATGAAAAAATTTTTCAAAAAACAATTTTTCTATTTATATATTACCTCTGACAAGAGTCTATCTATCTATGACCTATTTAACAATTTATATAGTTAGAAAAATTATTATTTTTAACTAAAAGGGTATTTCAATTATAATATACTTTTAAAATTTTACATATAAAAATGAAATATTATTTTATTTATTTACATTTAATTTATAATTTTTTTAACCTCAGCTTTTAATAATGTCTTAATCCATAGTGCAAAACTACCATTTGAAAAAAAAATAAGAAAAGATTAATTATAAATAACTTTTGAAGTAAATTGATTGGATAAAATTGTAAAATTTGAATTAAATTTATCAATAAATATAAATAGAATTATATTGATTAATAGAAATTATTTGAATAAATTTCAATTAAAAGAAAAGTAATAATTAAAATAATAAGTCCAATAATAATCTGAGGAAATTTCTTAGTAAAAATTGATTTTTTATGAACATTGTAATTCACTTATTTAAATATTTGTAATTTTTATTTTATAAATTTTAAATAAAGCTAAATATAAATAATTGCGCTTAAAAAATATGTTTAAACTGAATATAAAAATATAACTTAATTTTAGTTTTTAAATTATTTTTTAGATTTTAAAATGTATTTTTTTTTTTGAATGAATAAAAAAGAATCAACAAATTTTATGTAATAAATTAATAGCTTTTAAACAAAATAAATATATTTTCAAAAAAACAAAAATAAATTGAAAGATTAAAATAAGTAAGTAAAATATAAAACAATATAAATTTAAAAGCGTGAAGAATGTTATTAAGAAATATTGGGAGTGTTTTAATTAAATGCTCATATTTTAAAATATTTTATGAAAAATTAACAAATAAATCATCTACTTTTTGTTTGAGAGGAAAATAGAATGAAATTTTTGTTGTTGTTTTTGTATTTGATAAATTTTAAATATTGTGTAATCTTTTTGTAAAGAAAAGATATTAATTAAAATAGGTCATATATCAAATTTCAAACATTAATTTGTGTAATCTATCATTTTAAAAGATAATTAAATGATTTGTGGCTTTGATTTAAATTTATTACACTTTCTAAATTAATTTAATGGTAATTAAAAATGAATATTTAACAATTTATTGCCATATGTCAAATTTAAATGATGTGATAAATATTTAATGATGCAATAACTATTTGCTTGTAGATTAAAATCCATAACTTTTCAGCATTGAACATTAAAAGCCATTTCATTTTTTTAAATTTATACTTGCCATTTGAAATAACTTTTTTATTTAAACAGATTAATTTGAATGTGTGTCAAACTAATTTCAATTTCAATCTTTGAAAGATAAATAATTCTATTTTATTGAGTTTTATCTCTCATTTAAATTTTTTGAAGTTAAAAAAATAGTTTAATTGTATTTATCATACAAAAAATCCAGATTAAAATAAGCATTTAAATTTAATAAAATTAGCTAAGAGAGATTAATTCCACAATGTTAGTTACTTAATCATGTCTTCAAATAAATGGTATATTTACGAATTATGGCTAAAATTTAATTGAAAAATGTAAGAATGAGCTATAGTATAAAAAATAAGCAGCTTGTTTCGAAGAGATTTTAATTTAACTATAACTATTTATATTTGAATTATCACTTTAAATTATTTATATACGTCATTATTGTAAAAATAAAATGACTCATTAGTGCAATAAACCAAAATGAAATGCATTTACACTTATTTTGCAAATAACTTTGAGTTTTTTATTTAAATAAATTTAATTTATTGATTGATTGATTAATCCATCTCTATTTAAAAATTTGTTATATTTAAGATATCGCTTTTAGTTTTATAAATTGTTTATAATTAATTAAAAAAATATTAAAAAAAATTAAGTTTTTTGTTATGTCATCTTCAAAATTGTCAGCAAAATAGCATAGTAAAAGCGAAGCCATTTAGGAAAATGGCAAGGCACATCACAAAGAGGATAATTTAACCAAAAAAGATGTAGATGAAGGAATCAAAAGCAGTGATTCAGAAACCACTTCTTCCTTGAAAAGAGAATTTTTCTAGTTGCGTCCTTCTTTGCTCGATGAATTAGAGGAGAATTCAGAAATTCGTAAATCGAAATTTAGGGGAGTATTTATGGCCCTTTACCTACTAATCTTCACCTTTTTACTTTCTAAGCCAATTTAGAATTTTATTAAGAATGGCTACGCTTTTTCTCCAGTGTTATTTAACAGCTTTAAAAATGATTTCTTTCTTTGCATTATTACTTGGCCTCTTTTTTATGCATGGAGCTACACTGCCTTTATTCTTCAAAAACTTATCCTTTTGGGTCTAAATGATAAACTAGCTTCTATTTTACAGCATTCAACTCAATCCGCTATCTTCGTTTATACCATTTACATGACATTTACTCGCGATTGGTGCTCAACTCATGCAACTTTCTGTTGCCTACTTGCTTGCTCACACTTTATGAAAATGCACTCCTACACATAGGCAAACAAAAAATATCGCGAAATTTACCTCCGTAGTCAAAAGCAAAGCATAATAAAGAAAAAAGTGTCAGGAAACAAAGAGTTCTCAGATGAAGATAAAAAAGCCGTTAATTCCTCTAATGATCAGTAAAAATAAAAAGGTTAAACAAATGGAAAAAATAGCATCAGCTAAAATGTAGAAGATAGCGATAATGAAGATAAAAAGAAAGATATACCTTATCCATAGAATATTAACATAAAAAACTTTACTCTCTTTATGTGGATGCCAGTTTTGATTTATGAAAAGAGTTATCCTCGTTCTCCAAAAGTGAGAATATGGTACATTCTCTTGAAATCTACAATCACTGCCTTTTGTATTTTAGCAGCATATGCTATTTGGACAGATTATGTTATGCCTGTAATATAATTAGGTCACACAATTCATAGGATAGAACTTATATTCTAGTTGTTATTGCCACTAGGTGCCTTTAATATGTGTCTTTTCTACATATTGTTTGAAAATATTTTAGGAGTTTTTGCAGAAATCACTCGTTTTGGTGATCGTAAATTCTTTGATGATTGGTGGAATTGTACATCTTATGAAGAGTACAACCGTAAGTGGAATCGTCCAGTCCACCTTTTCTTATACAGACATGTTTATTTAGAATGCTTAGAAGAATATAAAACCTCTAAATTTACAGCTCAACTGGTCACTTTCTTTTTCTCTGCCCTCTTACATGAGTGGATTGCTGTAATGGTATTCAGAATAGTACGTCCTATCCTCTTCGGATTTATGCTTTTCTAAATCCCTTTATTCTTTATGATGAAGCCATTTAAAGGACAAGCCCTTGGAAATGCAATTTTCTGGTTTGGTCTTTTCATGGGTCCTACACTGATAGCTGTTGGTTATTTAAGATCTGATGAATACGTTACTCATTACTTCTCTTACTAATGGTACACTCAAAATGATTTATGAAAAATAACAACAAATTAATAAATAAATAAATTTATTTTTATTTAAAAATGAATTAGAATTTTAATTTAAGTATTTAAAAGAAACATAATAGTTTAAATAAATAAATAAATAAAGATAATTAGTTTGCTTATATTTATTGGCATTAATCAGCATTTTATAGATAGATAGATATATTGCATTAATTAATTTTATTCTTCTTTTCATATTTGTAATGAGTTTTTTTAAAAATCAAAAAAATAACTTTAATATTAAAATAAGTAAAAGATAGAAAATATTAACAAATATCTTGTGCAACTTCCATTTTACTTATTTCCTTAAGTGCATGCACTAAAATCTATACCAAAATTACTATCTTTTTTTTATAAATTAAAGTTTTAGAAATAAAAAGTTATTGCTCATAAACATTCATTTAGATTTATGTACAACTTAACTTCGCTAACTCATATTACTAACTAAAAATGTATTTAAAATTTCATAAGCATTATCAAATAACAAAAAACAGAAAATAAAAATAATAGGTTAATTTTTAATCAGTATTTTCTAAACAAAATAAATTAGAATTTTCAAAGAAAAATAAATTCAATACACAAATAAATATTAATCTGCTTAATATTTTATTTAATTTTAAATGATAAAAATATGAGATTCGTAGAATAAGTATTTTATAAATGTAAATTATATTTTTTATCATAATTTTTTTATTTAGGAAATTACGATTCAAGTTTCTACTGAAAAATATTTTACATTAATCAAATTAACTCACTTTTTAAGTTAATAAGAATAAAATCTTTTGTTATTATGATTTTTAAAAATAAAAAATTTATTTATTACTTATTTGAATTGTTTTTTTATTTAAAATATTATTTATAAATTATTTCAAACAGTTTTCTTCATTTTTAAATATCAAATATTATATAATGGACAGATGAATGGAATAATAATTGATTCATTTATGAAAACTGATTGTAAAAATAAATATTAAAATTAAAAAAAATTGTAAAAATCAAATAGTAAATTTTTAAAATCAACAATGATTTTTGCAAAAAATTTAATTTATCTATTTCATTGAGGATAAAATCAAATTTAACAAATAGAACAAATAAAGAAAATTTCCAACAAAATTAACAAATCTAAAACTTAATATTAAAGTTTAGAAATAAATGAGAAAATTATAAATTTGTAAAAATTTGGCTTATTTAAAATTTTTTTCTTATTTTTATCTAAAATTCTTAAATCTAAACAATTCTGATAAGCACGTTTTTTTAAGAAGTGTTTCAAAGCTATTTAAAATATAATAATAAAATAATAAAAACATAAAATAGAATATAAAGAATAAAAAATAAATAATTCAAGAAAAATGGGCTGTTAAAATTCAACTGGTTAAGTAAATGATATTCAAGCAAAAAACAGTGCTAACTTAGTTTTAGGTTATTGGGGACTTCCATTAAGAGGTCAACCTCTCAGATATATCTTAGAGCTTGCTAACTATCCTTACACAGAAACTAAATACACTTTATCTCAAGCTACTGATTGGTTTGGTAAAGATAAATAAGAACTAGAATTAGATTTCCCAAATCTTCCATATCTCATTCATGGTGATTTCTCAATTACAGAGTCTTCTAATATTGCAAACTATTTGATCCAGTTAACAAAATAATATTATCTTCAAGGAGAAGGCTAAGATAAATACAGAGTTGATAACATTAGATATGTATGCGATGAACTGGCAGCTAAAATATTTTCATCAACTCTCTAGAAGGAAGAAGAAAAGAAGAATTAATTAGACACTTAAATTCTTCCTAAAATTAAATAGCTCTAAAAGGTATTAGGAACTTAGACTTCATTCTTCAAGAAATTGACTTTAGCAGACATTTATGCTTACACAGCATTGGCCTATTTCAAAAAGACATACTCTAAGGAATATCAGCAATTCTCATCAGACTTCGATCCTTTTTTAAAGAGATTTGAAGAAATTCCTAGAATAAAAAATTATCATCAATCTTAAAGATATAAAAAGTTATGAATTAGTATTATTCATCTTATTTGTTTTATCATAATTTTTGTTATACATATAAAACTTAGATTGTAAATTTACACATTTTTAAAACAAATATGAATAAAATCTTTTGGTAGAATGATCTTGAAAAATAAAAAATAAGTTAATTAGTTTTTGAAATATAATTTTTTTATTTAAAATATTGTTTGTAAATTATTTCAAACTTTATTATATTTTATTTAAAAAATCATTTTAAAAAATTAGTTTTATTTATTTATAAAGATTTAATAATATATGATGGATCGATGATTGATTCATTTAAGAAAACTTGTTGTAAAATTAAATTATTAAAATAAAAAAAATAGTAAAAATCATTTTTGCTTTAAAACTATGATTTTTAAATTAAGACATTTATTAATTTTTTAATAAATATGAATGAATAAAAAACTTTTGCTTAGATGATTTTTCAAACTAAAAAATTTATTACTAAAATGAAAAGTAGTTTTTTTATTTAAAATATTTTTTGTGAGTAATTAAAAAATTTTTCATTTATTTAAAATTATTATAGAAAATCAGTTTTCTTTTTTTTAATATTAAATATTCTATAATGGATGGATTTACTGAGTGATTTATTTATGAAAACTGGTTTTAAAAATAAAGTATTAAAATTAAAAAAAATTGTAAAAATCAAATAGTAAATTTTTTAATCAACAATGATTTTTGCAAAAATTAAATTTATCTATTTCATAAGGACAAAATCAAATTTAAGAAAATAGAACAAATAAAGAAAATTTCCAACAAAATTAACAAATCTATGACTTAACATTAAAGTTTATTACAAAGAGAAAATTATGAATTTGTAAAATTTAGCTTATTTAAAATTTTATTCTTATTTTTATCTAAAATTTCTAAATCTGAATAATTCTGACAAGAATGTTTTTTTAAGAAATTTATCAAAGCTTACAAATAAATATAAAATAAAAACATAAAAAAGAATATTATAAATAAAAAATATAAATTCAAGTAAATATGGGCTGTTAAAATTCAACTAGTTTAGTAAATGATATCCAAGCAAAAAATAATGATAACTTGGTTTTAGGTTATTGGGGACTTCCATTAAGAGGTCAACCTCTCAGATATATCTTAGAGCTTGCTAACTATCCTTACACAGAAACTAAATACACTCTATCTCAAGCTACTGATTGGTTTGGTAAAGATAAATAAGAACTAGAATTAGATTTCCCAAATCTTCCATATCTCATTCATGGTGATTTCTCAATTACAGAATCTTCTAATATTGCAAACTATTTGATCCAGTTAACAAATTAACAATATCTTCAAGGAGAAGGCTAAGATAAATACAGAGTAAATAACATTAGATATGTATGCGATGAACTGACAGCTAAAATATTTTCATCAACTCTCTAGAAGGAAGAAGAAAAGAAGAATTAATTAGACACTTAAATTCTTCCTAAAATTCAATAGCTATAAAAGGTATTAGGAAGTTAGACTTCATTCTTCAAGAAATTGACTTTAGCAGACATTTATGCTTACACAGCATTGGCCTATTTCAAAAAGACATACTCTATGGAATATCAGCAATTCGCATCAGACTTTGATCCTTTTTTAAAGAGATTTGAAGAAATTCCTAGAATAAAAAATTATCATCAATCTGAAAGATATAAAAAATTATGAGTTAATATTATTCATCTTATTAGTTTATCATAATTTTTGTTATACATATAAAGTTATGATTTGTAAATTAACACATTTTTAATAAATATAAATAAAATATTTTGATAATATGATCTTACAAAATAAAAAATTAATTTATTACTTCATTAAACTTAGTTAGTTTTTTTATTTAAAATGCTGTTTTTAAATTATTTCAAAATTTGTAGTTTTATATTTTATTTAAAAAATTTGTTTTCTTGTTTATAAATATTAAATATTCTATGATGGATCTATGAATGAATGAATGAATGAATGATTGATTCATTTATGAAAATTGGTTGCAAAAATAAAGTATTAAAATTAAAACTATTTGTAATAATATTTTTACTTTAACATATAAAATAATAAAGTTTTTAAATTAACACATTTTATTAGCAAATATGAATAAAATCTATTACTAGAATTTTTAAAAAAATAAAATTTAATTTATAACTTATTTGAAATGTAGTTTTTTTTAAAATATTGTTTGTTGATTATTCAAACTTCATTATTTTATATTTTATTTAAAAAACTATTTTAGAAAATTAGTTTTAGTTAATAACAAATATTAAATATTTTATGATGGATTGATGAAAGGATAGATGGATGGATGATTTATTGATTGATTCATTTGCGAAAACTAGTTGTAAAAATATAGTAAAAATTTGTAAAAATAGTTTTTACTATACATATAAAACTAAGATTTGCAATTAATTAAGACATTTTCTAAGCAAATATGAATAAAATTTTTTGCCAATTATATCTTTAAACTTAAAAATTTATTACTAAAATGAAATGTAGATTTTTTATTTAAAATATTATTTGTAAATTATTTCAAACATTTACATTTATTTTAAAAATAATTTTAGAAAATAACTTTACTTCATTTATAAGTATTAAATATTTTATAGTGGATCTAAAAATGAATGGATGATTGATTCATTTGTGAAAACTGGTTATAAAAATAGGTATTAAAATTAAAAAAAATTGTAAAAATCAAATAGTAAATTTTTTAATTAACAATTAATTTTGCAAAAACTTAATTTATCTATTCCATAAAGATAGAATCAAATTTAACAAAATAGAACAAATAGAGAAAATTCAGAACAAAATTAACAAATCTAAGACTTAAAATTAAAGTTTAGAACTTAATGAGAAAATTATGAATTTGTAAAAATTTGGCTTATTTAAAATTTTTTTCTTATTTTTATCTAAAATTCCTAAATCTAAATAATTCTGACAAGCACGTTTTTTTAAGAAGTGTTTCAAAGCTATTTAAAATATAATAAAAAAATAATAAAAACATAAAAAAAGAATATTAGAAGTAGAAAATATAAAATTCAAACAAAATGGGTTGCTCAAATTCAACTGGTTAAGTAAACGATATCCAAGTAAAAAATAAAGATAACTTAGTTTTAGGTTATTGGGGACTTCCATTAAGAGGTCAACCTCTCAGATATATCTTAGAGCTTGCTAACTATCCTTACACAGAAACTAAATACACTCTATCTCAAGCTACTGATTGGTTTGGTAAAGATAAATAAGAACTAGAATTAGATTTCCCAAATCTTCCATATCTCATTCATGGTGATTTCTCAATTACAGAGTCTTCTAATATTGCAAACTATTTGATCCAGTTAACAAATTAACAATATCTTCAAGGAGAAGGCTAAGATAAATACAGAGTAGATAACATTAGATATGTATGCGATGAACTGACAGCTAAAATATTTTCATCAACTCTCTAGAAGGAGGAAGAAAAGAAGAATCAATTAGAAACTTAAATTCTTCCTAAAATTCAATAGCTCTAAAAGGTATTAGGAAGTTAGACTTCATTCTTCAAGAAATTGACTTTAGCAGACATTTATGCTTACACAGCATTGGCCTATTTCAAAAAGACATACTCTAAGGAATATCAGCAATTCGCATCAGACTTTGATCCTTTTTTAAAGAGATTTGAAGAAATTCCTAGAATAAAAAATTATCATCAATCTGAAAGATATAAAAAATTATGAGTTAATATTATTCATCTTATTTGTTTTATCCAGCGATGTATGAGAATAAAAAATTTATTAAGAATATGAATTATGAATTATATATTTTATTATAAAATTAATTGAATATAAATTTGAATAATTTTTTTTTTTTTAATTTGAATATTCAAAAAATATTCGAATAATAAAATGAATATTTTATTTTAGAAAATGTATTTATTATCATGCATATTAAAAATCAAATTATATTTATTGAATTATTTTTTAAACAAACAAACAAACAAACAAAAAAATTAATTATCTATTTAAATATTATTAGATAGATATCTTCTTCAGTGATAGTATTATATAGAGATGTTAAATGGTTAACCGAGTCCGTCTTTTTAAATTTTAATAAATTTAAATTAAGGATGAATTTAGAGAATTTTAAGACTCTTACCTAGCAACTCATTCGTTTTCCTGAACGAGGTTTTACGGTATTTGTTAGATAGGTAATGATATCAAATCTCAAATACTTTTGTACCTTTATAGCCATCTATTCTTTCAAAATTTTAGCAGAATTAATTGTTTTCTTAAATGAAGTATTTTCTTTAGTAAAGCAAATATTAATCTAAAAAAATCAAAAATTTGAAACAGGATAAAAAAATGATTTTAAGAAAAAAATATTTATTTTTTAAGTAGTGATTTTAAGAATACATTTTTAAAAATTTTATAATCAGATTTCATTTTCAAATTTCCTTGTCAGAAAATAATTTGAGGATAATAAATTCTATTAGATTTAATTCAAAATCAATTTTGATTAGATAGTTGTTAACAATTCATTATTATAAAAAATATTTACTTTAAATTCGATATTTTTAAACATCAAAAAATGCAGATATCAAATGAAACGAATAGATTTTTGACTTGTTTAGTTAGGCTTATCAAATCTGTTAATATAAAAATTAAAAATAGCTGAAGCATATCCTTTGATAATTAGTTTGCATACACTCATAAATAAATAAATAAATAAATGCATACATACAACTATATAGTTTCTATGATTTTTTTTTCTGGTTTGTTAATTTAGAAAGTAAAAATAAATAAAAATAAGAAAGTAATAAATTATTAAATAAATAAATAAATAAAAATAGAAGTATTGACTTTTAATTGCTTGTTTTTGATATATATTGCTTACAAATAATTAATAAATAATTTACAAGATAAAATATTGAATATTTGATTTTTTAATTTATTTATAATAAGTAACAAAATAGCTAATAAATAGTTTGTATCTTAAAAATGGAATAGTATGCAGATAGTCTTTAGACTTTTAAGACTATTTTAGGAGAAGCGTTTACAGATATCCTTAAACATTTACCTAAAAAGTATAAAGATTTTAGAGAGCTAGTCTAAAAAACATAAGGTAATTTGAAAAGCTTTTTTAAGAGCGAGGAATTCTTAATCATTTTATAATAATTTGACAATCTTATTTACTAGCTTTATAAATGGAAATGTTTAAAATTTAATATAAAATTACTTATAATATTAGAGGAAGTCATGAATGAAAAAGATAAAAAAGCAATCAATGGTAACAAGTACTTTATTATATTTAGCATGGCAATAGGCAGTCATATTCCTCGTTTGTGTTAATCATGCATTCATTACATAGAAGTAAGAATTTTATCAATTAATTTTGCAATTAGTGCGTTGTTTACTCCAAAAATATGAAAAGAAAAAACAAAATCATTATTGAGCAGATTAATTTGCAATTAAATATGTTAATTTATCATAATTTTCTGTAATGTATTTGCGATCGGACTCCATAAATGATGACTATTAAAATTTTTGAATATGATTATATCAGGTTTTATTAACAGTAAAAATGATAAAAACAAAAAGAAATTAGTAAAAACTTTACAATGAAATAATCTTAATCTTATTTAAATAGAAATTGATAGCATATAGATTTATGGACGGAAACTGCTATGATTATACTTAGGATAAACTATCAATAGATGGCGAGAAAAAAGCTCAAATCGATCCAAACAGAAAGTTAATTGATCAAATTATTGATTCAATATGCGATTGTGTCAATTTAAAAGATGAAAATGTTCATCTGCAAATAATTCGTTCACTGCTAACTATTGCAACAAGCTCTATTTGTTAAGTAATTTAAATTTAGAATTAAAAAATCTATCTTAGAATTTTAAATAAAGACCTTTATACTATCTAAAAATAGGTTCATGGCTAAAACTTAGAGAAAATAATGAGAACTTTGATTGTCATTCATTGCAGTAAATAATTAAATCAAACAAACAATCAATTTTATAATAAAATTATTTTGACTGAAATTTGAATTAATTTATTAATAAATAAATAGCATCCAAGCAGCCATAAATTTAGGATCCTTCTAAGCACTCATTTACACAAATAATATTAGAAACCTTTAAAAGAATGGAGAAGAATACTCTTCTTTCTTAAGAAGAGACTCAAATTTACCAAAACAAAAAGCAAATAGGTCCTGTGTTTAATCCAAATTCAAGCTCAAGTTATAGAAGCTAAGGAAACTCTAGCAACATTCTGTTGAGTGCCGATTAAAGCGTTTATTTGATGTAAAATCATGAAGGATAGCAATAATAACAACAATAGTAAAACTCTGTACAGATAGATCCTCTTACTTCAAATAATGAATTAATGAATTAAATGGTGATTTAAATAGATGAAGATTAACAAAAGTAAATTATATCTAACTATGTCTCTAAAGTAGTTACCAATTTGGTAGATGATGTCTGCATTTATGAAGATAAAATTAAGAAAATTCAAAGAAAATACATGAACTAACCAGAAAATGAAGTCCAAAAATAAGCTGAAATTAATTTGATTCCTCGTAAGTCAGTTCCTAACATGCAAGATGTAGATACTCCTCAATACAAAAAAACTACAATTGCAAGCATTAAAAATGAAAAAGAAATAGATGCAGGCAAGTTTGGCTGGTATCAATTTGTTTGTTTATTTAAATATAATTTAAAAAAACAAATACAAAATTAAATTTTTCTAATTTTTATTTTTTTATTAATAAAAAAAGGTGCTTTGTATGTAGAAATGAAGCTTCCAACTTCTGCAAAGATACAAGAGTTCCTATTTGCTCTAAAGAATGCAAAAAGTAACATATGGAGGAAGTAGCTAGAATCGCTAGACTTTGTTTCAAGGGTTAAGAAGTAGCAGTAAATCAATACATTATCGATGCCCTCACAGTTTTTTAATTTTTATGTAAACTTTCTCAAGAAGACCCTAATAAGTAACTTATTTAAACTCTTAATAGACTTAATATAAATTATTTAAACTACATATAAATAATTGAAATAAACAAATTCTATTTAGATCGATAGATAGATATTGAAATGATATTCATTTTTTTATTAAAAATATTATTTTTCCATTCAATTTTAAATTAAAGATAATAAAAAATAATAAATTGTAAAATTTATTTCATTTATAAATCAATTTAAAATTTATTTCATTTATAAATAAATTAAAAAATTTTAATTTCTTAATATTAAAAGTAATTTGAATGCTAACCAATTGAGATAAAAAGTAATAATTTTAGAGCTTATTTTAAAAGTCATGGACTAAGCTGGATCTGTCTTCCTTTCAAGAAAAGAATTCGTTTAAGCTGTCTAGGATAAGTTAGTTCCTTCTTTGCTTTAAAATTGTTTGAGCACAGAAAAATCTGTTTATGGACTTAGTTTCAGCATTGTTGCTAATTTAATTGACAACTTCAGAGAAAATTTAAAAACTGAAATTTCTGTCTTCATAGAAAACATCTTTGTAAAAATATTAGAAAGTACAAACAGTAACTTTTTCAACAGAGTGTACTGCTTGAAAGTCTTTAATAAAATATTTTCAATTCCTAGAGCAGTGATTGAAATGTTTGTAAACTACGATTGCTCAATGAATTAAAATAACACTATTGAACAATTGATAAGTAATTTATCAAAACTTTTAATTATATTTTGAAATAACAATAAAAAAAATATTTTCATTTATGATTTTGATTGAGTTTATCAATTGTTGTTTTAAATAATTAGCTTTGCTCACAAAAATTTCTCAGGGAAAGTATTAGAAAGCTGAATTTTAGAATTTAATTCAACCTGAGTAGGCTTAAGAGTTAAAAAATCTATCTTTAGAATGTATTGTATAATTAATGTAGAGCATAAATGATTTTGTAATGATTTGCGATGCTCAAGAAAATCAAGTTGTTTCCAAGAGTGAATTGCCAAGTAAGGAAGAGTAGAACTTATAAACAGAAAACGAAAACAATATTTCCAAAGTAAATAACCAAGATGAAATCAAAGATCCTATTGAAAGAGAAAGATAAATGAAGCTAGAGTTCTAAAAAGGTATTTCTAAATTCAACTTCAAGCCAAAAGTTGGTATAAGACACTTCATATAGCATGGTTTGATTGAAGAAGGAAATCCTAAACATTTAGCAGAATTATTCTTTAAATTTAATAACTAAATTAATCATGAAAAAATTGGTAAATTAATAAGATTTCATTTTTCAAATTTTAATAATTAATTATATTTTTTTAAATAAAGGTGAAATATTTGGATCTCATGAGGAAAACAACAAGAGAATTCTTGCTGAGTTTATTGAATATCTCAATTTTGAAAATTTAGACCTTGTTAATTCTTTAAGGAAATATCTGACTTACTTCTAACTTCCTGGAGAAGGTGAATAAGTTGATAGAATCTTAGAAAAATTTGGTGAAAAATACTCCTTAGATAACCCAGAATGCTACAAAAATGCAACAACTTCTTACACTCTTTCATATGCTCTTATGATGCTCCACACCTCATCTCACAGCGCACAAGTTTAAGAAAAAGAAAGAATGACTTTGCCCTAATTCATTAAGCTCGTTAAAGGTTATCCATTTTAAAATATTTGTTTAATTTTTCTTATTTAAAAAAAAAATTAATAAAATCTATTAATATATTAATTAAATAAATGATTAAATTTTACTTCAAACTTTTGTAAATTTATTTTGTTTGTTTGTTTAAATAGGTATTGATGATGGTAATGATTTGCCAGAGTAAATGGTTGTTAATATGTATAATGATGTGAAGAAAAACCCTTTAGGTATTCATCATTTAGAGGCTTCTAAAAAGGCATTCGAAGATGCTTTGACTTCAAGCGTAAGCAGAAAGCATGAAATGTTTTTAAAGGAAACTGAACAAATGTTTGAAAAGGGATAAATGAAAATATAAAGAAAAGAAAACGAGAAATATATTCAAGTTTTTACTAAAGATTATATTTTATCACTTTTGTAGATAGTATGGAGCCCTGTCTTTGCAACTATAAGCTAGGCAACCATGATTGAATAAGAAAAAGAAAGAGAAAATCTTGATTTAATTGCCAAAGTTCTCACTGGGTTTAAAAATAGCATTAAATTACTGGGCTAGTTTGGTATGCTAACTGAAAGAGAGACTTTCGTTTTTGAGTTATGCAGATTAACAGGCTTACTGACTCCTCAAAAGCTAATCCGCCAAAAGAATGTGCAAGCTATTAAAATTATGTTAGAAATATGCACTCAATGCCGTAATTATTTAGGAAGATCTTGGAAGATATTACTTGAATGTGTTAGCAAGCTTGACAATTACTACTTGATTGCATAAAATTTGAGAAGAGACATTGATTTATTAAACAATGACACTTACTTCCAAGATAATAACAACATGCATCAAGATGAAATCGACAAGTATAATAGCTAGGTTATTATGAAATACATTGACATGTCTGAGATCGATAAGGTAGATATAAAGATTACTTAAGTTTTTTAGTTAAATTTATTTTTTAATAGATATTCCATCTGTCAAATTAATTTGATGCTGAAACTATTGTTGAATTCATTAGATGCTTATGTGAGTTGAGTAAGGAAGAGCTAGAAAACATTCATAATCCAAGAATTTTCTGTATTTAGAGAATCGGTGAAGTTACAGAATTCAACATGTCAAGAGTGCGTATCATTTGGAATAAAATATGGGATATTCTAAAGGTACATTACAACAATGTTGGTTGCCACAATAATATAAGAGTCAGCTGTTTGGCTATAGACTCATTGAAGTAGTTAGCTGTTAAATTTTTAGAAGTAAAATTAAATTTTGTCTGAAAATGTATTTAAAAAAAATATTAATCAAGAAAACTGAACTCGCTCATTATTAATTCTAAAAAGATTTTCTTTCACCTTTTGAATACATTTACTAGAGAAATCCATGTAAAATTTGACTTCACTAAATACTTTTTAGCAATTATTTAATATATTTATTTATTTAAATATCAAATAGAATAAAATCTAGAAATTAAAGAACTTATCTTGAGATGCCTTTTCATGATGACAATGAGTAAGGCTTAATATTTAAGATCAGGATGGAAGTAATTAATCAATCAATATATGAATAATTTTGAATAAATAATTTTTAATATTTTAAAAGAGTTATTTTGAGAGTTGTCAATTTAACTTTGTAAGAAGATAGTCAGATATTATTAGATTTAGCTATTTAGATTACTGATTTGATTATGAATCAAAAGAATCTTGATAATACTTTAGATGTGTTTGGCGATTTGATTCATGCTCTTACTAATTAAACTAAATACAAAAATGACATGATAGCTTTAAAGGCTTTAGATCATTTGAAGAAATGCATACAATACTTAGTTGAAAACACTCAATAAGAAAAGGATAAGGATTAAGAGTAAAAATAACACAATAAAAATATTACTGCGATGGAAGCCAGTATGACTTCTGAAGCAATTGCTGAAGACGACACAAGTAGTAGACACTCTAAAAACACGAAGCAAAATATCATTATCAATGAATCAAAGAGACTGCTTGAAGGATATTCAATTCCCATCTTAAGCAATTTTGCAAGCTTCTTCAATGACGATAGACCAAAAATGATCATTAAAAGTGTAACTTATCTCTTCGACTCCATTAAGCAATACAGCTACACATTTAATCAAGAATTCTGGAATCTTATTTTCAAAGGAGTATTAAGACCTCTTTTTGATGATATGCAATTTACCTTTTAAAAAAATAAATCTGGCTAGACCGATATCATCAAAGCTACTAAAAATGCTTGTTAGAAAGCTTTCACAGAGCTAGTGAACATTTTCGTATAATAATTTGATACTTTGCATCCTTGCCTCACAGACTTCATAGCTATTATGAATAACAGCATTTCTACAAATTAAGAAGTAAATTATTTTATTTTATTTTTAAAACTTAATAAAACAAAACATATTTTCTTTCTTAAAAAATAAGATTATTTCTTCGATAAGTTTAAGCAGTTTGAAGACTTTCTTAAGCAGAATAGGTTAGAAATTAAATGAAAATGAATGGAATCTAATTATTGAATCACTATAAGGCCTAGCTTTAAATTGCAAGCCTATAGAAATGCTTGAAGCAAAAAATGCAAGTGAGGACTTCAATGTTCCAATTTAACAATTGCTTAGCAAACCTATTTATAAAGATGTAAAATAATAATAATGAAAATATTTCAAACTTATAATTTTACTTAAAAAAATAGACAAAATATGATGTGAACATAGATTGCTAAAAGAATATTATCTAATGCGTAATCTTTAAAAATATGGTTGAACTCATTCTCAACATAATTGAAGAGTTTACAAATAATTTAAATGAAAAAGTAAATTTTTTATTTTCAAAAGAAAGTAAATAATGAATCTTAAAATTAAAATTAAAAATAGTAAATCGATAGCTTGACATATATCCTTAAAGATTTCTCTGAATTTTGCGATGAGTTCAACTCTCGTCTTTATCTCAGATTCTACTTATGGAAAAGCGGTAATTTAAAACCATAAAAATAAACAACTAAATATTAATTAAATTGTTAGGCTTAAATAGTAAAAATGAAGCAATTCCCGTCCTAGGTAAATAAGAAAAACTATCTAAAGGAGGTGTATTATTAGTGCTTTATGAGAGATATAAAAGAACTTAATCATTAGAATCATTAGATATTTTCCTCGGGTAAAATTTAATTTAAATTAATAAACATTAATTAATTAATTAATTAAAAATTACAATTTAGTGAGACAGAAAATTACTTGAGACAGCTAGAAAATGTTTTGAATGAGATTAAATAGAATAATGAATAATAAATTTTAAAATAACAGTAGTAATAATTATAATAGTAATCATAATCATAATCATAAAATTCAATCAAAAACTCTAAGCAGGGGTTCTCTGAGAATAACACTCCTTAGATGAGTGAAAGAGGACAATAGAATTAAGTTATTTAGAATGTAAACACTATGCACCTAAATGACAAATTATTGAGCTATGCTTACGAGGATAAAGAAAGATAACTCAAGGCTCTTAGATTCATTGTTGGTTCTTACATATTGCCTAATCTTCATGACATAGACCCAAAGGAAGTAAATAAATAAAAAATTATTATAAATTAGATTAAAATAAAATTTAATTGAAAAAATAAAATGAATTTAAATTAAATAAATTAAATTTAATTGAATAAACTTAATTTAATTAAAAAAGATTGGAGAAAGATTGAGGAAAATAGTTAATTTATTATTAGAGGTCAGCAACTAAGATGCAGACATTGATGACGACTTTAATTATAATTTAAAAATAATCCTAAAAAAATACTTTAACTTTGTTTTTGATTTGGCTTCTTCAACTAAAAGATGAAAAAATGTAGATAAAAAAACTCAAAGTTTTAAAAACATTCAGCAATGAATAAATAATGTAAGAAAGTAAATAAATATAAAAAATTATTAACTGTAAGTGATGTTTCATAAAAATATTTTATATTTTTTTGATTGTTTAATTTTGTATATAAAAACTAAATAAATTTTTATTGATTTGATCTCATTTAATTTTCAAAGAAATTTAATATTTTGTCAAATGTTTTTCCGATAATAATAAAATTGTCTCGAAGCAACCAATAAAAGCATAAAATTGTTAAAATTGTGCTATTTTTGTGAAAATGCTTGAAAAATTGTAAATTAATTAAAAAACCTGATGGTAATTAAAATTAATCTGATAAAGATAAATATACAAAAATAGTAATTCATTCTCAATAAGAACAAGCAATATTAAATTCATAAAACCTAATAATAATGACTTCACCTTTGGAAGTGCAAGGTAATTAATAAATAAATTAATTAAATTTTTGAGAGTCTTCATTCTCCATTTAAACATTTTTTCTTAATATATTAGAGAGTAACTTTGAAGAGCTGATTATCGTTCCAGAAGAGTATTAAAACAAGCTTAAATAATTGTAGACTGTATTTGAATAAATATACCAAAAATACCCATTTAAGGTATCAAATGTAAGATATTTTATTTGCACAATTTTTATGAAGTTAAAACTTACTTTAGAAAATAAGCAAAGAAGATGAAGACAATGATTTGGAGCTAGGTGGTTAGTTTACTTACGGGGAAATCGTAATTTTACTTACATATTTTTGAGTTTTTTAATTGTTAACTACCAAAGTAGAAGTGATTATACATAATTCATTATTTTTTATCTCAAAAAGGAATTTGTTTCGTTGGGAGAAATTTTTTATTTGTTGAAAAATAAGTATGGAGTTTTAAAAGACTAAGGCAAAGATATATTCTATGATTTGGGATCTGGGTCAGGTAAACCCACAATAGCTGCTGCCTTACTACATTAATTTAAAGCAACAAATGGAATTGAGCTACTTAAAAGTTTAGTTAGTGTATCTAATGATGTCAAATCAGATATTGAGAAGAATTAGTAAGAATTATAGAATAAATTAAATAATATTAATGGCACAAGAAGTTGTTAATATCTTCAAAATATTAGCTTTTAATCTTAAGATTTTTTACAGGTAATTTAACTCTTAAAATGAAATGTTATTTATTAACTAAAAAAGAATTTAATAGTTTTGACTGATTACTAAAATTAATTATGTTTTTTATATTCAATAAATAGTTTGATTGGTCTGATGCTGATTTAGTGTTTGTTAATGCTACTTGCTATGATCCTCCATTTTTATAAAAGTTATATGAAAAGAGTCTTAAAATGAAATAAAATAGCATATTTATTACTACAACAAGAAAGTTGCCAGTTTAAAACTAAACATGGTAACTCCTCTGTTTTTTCAAAAGAAAAATGGACTTTGGGAATGCAACAATTCATATTTATTAAAAGTTAATTTGATTAACAATTCTATTAAAACTATATTAAATAAACATACTTTTAAAACATATTTAAATATTTTCAATTTAATTTATAATTATATATTTGTATTTCTAAAAATTTAACAATAAATAAATAAATAAATAATATTATTAAAACAATTTTACAGTTAAATTTTTTAGCAACTATAAAGACTAAAAAATAATTTTTGTTATATTTTTATCATTGTTTCAAAAACTATAGGCATTTTTTAAACTTGTATAAATATTTAATTTAATAAAAAAATATATTTCTTAACTTGTGAAGATTAATTTTAAAAGCTTATTTTCATTTTTGTAAAATAATAATTTCAAAAAAAAATGTACTCCTTATTTTTATTTTGCAATATTTTAATAATTTCATTAAAAGAATCATCAATTTTATTAGTAAATTTGGAGTATTTCATCAAAAAAAGCTCTCATTCGTCTTAAAAGTATATTATAGTAAAATATTTTATCTAAAATACTTGAATTCATAACAATAAAAATAATATTTCTATGAATAAAAGTTGTACAAATAGCTCTATTTAATTTAAATAATTTTACTAAAGAGAAATAAATCCTATTTGCAATTTTATATTTATGAGAATATTTTTTAACAATTTTACAAAAAATAGCTAAATAAATTTTAAATTGTTTATGATTAAAATATGCTTTAAAATAAATATTCCATTAAAAATTATAATTCAAAATAAATGTAAAAAATTGTTCATAAAACAAGAATTTATATTATTAATAAATTGAATAACTTATCTCTCATTTTATTACTTTTAAAAAAAAATATCTATTTTAATTATAATAATAAATAAAATAAATTGTTTAACAAATTATTTCATTGAATTAGCTGTTTTGAAATACTTAAAAAACTTAATTATAATATTAGTAATTCCATTATTTATTTATTAATGGATATGCATCGTTTGTTATTTATTTGAGGAATAAATACAAGGTACTTTGAATTTAAATAAAAAATGATGAAAATTCTATTAGAATAAAATAAACATATCTAAGAAATTTGAATATATTAAAATAAAAGCTGATCATATTCTATCAAATTTAATGATTCTAAGAAAACAAGAAAGATTGAATAAGGATGCACTTGATTATCATTAATTAATTAAAGAATAGGTTGAAGAATCAATCAATCAATCTGTATATTTATAAGAATAAAAACCTTTTAATTTCTTAGATTTTACTAAATCAATTAAAAAGGCAATTAATATACAAATCATTTAAATAAAAGAAAAATAAATGATTAATAAAAACCTCAGGCAAACAAATAAACAAACAAACAAACATGCATTTAAGTATTAATTATATTTTTGATTGATTAATCAACATATTAAAGAGATTTGATAAAACATGATAATTGAATTAAGAATTAGAAATGAGGAAAAGAATTGAATGAGCAATCAGACAAGCACGCAAGTGATTGATTGATTGATTGATTGATTAATAGAAAGATAGACTGAGTAAATTAATCAATATGAATAAGAATATATGATTTAGGTATTGTTTATGTATGTGTATATGTGTGTATTGAAATTAAATGAGAAATGAAAAACAAAAAAGAATAATTAATAAAATATATATAAAAAATAAATAGAGAATAGGAAAAGAAAGATTCGAATTCACTCAGGAATAAGCAAAAGGATAAAATCAAAGAAATAATTAGTAATATAAAAGCAAAGAAAATAATTAGTTCAAATAAATAAAATGTCAAGTGTTTAGCAACTTAACTAAAGTTAGACTCCAGACAAGAAAGTGTAATAAGTGAATCCTATTCTGGAAGATCTGCAAAGATATCTTGCTGAATTAAAAAATTATTCGTTGTAGAAGTTTTGCACAGTCAATTCTTATATAGATGCGATGGATAGTCGTAATTAATGGTGTGTTGGTAAAATCATTAGCATTGATCAGAAAGGCATGATGGACATTCGTTTTGATGGTTGGTCTGACAAGTATATAGAGGTAATCAACAGTTCATATTTATTATATGCTTTTCTATCTATTTGGCTCTTATCCTTACTTTATCCATAGCGTATTCTATCTCAAATCAGTGTTTTTATTGTAGTAAAATGCTTTTATAATCTAAAATTTCTAAACTTAGTATCAGCATAGGCAAATAATAAAAGGGAATTTTAGCAGTGTGGGTTTAGTAAGCAAGGATAGAGCCAGCATATTTATATAAGAAAAATGAAAACTTATGTTATATTTTGTAAAATAATTAGAAAATATTTATTAATTCTCGCAAAATTGATTCTTTTAGGAAGTACACTTTTCCATATACAGGAGCTATAAAATCAACTACAAGAGATGATTTGACTATCGAAAAAATGAGAGAAGAATCAAACGCAGTAATTAAAAATTCAACAATTTTTTATTTATATTTAAAGTGCGCTTCAATTTTTAAGTTTCAAGCTTAAAAAATGTGATCATCTTAAATTAGCATTTAAATTTGAAGATCGATTATGGAAGCTTGCATTTAAGCTATCCTATCAGAAATGCTGCATCAAAAATATACAAAAAGTTAAATGATATTTATTCAGCGTGCATATTTTTATTTAAAATTAAATCAATAACAAGATGAGGATACAAGGAACGTGCAAACGATGATTATAACTTATTTTTTTTGTAATTTAAAAAGTAAATTGAGGAATTGAGTCTTTTGGAAAACGATGATTTCAATATTTAAAACGTGAATACTTTTATACAAAACTTCAGAGGGAGATACTTCTTTTTAGCAGACTATATTTTGAGCATTAATAAAAGTTTCTAGGATAATGACATTCAATAGTTTATAGAATTCTTTTAAATATATATCAAGGTCTTTATAAAGTATATTAAATTGCTGCCATAGTCACTTCCTACTGTAAATAAATTTAAAATACTTTTTTAAATAAAAATTTAACTTAATTATGAGCTAGCAGCTAACAAATAAATAACTAAATAAAAAAACAAACAAATAACATTCTAGCTATAAATTAACATTTTATTTTGAAAGAAAGTTTTTCTTATTAATGCCATTTATAATAATAAAGTATATTGAAGCAATTAATTTGAATAAAAATCTTTTTTTGGTACACCCAAAAGTCGCTTTGGTTAGTGGATTTCCAGAAATATTCTATTTGATGAACTCTTTGTTTGGAGGAGAATAAAGATGTATGAAATTCTTTAGAGTAAATTAATTATTCATTTTAGGATGCAATATATTTCAATTTCATTATCAAAAGTAAAATAGATTCGAGTTTTAAACACACCAAGATCCTTTTGCCATCAAAAGCAAAGATGGTTTAGCACCCCATTAAGATCAGATTTTGAACTTTATTAATTATTTTGGAATACAATTCGGATTTGATAATTTATTCGATTTAATTTCTTGGGAAACTAAGGTAGGTCAAGATGTTGTCTATTAAACTCCTATCCCTATAATTAAATGCATAGTGGATATATTTGTTAGATGCCTTATCTACATGCCATCTAAAAAGCAAATTCATTTTGCAAATAACTTGAAAAAAGTAAATTAAAAAAAAATTAAAACAGATAACAATCAAAAATAAATAAATTTTAATAAATAGAGAATATTTGATAGGTTCAATAAGATCTCAGATAGAGAATTAAAAGATATAGATATTATTAAGGTTAAAAGCACCATTAATTAGCTAGGTGAATGTCTTGTTAATATTTTAGGAAATTAAATCTACGAAGAAGCAGAGAAATTAGAAATTAAGTGCATTATCAAGCTTATTAAGTGTCCATTTTTAGAAAAAAAAATTTTAGGAGTTTTGCAATTTAGGGAAATTATAAGCAGAGCTAGTGCAAATAACAAGTATAAAGGAGTTCTTTTATTTTTTATTTAAATAGTTTTATCAAATAAGATAAATTCATATAATTAGCTATTTTTTTATCTTAGAAAGCAAAAAAAAGGAAGCAAAACTAAAAATAATAATTGATCTTATAAGATTATATTTAGAATATATAAAACTGAAAGTATTTAGAAATATTAAAACAAAAAATTCATTTATTTTTAAAAAGCTGATCAAATTTAATAGAAAAACATGCAGAAGAATTATTTAATAGCTAAAAATAAATTAGAACTTTTAACATTTATCAAGGATTATTTGAACTAAATTATTTACATTTTTATTTATTTTATAGATTTAAATGCTGAATTAAGTATTTTTAAATTTTTAAATAAATAGGTAGTATTACTCTAAGGATATATATCCTTATTAATATTTTGACAAATAGAAACTCAAGGAATATTTAGAATAAGAAAATTTACTTGACTTTTTTTTGGGAGAGAATTTCCATCCTGAAATATTTAAAAGATCAATAGAAATATTAACCTTTTTAAGTGAAGAAAATGCCTTGCTACCTAAACACATTGAACAAATTTGGAAGCTTACAGAAAATAAGCATGAAGCTGACTTAGCAGCTATATACTCAGTCATTATAGAATTATCTAAGATTTTATAAGAATAAAGCCTTAATCAGTTATATAAATACATTAATTCAATTCCATTCGATCAATACACTGAATTAACAATTAATTTAGTCAAGGAATTTACATTAAACGCTACCTCTTCTATGAATTTTTCATAATAATCCAAAAGTAATTAATTAATTAATTTCTATCTATTTCCAATTTTTTTATGCAATAATTTATTTTTAAAAAGATCAATTCTGGAAAAATAAGAGCATCGTTTTGTCACAAGAATTCCCAAATTTTGGTTTGCCAAAATTATGGGGTTGCATCTAAGATAGCAACAAAGTTAGTAATTAACTAGTTTCTACCTGTGTTGAGTCGCTCAGTGAGCTTTTCAAGTCAAACTATTTCTCGTCAAATAAAGAACAATACTTATAACTTTGCTTTGATAATCTTAAGAATGGAACAAGCGTACCTCAAAGCCTTCAGCTAGCTATATTTTTAATAAAAACTTACTCCTCTAATTCTTCCTTCTTAGGAGTAGGAGATCTAAATTCAGAATCCATCACTTAAAAATACAACAAAGACTACAATTTTATGGAAGCAATAGTTAAAGACTTTGAGAATTACATGAGACAAGTACTATAAAAGATTAAAAAGACAGGAGTGATATTAGATGAGAAACAAGGAGAGGAAGTAAACAAAATAAATAAATAAATTATATAATTTTTACAAATATTTTAAATCTTAATAGGTATTCATTGGAAAGTATGGCCACATTTAAAATATTGACATCAGATTAGATTTCATATCGTTGATAAATAAATATCTCTCTAGTAAATAAAAAGATATCACCATCGAACAGCTTAAAAAGCTTTGGAAAATCTTAGTGAGAAGCAGCATAACAAACATAGAAAAAAATAAATTTTTAACTTGGTTAATTGTAAAATAAAAAATTAAAGAATTTATTTATTTATTAATTAATTATATTTATAATAGAAAAAAAAGTAGATTAATAATGAAAATAGCAATAATGGTAAAAATGTGGCATCTAGTTTGCTTGATGAGAATTTGCTGTCTTAAGCACTTGATTAAATCTTTTGTGATAAAGAGTTAATGAACGGTTTCCAAATAGATAAGGAAATTTTCGACTGCTTAAAAAACATTTTCTAGATGGTTAACTTAAAGAATAAATCAATAGAGCTTAATAATTAATACCTCATTTTAATTAATAAATATGATCAAATTGTAGGCAAGGAAGTTTTTTGGAATTTATCCTTATTCTGCATTGATCCTTAGGTCCTAGAAGAAGTAAGATAACTCCTAGTTAACATCCACTTGAGAAAAACTCTAAAGTCCTAAGAAACAAAACCTAAAATGTGGGTAAAATTCACTGACAAGTGCTACGAAATTCTCAGCTAGACAAAATCTCCTTAAGTTCAGTCCCATATTGTTTTAATGATAAAGATTTTCCTACAAGAGTAAAATTTTATTTTTATTAGCATCTCATAATATATTTTTTTTCACATAAATAGAATTGAAGGTAAAATGCTTTTCGGCGACAGAAGATAAGAAATGAATATTGTTGTTACTTTGCTCAACCAAAATAGTAATTTTTTAAAATTAATACATTAAAAGGAAAAAAAATAAAATTTGCAGATTTCTTTTATTTAATAATCAAGCAATTATTACCAAAAATAAATTCAAAAAAACTTGATTAATAATTTTTAAAATGATAAATGTTAATTTAAAAAAATCAACTAACTAACTCATTTTAAATATATTTAGCTTTTTTATCAATAATCATCATAATTTCATTTAAAAAGTTAATTATCTTTTTTTACTAGTCTGCTATTTGGCGAATAGTTTTAAGATAGATTTTAAAATAAAACTTTAAAATTTGTCATTTTATAAATTTAAACATAAACTGATATTTTTTTCTGATATTTAAAAAATAAAATTTAGAAATCTTAATAAATTAATAAAAATAAAATTGTTTTTTATTTATTTAATAAATATTTTTAAAATTTAGATAATGTATAAAAGAGAGCTACATTGAAATTATAAAGCAATATTAGTATTTTAAAGTTAAGAAAAGAAATTTCAAGAGAATTCAAGTTGATTAACAAAGATTTTGAAATGCTATTTTCAAATAAGAATATCTTACTCTCTAAAATTCATGAAGAAGAATATTCAATAGATGCTCTTAATACAAACGATGATAAACCTCCTCACATTATTGTTCAAAACGTCAAAGACATTGTAAATTATTGATATTGATTGAAAATATCTATATATTTATCTTTAAACAAATAAATAAATTGAAGAACTAAGATTTAATAGACCTCAGTTAATTCAAGTTTAATTTGGCAAATTCTCAATTTGCAGATATTTTATTAGAATTTCTCTCAACTGGATAAAGTGATGAGATCGTTAACAACGCATGGGATATTCTAAACCTGATTCCAAAGAATAATTAAATAGTCAAAAAGTTGTAATCTATCGAAACCGAAGAATTAAATCCTTCTTCTTGGAATTTACTCCTGCCATCTAATTGCTTCAGAAAGCTTTAATATTTCTTTTAAATTGTAATTTTTTTATTAAATAATAAAATATATTTAAAAATATATACAAAATAAATTATTAAAATAACAATTTAAAATAAATTTTATATTGTTTTAATTGAGTTTAAACCAAGAATTTCAAGTATTCAATATATATTGAAATGCTTTTAATATCAATCAATAGATCACTCAAGAATTCTTAATGGCAGGTAGCGATGGAAATTTAAAAAGAGACTAAGATCAATGGTGTCAAGCTTTTATATTAAAGGGAGGATTGAAGCACATTCTTACTATTTACTTGAACTTATGCAGTGAAACTAATTTTGATAAACCTTTCAACTTGTATTGCATTTCCACTTTAGTTGAGATTATAGGAGCCCTAATGAGACTTTATTATAACTAATTCCCAAAAGAGTTTTTAATAGAAAGTTAGAAAGTTACTTCATAGAATGAATTCCTTAATGCTCTTGTTCAGAGAACGATTAACTATATTGGATTTGGCTTAAAAAAGAGTGATTAATTTTTCTCTCCTTTTGGCAGCAGCTCTCTTTCTATGTCATAGAGTCTTAGCTAATTAGCTTCTTCTATTATTATTAATGGTAACAGAATTGTTAATGATCAAAATCTTTCAGTCAATAGGCTTTTGGTATAAAATTACTTACTTTCTTTCTTCAGAGGAGCTTTTGAACTTATTTCTCTTTGCTTTGAGCAAGATGAGTCTTTGATAAAAACATATTTGCATGAATAATCTAAAAATTTTGATCCTATCTTTTAAGGATTATTGATCTTAGATGATGATCAGATCAGAAATCAATTATAAAACTCACTTGTTAAAGTTATAGATTTAGATTCTACTAACTAGGCTCATATCATTTTTGAGAATAACTTGAGTAAGATAATCTAGTCTAAGCATGATCAAATCTAAAATGAATACAGATCAAAATGCTATGAATTCTTCTAGCTTTATTAAAAAGTTCTCCAACACCTTGAGGACAAGAGGTTGATTGGAACCACAGTTAATCCTAAATCATTCACTTAAACTATGCAAACTATTATAAGTCTAATTGACACTTGTAATCCATATGAAAAAACCAGATAAGATGGTAATTTATTAATTTATTTTTTAAAATTAATTTATTTAATTTTATATTTGTTTATTTATTTATTTAAATGGTTTTATCAAACATAGTGGATGGTATGTTGAGAGGAGCTTTCTAATGTTTACAATAATTAATTTAAATGGATTCCCTTCTAGCTTAAGTTGTCATTAAAAATGAAAAATTGATTTAAAAAATAATCTATGATTGCTTGTTCTCAATAAAATCAGATGAAAATCCATATGCTCCAAAATGTAAGTCAAGACAAAGCAGATTAAGTGCCTTTTCATTCTTAGTCACTCTCTAAAATTCAATAATTCAACAATAGATAGAAGAGAAAGATATAGTTAACGAGGAATTTGATGCAAATTAATAAATCAATCAGTTCTTTGTAAATGCTCATTGGAGAACAAAATCAAAAGGAGATTGGAGCATCAAAGAAGAATAAGAAAAAGAAGAAAACTGTCCTATTGGTTTAAGAAACTTAGGTTGCACTTGTTATATGAATTCTCTCATATAATAACTATTCATGATAAGAGTAATTTATTTATTATTTTCTTTTTTTATTATTAATTTGATTTTATTTTAATGTCTATGTATGCCAATTTATCTATTTTTTTATATATAAAGTTAATAAACTTTTTGACTTATTTTAGCCTTTTTAAAGATTTTCGTATTAAGTTGAACAGCTTTTGTTTTATTACTAAATAAGCATTTCAATTTATTTTTTTTAAAGTTTACTTAGATTTCTTAATCTCTTTTGAATGGCTTTTGTTAGCTTTTTTAATATTTTAAAGAATATTTATATGATAATTTTATCTTAATTAGGAATTCTCTGATAGTCTTTAAAAGGTAGATGCTTCAACAAGCGAAAAAGAATATAATTCTAAAGAAAATGTTCTTTACTAGGTTTAACAAATATTCAGTGCCTTGAGCTACTCTTAACGCTAATACTATGATCCAAGAGATTTTTGTTAAGCATTTAAAGATTTAGATGGTTAACCTACTAATGTCTTTTAACAGATGGATGTTGATGAATTCTTCAACACTTTAATGGATCGCCTTGAAACATTGTTAAAACCCTCTAAAAATGATTTCATCATTAAAAATATTTTTGAAGGATAACTTGCAAATGAATTAATTGGAAAGGGTGGCGGATGCACACACAATTCTGAGAGAGAAGAGTCCTTCCTAGCTATCAGCTTACCTGCAAAAAGCAAAAAAACCTTGTATGAATGCCTTTAAAGTTTTGTACAAGGAGAAATGCTAGACGGAGACAATTCTTATTTCTGTGAGAAATGCGATAAGAAAGTACCCACATTGAAGCGTTAATCAATAAAAAAACTACCAAATTAACTTATAATTGTTTTAAAACGTTTCCATTTTGACTTGGATGTCATGCAGAAAATAAAAATTAACTCATACTGCGAGTTTCCCGATAAACTAAATTTAAAGTAGTACTCTTAGGCTTATTTGAAATAGAAAGATTTGGAAGAAGACCTCAACTAGTAAAATGAATAAGGAGATGCCAGTTCAAAGTAAAGTGATATTAAAAAAATAGATGGACAAGAAGATAACATTTAAGATTAACTATCCGAGTTGTTCCCTGATGATTATTATAAGTATAACTTAAAAGGAGTTGTTATCCACTAAGGCACTTCAGATAGTGGTCATTACTACAGCTTAATTAAATAATAAGATGAAAAGTGGCTTGAATTTAATGACACTGTCGTCAGACCTTTCGATATTAATGATTTACCTTCTGAAGCATTCGGAGGAGAGTCTGACTTGTAATTCAACAATGGAAATCAATCCATGAATCTCAATAATAAAATGCAAAACACAAACAACAAAAATGCCTATTTGCTATTTTATGAAAGAGATGTATTCTTTGATAACGAAGGCAAGCCCATTCCATCTATCCTTGACTAAAACCTCATACAAAATCCTACCAACTTAACTAAAGAAGTAATTAATTTTATTGTTTTATAAAAATAAAATTTAATTTAATTTATTCATATACAAAAAGAACATTGTTTTAGAAAACAAAAAGTTGCACTTAAACAAATATTTATTCTCCCATGAGATGATTGAGTATACTTAAAAACTCTTGGAAATAATAGACCCTGACAACTAAACTGATTATTCAAATAAACTTTGCAAGTTCTTGATCAAATATTACTTCTTCTGCAGACAGAGATAAAATGATAAAAAAGAATTCCCCAATTTTAGAAAAAAATTAGGTGAGATATTGAGCAAGAACTATAATTTAAGCACTTGGCTTATTTACAACGCCTCTAATGAAAGCTTTATAAAAGAAAATTTCTTAGACTCACAACATGACGAAATGAAATATTTGAGTGCTGGTTTGATAATCGAAGCAATTAATTGTGTTTGTGCATAAGAAAATAACCTTCCTTATGAAACTTTTATAAAAAAGGTAAATCTTTAAAAAATAATTTTAGCCAATCAACATATTTTATAACAAATAAATAATTAAATGCAAAATAATTTGGATTTTAGTCTTAAAGTATTTAAATAAAATAAATTATTTTTTAATACCTTTTGTAAATAATATAGAGTGTTATTGTCTACTTCCTCAATATTTCGATTTATATCCTGCACACTCAATCTCCAACAGATATAAAAGTATTAGATTAATTCTACAGAATGTTGTGTAGGGTGGCTGAAGTTTCTAAGAACTCCAGATAGTATTTGCTAAAATAAAAAATGGTTGGAAGATTATAAGCTGGATTTATGGGAACAAGATAGACTGCTAATGGTTACTAGGACATAAATAACTATAAGTAGTAAGGCCAAGCAGAAAATAGTGAATTTGGTCTGGATCTATAAGTTGAATAGGAAAAATCTTAGAAAATATAATCCATTGATGAGATTTTAGAAGGTAAAGAGAGAAACAAAAGGTTAAACTAGCTCTAGAAAAATGTATCTTATTTAGTTAAAATGCATTCGATTCTTGTTAGAAGTGTTTCTCCTTTTATAAATTGTTAAATACCAGAAAATACTTATTTAGCTCTTCCTAGGATAGATCATGCATTAGACAGTGATGAAATTGAAACTTTCAAGCAACAAGCTTTTGTCAAATTTATATTTAATTAGAACATCTAATATAAAAAGATGGTACGTAATTATCTTGCATAGACATATGCTTACTTAACAGCTGAAAATCCATAACTAACAAAAGACCTTATGGATAATATGTACGCAATCTTTAATGATTATAGGTTTGATGACATAAGCATCAAATTTTACTTTATATTCCTTAAGCATTTCCTTCTTATTAATGATTCTCAAGAAAAGAAAAGAGTGATTAATTAAATTTAAATTAGTTGGTTTATTTTTCTAATTTTACTTTTAAATTTTAATAAATAAATTCAAAGATGTTTGTTTATAATTTTTTAATTAAAATAGGCGATTTTAGTTAAGCAAAAAATATAGAGTTTCATTTCACAAAATTACAAATTTTTTTATGCTGCTCAAATTTGCATAGATAGCATGATAAAAGTAAACAAATTATTTAAAATAAATATAAAATTAATTTTAATTTTATCTTTTAGCTAAGCACACTCTCTAAAAACTTTGCTTAAGAAATGTCTAAAGAGATATAAGAAAACAAAGATTTAGCAAGATGCTTCGATTACTTCCTAAGAGAATCAAGCAACATATACAATGCCTTGAACAATAATGTAAATTGATTATTGAGATTATAAGATTAAACTAACCATTAATATTTACTAAAAAATTAATTAGAGCATGGCCCTCTTCAAAGATAACAGACAATACAATTTAAATATTTAAGCAATTTAGAAATATCAACAAAATATTAAATCTTAAAATAATTTGAGAAGACAAAAAATTTAAAACTTACAAACCTTATGCAACTAGCCTCTTGAATATGATTCAGATGATGACTATGCAGAGAAGACTGTTAAAATTAATGATAGAGTTGACTACAGGTAAATTAATTAACTAAGTCTACATATTTAAACTAATAGATTTTCATTTTTTTAATTTTAGATAAAATGGAGAGATCAATTCTTTTGTTGTAGTAGATTCTATGGTTGACATGTTCTAAATAACAAGTGAAAAGGAAGCAAATTACTTTAGATGGGTAAAGTATGATGACGATTCGCTCCTTGAACCAATAAAGGCTTAAAAATATTACTAATATTACTATGATTATTTGCATTTCTGAAAATAATGATAACAATGTATTTCAAAAGTTCGTTCGTTCTTTCTTTCTTTCTTAGCACATAAAAGACTTGATGATTTTTAAAAGATAAACAAATAATTTAATTAATCATTTTAAAAATATTAAATAATAAATAAATTCATATACTAACCTATGTATATACCTGTATGTCTTAATTAAACAATAACTATTTGCTAATAAGCTAAATTAATTAGTTAATTAATTAATGAAATTACTACATATTAAAATATTTTTTACAATTAACAAAGCATTTTTAAATTTTTAATTATAAAAAATATCCATTATGATTTATTTTAATTGCTTATTTTAATGATAGCCAGTGATGAGAAATTTTTTAAAAGCCGTTCTTAATCAAAATTTTTTCTATTTTACAAAATTTCGGCCCTTAATTAATTAGGATTTACTGTATAATGCATAAATATATTTACATTTAGTAATAATCAGAGGTAAAGCTGATAGCTTATATAATTTTTTATTTTAAATAATTAGCTCAAGGCAATGTTTTTTGAGTAATTTTAATGATACCTCATTTTAAATATCAAATTTAATATTTTAAAGCAAAACGATTATGATAAAATTAAAAATGAAAATAAACAAACTTTTATCTAAAATAAAATGTTTATTTTCAAATTAAAATAGATTTCTTTATAAAATTAGCTCGCTTTATTTTTGATAGAACACTGTGTTATAAACTCCATCTTATTTTTATTTACTTTTCAAGCTAAAAATTAATATCTAAAATAAAGATAATTTGATTTAAAATACTATTAATAATAATTAAATTATTATAAATAAGAATTTTATAGTAAGACTGACTGTTGAAAATATAATAAAATATGTACAAACAAATATATTTATTTATAAATTAAGATTTTATTTAATTAAATCATCTTATAAACAAGCAAGAAAACGCCATTACTAGGCACATAATTGAAACATAAGGGCTTAACCTATCTCCAACAACTGCCGCTCTTCTAAAAAATCCTCTGAATCTAAATTATTAAGCAAATTATTGAAGATAATTAAAAATAACAACTATTTTTATTTTATAATTTACCCTTAAACATATGGGTTGATTAATTCAGGTTTCAATCTTCTTACATAAGCGCAAGTACATATAATCAAAATCAATGAAGTAATCAAACTCTAAAAATTGAAAAATACTGACTATTTTTATTTTTAAAAAATAATTATTCATTGATGAATTAATCAAATGTAAATATTTTAGCTATTGATCATAAAATCCTATATCATGCTTTTTGAAATGCTATTTTATATTATTATAAGCTTAATTTAATGATTTACCATTTATTTTTGTTATAAAATCCTTTAATTATGGCTATTTGTTGTTCAATCTTTTTAGATTGTTGGCTGATATCTTTTTAACTTTATTAAAAAATTTTAGATTGATTTAAATATATCAAAAATTAATTAATATTAATTAATTAGTCTTATGTTGATAAATGAATGAATGATTGAATTTATTTATTACTCAAAAAAATTGATAAAGAATATATATATATAATAATATATCAATCTAACTTTCTATTGCAGATAGAAACGTGTCTTAAATTTATATTTTCATAAATAATTCAATTAATCGAATTTCAAGCTTTAATGACTAAAAATAATTTTGAAAACTGTTTTGAGTGTAAAATAATTTTATTTGCATACATAAAAAGAAATATTTGATAAAAAGCATATATTTATTTAGCTTTAAATAATTAATTAATTATTTCAGTGTTTTACAGGCTCAAAAATTCCAGATAAGTCTGTTTTTTTAACTGTTTCAATGTGTGAGTTAAACTTTTCTACGTCCAATATTTTGTAAGAGATTGTGTTTTCAATAAAAATACGGAGCTCTTAAGGAGTAAATATGGTGTTGCTATACATAATAGGATTTGTTTTATCTTCTTTTTTATATACCATGAACACAGGAGTGAAAGGGAAATTTGGTGCAGTTTTGAGAGAGTTTCTATCAGAATTCATACGGTTAAATTCAACTTTTGGGAAGTGAGAGTGATCATTTCTTAAATATTCCAAAGCAAGGTTTTCATAATGAGCTCCATATTATTTGCAAGCATGGCAGTGCTTTGAATAGAAGAAAACTACTTGATCCCTTTCATTGTTTTAGACTTCTTTTTCAAAAGATTTTCCAACTAACTTCTTTGAATATTTTCTATAGAAAGGTTTCTTTTAGCTTTTAAAAGATTCTTGAGCTGTCCCATTTTAGACAGTTCTTACCCATTCTGTTAAATTAACAACATCAGGAGTGGTAGTTTTAGCAGGGAAATCAAAAATAAATGAGTGAGGTTTGTCATTAACATCCTTCAAGTCTAAACTTTCCAATTCCTCTCTAGTTTTAACTGAGTGCTATTTAATTTTCTATCCATATCTGTAATCATCACGAATGTATATGTTCCATTTCTTATCTTCGTTTGCACGTTTTACATAAACGAATTGGACATTCTTGTATAACTCAGGTTCCTTTTCTCTCAGAACCTTATGGAAATCGCTGAATAATTAAATCAATTTCTTTCTATCTTGCTTTTAAAGACGATTTTCATCTAACTCTAAAACTAAGCTGTAACGAGCATCTAAATCAAATGATCTACCAGTAAAAACATTCATTTCATTATAAGTTTTGTTTGCTTTTTCAATAATACTTACCATCTTATCCTTTAAATTACCATACTTTCTAATATTTAATTTAACTCCATTTACATCATGTGTGCTCTAATTGTAACACATTTTGCTCTTTCTAGCAACTAAGTGGATATCACCTGTTTTAACGTCATTAAGTCCAATATTTTTAGCAGTTTCTTAATCATTTAACAGTAAAAAGTGTAGCTAATATGTTCATAAGAAAAAACATTTAAATCAAATTAATTTGTATTATTTTTTAATATCAAAAGCCAAAAATTAATTTCAATCAAAAATAAAGTTATTTCACTTCAATATTTTAAAATAATTTTAATTTCTTTTCTTACTTTTTTTAAAAGAAATACATCAAAAATTATTTTAATAGAATAAATATATGATTTAATTAATTATAGGCTAATAAAGGAATATTTTTATTTCTTGTTGAATTTATTTAAAAATTTACATTTTTATTTTCGCTGTAAGTTTTAAGGAGACTTAAAGCCCCAAATCTTTCATGAAGACGCTCATAATTAGGATCATCCTTAGGAATATATGCAACAATCAAAGTAGTTTCTGAAGTAATATATTCAAGGGAGTTGATAAATTCTCTTTCATTTGATTTATTTAATTAGTTAATTTCCCTAAAATACTTAACAATTGCGTCTTTATCACCAAAGTATTCATTAAAACTAAAAGGACTTAAATCGAGATATCTATTTTTGAATAAGAAAAGAGTTTCTTCTTCAATATCAACCTTATACTTATTCATAAAAGAATTAAGACTATTCTATTCGCTAAATTCAACTCTCATAAAAACTATAGGACGAGCTTTTACCATATGTTAAAATGCATTTACATTTTCTAAAAATGCCTCAATTTCTTTAACGAAACTTTCTTTGAAACGAGAAGGTTCCAAAAATATGATTACATTCTTACCTTCCTTAACAGCCTATTCGTACTTTTCATCAGAAAATTCAACCCATTAAATAAATTATCCTTCTTCGCTTTTTTCGCCTTGAGACTAAGGTTATTATTCAGTTTATGCTTTTGCTGATTTAATATTGTTGTTAGTAAGATATAAACTAGCACCTAATAAACTTGAAACTACAAAAGCTTGTTTATTAAAAGCCTTAATAAATGGGTGATTTCTTCTAATTGCCTTTGTAAAATTGTTGAAAACGGACCTAAACATTTCTTGCTTGCTTGTTTGTTAGACTATAAATAACTATAATAAAATTAGCTATAAATTTGATATTTTTTAGATTTATTTGTAATTATATTAACTTTTTTTAATAGCAAACAATATATCCCTTCAATAAAGAAATCATTTAGAAAGATACTATTTTTCTTATGAAATGACCAATAATAAATATATTGTTTTTTAAATAAGAATCAGCATAATAGAAGTTTCTCTTCATATTTAGAAATATCTATGTTATTTCTATTTAAAAAATATTCTATTATCTTTTCTTATTTTAATTTTTAAAAACATTTCTAGATACCATTTTTAAATCCATTTCAATAAAATAACTTTTATCTTAAATTATGCATTCAGACATATTAAAAATCAAACAAAAGTTTAACTAATTTTATTTTAAATATCTTTGCAATTTTATCTAAAACATAAATCCATAATAAAATTAATATATATATATGCTTGCTTATTGGATGAATAAGAGTACCAAAAATTAGTTATTTACTTTAAAATTAATTTTTTATAAATAAATCTTAAATTAACTCTCTTATAAATTTAATTAATTTAAACAAATTTATAATTTAAGAATTAATAAAATATTCCAAAATTAAAAAAAATATATTTTCTTATTATCACTGAAAAGTTATGAACTAAACTAAATTAGGGAGGTAATTTTACTAAAAATTTTAGATTTTAAATTATTTAAATAAGCTTTCTTGTTTAAAATTAGAAAAATATTTTAATAAAACTTACTAAATATTAGATTTAATAAATATATATTATTTATTATGTTATTAAATAAATATATACTTCCTATCAATTATTGATTGGACTACTAACTTAAATTTAAATGTTTATAAAGAGAAACGGTTGAGCTGAGCCAATAATAGCAGCAATATATTAAATTAGGATTTATATGATGATCATTAATGAATTCACTACCGCTTTTTTAAATTAATATATCTAAAATATAGATAATGACTTTGAAACTAACTATCTAAATAAATGAATTAATAAAAAAACAATTAAGAAATTTATAATTATAAATTCAGTCATTATAAATATATTTATAAGATTATTAAAATCATTACTAAATATCTAAAAGCTAATAAATCAAATAGCTAACAGCAAAATCAAAAGTTGATATATAAATAGCGTCTTTGCAGAAATGATATAAAAAGATACTTTGAATGTTTAAGCTAACTTGAGAGCTACTCACTTCACTTTAGGAAACAATCCTGGTAAATATTATTCTTTACAAATTATTTTATAATGATTTTGAAAGTTAAAGTCATGTTTTTCAAAATATAAATTATGTAAGGCTTTATAAAATGGCACACTAAAAAAATTAAAGAAAATTATATATAATGCATTTAAATAATATTTTTCTTATAATGATTTTATTTCGATTATTAGATAATCCATACAAGACTGTTAATCGTGATTCTTTTAAGCCATTAGCTTAAAGTGAAAATGTTGAATCATAAGGTGAAAAGTTAGCATTAAGAAATAGTCATTTTATTTTGGGCGATTATAATAAACCTGGTTTCTATAATACTATGCACAATATTCACTATCCTTATCACAAAGGTGCTTAAGGAGCAAAATTAGAAGAAGAAAAAAGACGTGATTTGCGTACTCATCACTTTTAATTGGGTAATCTAAAAAATATTTGAGATTTTATTAAGATTTTAGATGTGAGCATGCATGTATGCACTATTTAAAAAATTATTTAAGTTTCTAGGTTTAAAAAACATCAAAATTCTATGATTAATTTTGAGTTAAAGAGACTGAGATAAACTTGCATCATGAATTAAATAAAATATTTTTTATATTTAAACCTTTTAATTTAAATATTAAAGGCTCTTATGGTCCAACAATAAAGACTTCAAACAACTTAGTTTACAATTAAAAACCTCTATAAAAAGACCTTTAGCATGAAAGAGATGCTTAAAAAGCAAAAATGAGAGCTCATCACCATAATTTTGCTGAATAAACAAATGTTATTATGACTACCCATTATAATGATCAATATAATAAGGATGTCGATCCCTAAGCTTTAAAACAAGGCATTCCAGCTTCTGAACTAAAACAAAAAGTTGTCGATTTGCGTAACTCCCACATTGTTTTGGGTAAGGAATACCTTCCTATGGTTACAACATAACAATAGGATTATTCATAAAAACCTGATGCAAAACGTGAAGCAGTTAATCCCCTCTTATAATAAAGTCATTTCTAACTCGGTAGTTCTGGACCAGATTTTAAAACCACAAACAACCAGTTCCATGACAGATAACCTTTGGTTGAAAATAAATTAGCTGAAGAAACAAAGAAAGATTTAAGAGGTATTTTTAATTCTTTTTATATTATTTTACTGGATTTCAAAATTATTCTTACTATCAAATAATGATCAATTTGTTGATTTTCATTCAAAGTTTAAATAAATTAAATGAAATCTATAAAATAATTTTTATATAATTTGATTATTAAAAAAATCAATTAATTTAATGAAAATAGCAAGTCATTTCACAATGGGCCAAGATTATCAAGGCTATCTTACTGAAACTAAAGGAAATTATATAAACCATCATCAATAAGGATTCTAAAAAGTAAATTAGGATGAAAAGTTCTTTAAAAACAATTTCACCCACACAAATCCTAACGGAAACAACTATTACAATTCAACCTATAAAACATTCATGAAACCACCATAAATTACAAATGTTTAACAAAGCAGAAATCAATAGCAAGATAGAGGCTCTAATTTCAAAATAGGTTTCTAAGGTGATTCTTGGTAGACTGAATTTTAAGATAAGTAATAATTTAAAATTAAAATATTTTTTGTATTAACATTATTTACAAAACGAATAGATTTAATTAAAAAGAAGGCGGACGTCAAATTATGGATTAACAATTAAAAAATAATTTAAGATCAAGCCACTTTTAATTTAACGATGTAAAAAATGGTTTATACAACACCACATTTAAGTCATCTTTCACTTACAAAGATGGTTCAAATGCAAGAGGAACTCTTGACTAAGAACTCTAAAAAGACTTAAGAAGCCATCACTTCCATTTCGGAAAATAATAAGGAGAGTATTAAACTACTAACTAAAGAACTTACACTGTTCCTAAAAATGTAGAAAGAGCTCAGTTTAATAAAGAAAGAGCAGCTGATTTAAGAGCTGATCATTTTAAGATTAATTGATTTTTATTAAATAAACAAGCAAGATATTTATTTTCAAAAAGAAAATTTAAAAATTAATTTAAACTTACAATCTAAATATTTTTAAGCTTAAGAATTATAATTATAAAATAAATTTTAATTTTCGTATTTTCTTCCTAATCAATCGATGTTTTTGCAAGTTTATATCAAAACTCTATCATCTTTTATTTGCTTTAGCAAACTAAAATAATTAATGAATAAATATCATTTATAATTTTTACAAATCAAATCTATTTTTGTAAAATTTGTAAATAAGAATGAATAAAATTAATAAATTTTACATCTATTTAAAATTTGATTATAATTTAGGTTCAAGTTAATTAAAATAGCAAATTACATCCATATTTCAAAATTAATCCACAAATAAATTCACCAAAAAAGCATTTAATTTTTTTTTAAATTTCGTATAAAAAGCATAAACAATATCAAATTCAAATATTTTATTTTGATATTAATAAATGTTCAATTTTTTATCAATATTTCATTAAAACATTAAAGTAAACTAGCAATAATAAAAATTATTTTAATTTATCTGGCTTTATTTTGTTTTATTTATTTATTTATTTATTTACGAAATTGAAAAAAGAATAGAAAAAAATTTGAATACCTCTAAAATTTATTGATTTATTTTAAATTTTCTTCAACTTAAATTTTTAATTATTAAAAAGAAATTTTAAAGAGTCTTTATGAATGAATAACTAAAATATAATCAATACAAATATAAGCATAAATGAATATTACAAGGGTTTATATATTTTTGTGATATTATCACTTGTTTAGATTGTTTAATAAAAAATCAGCACTCAGTTATTCTTTAATTTAGGAATAAGTGAGTGATTAAATGCTTAGATTTATACAGATATTAGCTATCTATGCATTCAAAGATTACAGATGAAATAAGTAAGGTTATTTGTTTATGACATTAGATATGTTCCATAATCTTCAATTTAAATGTAATCAATGTTTGTTAAGAACATCTTTATTTTCATGCTTGTCATGGTGATGATGGTTGTTATGGTGTTAATCCTTTTTATCACATTAATTACATTCGGCTTCTTATTTATCTGAGTGTTTTTCAATGTGATGATGTTTGTGATTATCTCTGTAAACGTGGGGGTGTTCTTTGTGGTTATTTTCTCCTTCCATTTCTAAATTAGTTTTTTGTTTGTTTATTTGATGAGAGTTTTGTTAATTTATTTTATTTTGGTTATAATTATTAATTATAAAAATTTATTGACGAAAAAATTAACTTTTTAAAGCAAGTGATAGTACTATAGATATTTTATAATACTGATCAGATTTTTTAGAAGATTTAATTTTGTCTAAAATCTTTATTTACGTCTTCCTTATTAACCCATAATTTATATAAAAATTCTAACTAAATTATAGTCTTCAAAACAAATCAAAAAAATAATTATTTTTTTAGCATTCGATCTAAAATATTATTTTATATTCAATTAATAATGAATACTTAAGATCCCCTTAATGAACTTAAAGGAGAGTTTAAAATTTTATGATTCATAATACTGAAGTAAAAATTTCATATCTTAGATTTTATACTCAATAATTTAATTAATTTTATTTTAAATTTATATTTATTTCTAATAAAAGATGTTAATTTTGTAATTTAAGCCTATAAAAATGATATAAAACATATTACTTAGTCAATATAAACGCTTTTTTCCATTATGTGTCAGCCATATTTTTGCTTTTTGTTGTATAGAAGAAATTTAATTAAAAAAAATTGTCTATTAAATTTTTGGAAAAAAATTTAAAATAAAGGTTAATTTATTTAATTGAAAGCAAACGATTATAATTGTTTGTTTGTTTTAAAATAATATAAATTAGTAGAATATTAAAAATAAATTTAAAAACAAATAGCTAACAACTAACATTAGATTTATTTAGATTATTTATTATTATTTAGGATATGATTCAGATTTCTTTCACCATATTAAAATGTTGAAATTCTCATTTTTGAAATGACACTTTTTTCTCATTTATTCTTCTAATATGCTCAAAGTATCTTTTTTTATCAAATTATTGCGTAAGAAAGATCAATTTTTAATTAATTTTTTGTTTTTAAATTTCAAGCACTAAAAGATGAATATTGAAGTAAATTTTATATAATAAATATAGAGTTTTCAGTTTTATAAATTAAGTTAATTTATCCAACAAAATAAGACATCAGAACATAAAATGGTTGGATACTTATTATCATCATTGAACAATTATTTTATAATATGACATCCTTTTAGATCTTTAGCAGCTTTTGTTGAACATCTATATTAGATCATTTTTTTAGTTTTGTTCGCTATTAATAATTTAAAAAGTATTTACTATTAAAATTATCATATTTTTTTGTTACTCTCCTATAATTAAGTGGACTTGAGTTAGATTTTAAGAAGCTCTAATCCCTTTGCTGATCTATTCAGCTCCCTCTAAGGTTATAAGGTTTCCGCTTCAAATAAATAGATAAAAAATAACCATTTATATTTAAACTTTATGAATATAAATAAAATAATATTTACAATCCAATTGATAGCTATAGATTTTTCAATTAATGACAAGCCTATATGGCTCCAGCTATTGCAGTAACTCCTTCTTTTCCTATCATATTTTTACTAGAAATATAAATATTAGAAATAATAGCATATTTCAAAAATTGTATAATAGATAAGTTAGTTACTCTCCAAAAACTAAAGAAAGATGATTTAATTATTAGCAGTGTTTGATTCCTTCAGCTAGTCCAGAAGCTCCTATTGATCCAACATTATTACCACTGTATTATTAAGAAAGTAGAATAAAATTATTTTCTAATCAAAAAAGCAATTAATTATTTATTTTTACTAGCTAATTAATAAGGCAATTTCTTAAAGTTTATTGCACTGCTTCAAAGCATCTCCAATAGCTTTAATCCCATTTTCAGTTAGGTTATTATGGCTATATAATTTTGAAAAAATTTTGTAATTAAAACGTTTTCATAAAATTAAAGAATTACGGTCCTAAGCAGAGCCTTAAATATTCTAATTTTTAAAGATAGCCTAATCCTTCACTCAATCCAATAGCTCCGAATTCTCCAATATTGTTTCCACTATATATATTATTTTTGATTAAAGATTATTTTAAATATTAAAAAAAATATTTTACTCTCCAAGATGTAATTCTAAGCTCTTTAAATTATTACACTATTTAAAACCATCTCCAATTCCTTTTGTCCCATCTTTTCCAATATTGTTATATCTTAAAATAAATGATAAAAAATTTTATGTTATTTGTAATTGAAAAATATTCTTACTGATATATCTTAAATACAAATTATTCTAAGTTGTTGCAAGACTTTAAACCTTCTCCTATTTCCTTAGCTCCATCTGGACCAATATTATTAAATCTATTTTAAAATATTTTAATACAAATTATAAATTTAAATAAAAAATTAAATTTACTATTCAATGATTAAGGATAATTTTTTCAAATTTTCTAATTTTCCAAGGCTTGCTCCTATTCCCTTTGCTCCTTCTGATCCAATATAATTTTTACTTTATTTTAATGAGTTTTAAAGTTAAAATATTTAGTTCAATTTTGTAAATTTACCTTCCAATTTTCAATTAGATTGTATGTAAATTTATGCATTCTCCAATACCTTCACCAATGCCTCTAGATCCTGTACTTCCAATATTATTTGATCTATATAAAAATTTTAATATAATTAATTTGGCATATTATAAATATTTTTTACTCTCCAATTTTTAAATCAAGAATTTAAAGACTCTGGAGCATTTTAATACCATTTCCTATAGCAGTAGCACCTTCCGAATCCATTTCATTGCCTCTTTTTTATTAAAATAGAAATATGATATTTATTAATTTAGCTTTATTTACCCTTCAATAAATAATTTTAAGTAATTTAGCTTTGTTAAATTACTAATTCCTTTTCCTATGCTTTCAGTTCCCACTGAACTAATTCCATTCCTTTTAATAAATTAAAAATAACTAATAATGAATATTGTAACCTACAAAAATAAACAAGAAAATTGTATGTAATTATATTAAAGCTAATAATAGATATTAGTTAATCATGCACTTTTCTAGATAAATTCATAGAATAATTTCTTGTATTTTTTACTTTTCAATGACTAGAGTCAAACGCTCTAAATTTTGACAAAATTTAAAAGCTTCACATAAACCTACAGCGCCATCTTTTCCAATGTTATTTTTACTATATTTTTAGAATAAAAAAATAATTTTAAATGAGTTTGATATAGTTTATTTAATTTTATTTATGTTTCAAATTCTTTTAAATAAATAAATTCGAATAATCTTTAATAAACCATTCGCTTTTAAAATATTCTATTACGCTTTAATTGTTATTTTCAGTTCTTTTAACTAAGTGAGAAAACTGATACCCATGCCTAATCCTGTTATTCCGGAACTACCAATATTATTCCTACAAATTTAAATATTCATTTTCAAATTGAGATAAATCAAAGTCAATGATATTTTACTATCCAATTACTAGAGTAAAAGATTCGAGCTTTGTACAAAATTTTAATCCTTCGCCTATGCCTATACATCCATATGACCCCAAGTAGTTAAAGCTAACATATAAATTAAACAATTTTTGAATGAATAAAATCGAAGAATGTTAATTATATTTTAATTTGTAAAAAATAAAAAAATGACAAAATATTTTTAACTTACTCTCCTATTTCAATATAGAGTTCTTCTAAGTTAGGTAAAGATTTTAATGAATCACCAATAGACTTTCCACCTTCGGATTCAATGTCGTTTCTTTAATAAAACAGTGTGATTTAATTTAGTTAGTTAATAAAAGTTAAATATTCAGCTTACTGGCCAATATTTAGGCATAAAATATTTAGATTTTAGCATTATTTTATTGATTCTGAAATAGCTTAAGCTCCTGCAAGACCAATTTTGTTATTACTAATCAGAGTAATTTTAAATAAAATATAAATGAATAAATGAACTATTTAATTAGAAATTATGTTTGATTTAGTTGTTGAATGTGTTCAAAAATTATTTATCTATCAATCATCAATTTAAACTATTATTTGGAAACCAATCTAAACAATTTATTTATTTTTACTCTGCAATCGAGACAGTAAGACAAGTTAAATTTGGGTATTTGCGAATTTTATGAAATAATTCCTTTACTCCACTGATTCCAATTTATTGGTTTCTATATTTTAATGAACATTTAAATATTTTTGTGATATAAAAACTGAGTTCTATTATAACTTATTTACTCTGCAACTACCAATTTTAAATTTTTTTATCTTCTTCTCTTAATGTTATTCTCTTCTGATACATTAACTCTACTTTTTCTGATGAGGAATCTAACGAAATATAAAAAAATGAGCTGAATTTGATTTTCTAAATCATTAAAAATTAATGATTACTCTTAGAAGCGAGGATTTGATTCTCTACATACTGATCCTGTCTCTGATAAGGAAGATACAGACTTAATAGTTTCTTCAATCCTATTTTAAAGATATGGTTAAGTAAGTGCATAGATGTTTTTTAAGCTTTTGTCTTTTAGTTTTATATATTATTTATTAGTACTCTCCTAAAGGTGAATTTGTTAAAAACAATAATTATTTTTTGTGTTTTCATTAGTGAGTTTTGGATTACAAATTAAAAATATTAAAATAAATAGAAAGCTTACATTATTTATTCTAGGCTAATTTTAATTTTATACAAATCAGTGATATTCAAATTCTATAATAAAATCTTTGAGAGATTAGTTTTTAATTATTTTTTGAATGTTTTTAATTAATAAAGTATTATTTATGATTATGTGCCTTTTTTATTACAGATTTAAAGTCTTGATTGTATTTTTGAAATACTTAATTAATTTTTATCTGTTTTTGTTTCAATTTATTTTTACTATTTCTTTATACTTTAGTTAATTAATTAAATCAAATAGACAAAATCTTTGGAATTGATTCCAACTCTCCATCCTATAATAATTATTATTATTACTTAATTGCTATGCTTTTTTGGGTATTTATTCATCTTTAAAAATAATTTTTTATTTTTGAAAATTATATCTAAATCCTTTTGTAAATAATTTTATATTTATTAAAATTTTTTATAATAGAATGTTGAAAATGAAGTTTTTCACTTCCTTATTACATAATCTTCTAGATACTTTTAAGAACATTTCAAATTAATTTTAAAGAAATTTCTTTCTATTTTTGATTATTTCTGACATTTTTTATGTCTATGATATCTAAGTTACTTGCAACAAAGAAATAAGTACATTTAAAAAAGTATTAATTCTTTTATAAATGCTATTTTTAGTAAATATTTCATAAAAAAGTAAGATAATATCTTATTAAAGTATTGTTATAAATTAAGAAGTTTTTCTTAGTTTTAAATTTGTAAAGTTTAAAAATCAATAAAAAATTTATTAGAATTTACTATAATTTTAAGATTAGTCAAATTGGTAAATTTTATATTGCTCTTCCTTTTAAAAATTTACTTTATATTCATTATATTCTTAAATAATAATTTAAATAATTAAATTTTAATATTTGTTTCTTTTATTTATTATTTAAATACTTAATAACTAAAATTTAGCCTTTAAATATTAGTTTTTACATTATTGTTTTTAATTAATTTGATTTATAAAATATATAAATATTATTCCTCCTCCTATATCAACATAATTTTTTATTAATGAGAAGGAGTAGGGACTGGGAGGTAAGTAAGAGGGTTACTGATTCAATTTAATTTTTTTAGTTACCATAAAAAATTATTTTATAACCCTCAAACTACCACCCCCACTAATGGTGATAGGAGTCATAAGGCATAGACTCATTTTTACCTTGCAATTATAATTTATGGTAATTAAAATGTTATTTTTATGACCTTAAAGTTAACTCCTGCCCAATTGTAATTGATAATAATTTATATTATTTTATGAATTTAGAAATACTTTTTAATGAAAAGGAATCAACTTGCCATATAAATATAGAATAATATAAGACTATTAATATATTAACTATATAATAAGTTTATTAATTAAATTTATTGATTAATGTATTTAGCATTAAATAATGAATATAATTCATATAGATGTTAGCATTGACAAAGTTAGAATTTTTCAAAACCTTTCTAAGTTAATTAGAAATTTGTGAAGTTAGATATTTTTAACTGAAAGTAGATTTACTACCTAAAAAAATCATTGAAATTCATAAATAAATAATATTTTAATTAGTGATATTAATTAAGTTTTTTATTTTCAAGCTAACTACTAATTATCACCTAGTATTGCATATATTGCCATGAGTATCCCTGCACCGATAAGATATGTAACTAAAAGAGCTATAAAAAAAGAGTATAGAAAATTTACTAAAGCAGGCCATACTTCGTGTTCAGAAAAATTAAAACTATACTAGCTACTCTAACTATCTTCAGCATATACTTGTTATTCTAAATGGTTATCACTAGGTTAATGGTCATCAGTCTCTTGATAAACCTAATATTCATTTTATTGATCTATTTAGTTGTATAGCATTTATGCGTGATATCTATCACTATAGTCTAAACTAAATTAGTTTCTATGGATACTTATAAAAGGACTATTTAGTCCTATGTATTAGTTTTAACTTGTAAAATCATATTATGAGGGAGTAGATTATGTTTAATCATTTTAATTTTATTGCTATTATGTTTTTCTTTTGTTAGATAATAAATTTTGCTACAGTGATTTCCTATTAGTTTAAGAATCACTATCATAGTCATCACTCACAGCATATTTATGTTCATGATATTTTAAAGATGGTAATTTACTCTCTTCGTCTTAAGCATTTGAATTAATATTTGTGCTTATTTGCTAAGAATATGATTAAGATTCATAAAAATCCTATGATTCAAAGCTTTTTCTCTCTCTTTAAAACGAATCTTTCATTTTATGAATATAAAATTTGGTTTACTAAATTTATTTATGATATTTCTAATTATATTAATATTGTAAAGCTAAATAATTCTAAGTAGAATTTTGATAATAAGTATTAAAAAGCACAAAAAAAAATTATTTATGAAAAAGTTATTAAAATTCTTAAAAAATCAGTTATTTTAAAATTAAAAATATTTTATTAAAAATAAATCAATAATTAAAATTCAAAAACTTCAAAAATAGTATATAAAGTTAAATAGATTAAATTAATTAATGAATGAATTAAAAAATCTTTTAAAAAAATATCAAAAATAATATAAAAATGACTAAGAATTTCTTTAAAAAATTAAGATAGGAAATTATTTAGTTAAATTTTGCACAGTTAAATTACTTTTATTTTGCTTAATAATAAATAATATTTTAGATAAATACTTTCTGAAGGTAGAGCTGTCATAAAAATAGAAATATTTATTAACAAATTTATAATTTGTTTTTTTTAGTTTAAAATATTATTTGATAAAAGAAAGGCTAAATATTCAAGTAAATTAATAAGTAATCCGAGATAGTATAGTGGTTAGTATTCCTGCCTGTCACGCAGGAGACCCGGGTTCAATTCCCGGTCTCGGAGCTTTTTTTAATTATTTGAATTATTAATTTTCTTATTAAAATCTTGATAAAATTATAAAAGAATTAATTTTTTACTTGTTTATTTATTATGAGTTTCTTAAATTTTTTTTATCATAAAAATCTTTAAGAATTTAAAAGAAAGGTATTATCAACTTTATACCATTTTTTTATTATGAAATTATGTTTTAAAGTTTAAAACTTTGCAAGCATAATAAAAAATCTTATAATTTATCAAATGTTTTATACTTGATAGTTGTAATTAAAAAAATGATTCATTAATTTTAAAATTCTTATTTTTAGCTTTTTTTCTTCTTTATTAATAATTTAAATACTCTAATTATTTTTGATATATTGACAAAAAAATTTAGACTTTAATTTCTGATAATTCCTTTTTAATTCAAATCTCTAAAAAATTAAAACTAAAAATGGAAACTAAATATTTTAAAGAAAGACAAAAAATTATTTATTTATATTAACAATTGAATAAAAAAGTAAATTTTAAGCTTTTTAAAAATTATTCATAAAAAATAATAGTTAGAATTTCTCTTTATTGTTTATTGGAGTATATTTAATCTAAACAATTGAAATTATTTGATGAAAACTGATTTTCTTTAAAGATTATAATATTTATTATTCAATCTCAATATCTTTATTTATATATTTACTTTTTCATTTCAATTAGATTTTCTTATTAAGCAAATAAATTTCCTAAAACAATCAAGGCATCAAATTTCTAATCCAGATGATTGAAGATATTTTTTTATGAGTTCATTAAATTACAAACGAGAGGAAAATTGAAATAATTTATCAAATCTTCTTACTTATTTTGCTGATTTAGTTAATTTATTTGGAGTTTCAATTAAAAAGAGTTGATTTTGTTAATAAAATCAAATAATTTGGAAGGCAGAAAATAAATATTTTATTTTGGCAAGTATTTTTATTTATAAAAATATACTTCTTATATCTTTATCAGAGAGGAAAGAAACTATTAAGGAAGTTTATAAGAAAGAAAAATAGAAAAGTAATTTATTCCTAAACTTCATTTTATTTGTTCTCACTAAGGAAAAGAAATAATTTAAATGTAGGTTTATAGCAAAATTTTTTCAGATATTAATAATATTAATAAATTATCATTACAATTATTCAGAAACAGCTAATTGATATGCAAAATAAAACATAGTTTATTATACAGCTTGTAGCCTTTTCTCTTAACTTTTTCTTATCATAAATATTTTGTCAATGTCTTTCAGGGAAATATAGTAATGAATTAACTTCAAACTGTGAAAGTTGCTTTGAAGGATGTAGTTCATGTACTGGATACCAATAAAAAGATTGTCTAGATTGTTTGCCGGAATACACTAAAATATAGCTTACAAATCAATTTATATGCTCTCTTTGTCCTTAAGGATAATTCTATGATAATTAGCAAAAGAAATGTATAAATTGCAATTTTGACTGTGATATTTGCCTTTCATTATCAAAGTGCTTAGTATGTAAATAAGGATATGTGTTTGATTCAAGTTCTTAAGACCTTTGCAGCACTACTGATTGTGCTTTTGGTTATTTTAGAAACCCAATGAATTTATAATGTTAAGCTTGTACTACCTAGGTTGAATATTCCTTAGAATGCTATGTCTATTCAATTGTAAATTATTTATTTTTTAAAAATATTCATTATTTAGAAGTAAACACTTTATTAATTTAATCATTTCTGAAAATACCATTTTTTCAATCTCTCATTTTAAATTTGCTTTTTTTATTGAGAATTTATTGGCTAAATTTCAATAGAAATTAATTTTTATAAAACCATTTTAACTTTTCAAAAAATAATTTATTTATTTAAATAAAATTAATTTAATAAAACATAATTCTAAAAAAAATTTAATTTCTATTAGAAATTTTACTTTCCAAAATTTAATTTAATAAATTTCCTTAAATTTAAAATGACTAATCAATCAAATTTTTATTCCATAATTTTAGAATTTAGGTTTTTTTTAAGTATTTTTATTTTATTTTTTAGTATATTTTTTAGATATTAGATTTTTTTCAACTAATCAGTTTTTTATGATTTTAATATATATATTGAATTAAAATTTTATTATTTAAATAAAATTTATAATTTATTAATATTTTTATATTCAAAGAATAATTATTATTATTTAAAGTCTAATTTTTTTTTATATTTATTTTTTACAGTTTAGAGATAAAAATGGAAAGATAACTAGTTTTTCAGTTGGATCGACTATGTGCTAAGATACCTTTCAATTAAATAATTAATCTTGTAGGTGTTCTTATGGAGTTTATTCTAGTTTTAGTTCATGTATTTAATGCGTTGATCCTAATTGCGTAACTTGCGATAATTAATATAGTTGTAATAAATGTAAAGATGGGTATATTTTAAATAATTAAAATAAAAAATGTGTTCTTTAATGTGACTAGTCTTCATACGTTATGTATTAGAGTGACAATAGTTTATTTTGTGATAAAGGTTAATTTTTATTATAATATAACCAAAGCTTTGTCTGTAAAAATTTTTATGGATATGATTCAAATTATGGATGTTTTAGAGACTTTTGTAGGCCTTTATAGTTTAAATTGTTTGATCCCAAATCTAATAGCTTTAAATGTGTTAGTGTATGTCCTATTGGATATACTGCTAATTTGTAAACACTTTCCTGTATAAAGAATAGTTGCAGTAATGATATTTCTTAGTAAATAAATAGTAGTTGTTTCTATAGGACATGTCCTTTTGCATAATACTTTCAAGCCTATATATCTACGGATACTTTATCTAAGTGTGTTGATATAGATAGTTCAACTTAGTGTTTATTTTAATAAGATGAAAGTGCTTCATGCTTTTTTTGCAAAATTTCTTACATAAAATTTAATAACATCTGCTATAAAAACTGTCAATAGGATGATGGAATAATGTAATGGATATACTATCAAGATTCTGGAGAATGTAAGTAATGTTTAAGATAATATTGCCCTTAATTGAGTTATACATATACTATTGATAATAAAATTTACAAAGGAGTTAATTGCCCATTTAACTATCAAACAGTAAAGTATTCATGCATTGCATGTAGCAATCCTAATATGATAAAATGTGATGATCCATCAAGTACAACATACCTTTGTGATTGGGGAGAAGATAATAAAACCTCAGACTGCAAAAAATATGATTTAAATAAATTAGTTGATAAAGCTTTTGATAGTTATGGTAATGTTGTTAATCAACCTTGCAATAATAAAAATTCTAATTAACTTTGCTAAGTATGTAATTTTCCATATACTTATAATTTCAAAGGTGTCTGCTCTAAATAGTTTTTGTATCCAACTAAGTATTTTATATATTAAGATTTAAGTTCTAGTTCTAAACAATACCTAGTTTTGGACTCTTGTTAACCTAATTAATTTGTTTAGAAAGTTGTAATAGGTTCTGTTTAAATGAGTGTTTGCAAAGACTTTGCAACATGCTTGGAGTAAATTCCTTCATAGGTTGATGGAGTAACTTAGCCAATATGTTCTAAATGCTCACCATACTTTTATAATATGTTTGGAAGCTGCATAGACGCCTGTCCTAGTTTTACTTATTAAAATAAAAATTCTATGACTTGTGAAACTCCTATTTAATATTGCTCCACTTATGTGGCTAATACGTCCAAACCGTAATGCAGCGCATGCTTAGGCGGATATGTCTTAAATAAAAGTACTCCTTCTGACACATGCATACCTTACTCAAGTTGCACAAACGGTTACTATTTTGATGTTACATTTAATAAATATTATTGTAGTTAATGCCCAGCTAATTGTGACGAATGCTTATAAAATTTAAAATGTATAAAACCTTCTGCAGGGTATTATTTATATAATTATAAACCTATTAAGTAATGTCCATAAGGAACATATCTTTCTAATAATACTTGTATGAATTGCGGATAATTTTGTTTGCAATGTACTGATCAAAATACATGCATAACTAGTTATACTGGTAGTTATTTTTATATTGAAAGCAGTTAAGTGTTTGTTTTTTTAAATCCTTAATGCAAAACAAATCAATTTTTTAATTAGACTCAAGGTAATTGTTAGATTTGTGATACTTCTTGTGCCTAATGTTATCAATTTGCAACTTAATGCCTGCTTTGCTCAGATCCAACAATGAATCTTCTAAACTATTAATGCATGAAAAATTGCCCTAATGGATATTATAGCTCATTAGTCAAAACCAAAAATTATTCAAGAAAGATGTGTTTAAAATGTGATGTTTCTTGTCTTGATTGCTAAAATACTCCAGAGTTTTGTCTTACAGGGTGTTAGGAAAATTACTATTTTTATAAAAATAAATGTCTTAAAGACTGCCCAGATAATTATATAAGATTAAATGGAATTTGCCAGTTAAGTTGCTCATCAGGTAGTTCATATGACCCAAATAGTGATTTATGCTGTGACTAAAATTGCACAAAGTGTGATTCATCTAAGTGTACTTAATGCTCTTAACCAAATATGTATAAAAATCCATAAAATATCAAATAATGTCTTTTAAGTTAAGACCCTAATTGCTTAATAGTTGATTTCTAAAATGGTAATTTTTTAAAAATTAAATTTATTTTAAAAAAAATTATTTAAAAATTTTTATCTTTAAAATAGGCAAATGTCTTACTTGCAAAGATGGCTATAAGCTAGATCAAAATAAATAATTATGCGCTTACTTTATTTTGTAGTGCAAAGCTTATGATCCTTAAGATAATAAAAAATGTGCTTTATGCTACTATGGATATTATCTAACAGATAATAATACTTGCTGTGGTATACAAAATTGCTCTATTTGCAATACTAATAATATTTCTCAGTGCTCATAATGTTAAAGTAAATACATTTTTGATTAAAATAACAATTGTATATTTAACTGCTTAGTGCAGTATTGTAAGAGTTGTGTATAAGATAATTAATAATAATGTGCAACTTGCATATCTACATACAAAGTTGATCCAAAAACTAATTTGTGTATATTTGATTGCTTAGTTGATAATTGTTAAAAATGTGTGACTGATGATCAATAAAAATGCAATACTTGTATTGATACTTATAAATTAGATCTAAATACTAAAAAATGTATTTTTGATTGCAAAGTACCATATTGTTAGACTTGTATATAAGGAAATTAAAATAAATGTTTAGTATGTTAACCGAAATATAGAACAAATTTAAATAACATCTGTATTTTTGACTGTTAAGTTAGTAATTGCCTAACATGTGTAGATAATAATTAGCAAAAATGTTAAGTGTGTGAAAATTCTTATGTATTAGATACAATTTCTTAGTAATGTAATTTTGATTGTAAAGTGTAAAATTGTTAAAAATGTTAAGATTATGACTAATATAAGTGCCTTTCTTGTATAAATAAATATAAAGTTGATCCTTAATCCTATTAATGTATTTTTGACTGCAAAGTCCCTAATTGTTAGATTTGTCAATAAGATAATTAGCTAAGTTGTCTAAATTGTTTGCCAAAATATAAATTTGATTAGAAAAATAATTGTGTATTTGATTGTCAAGCTTAAAATTGTTAAACTTGTGTTGAAAATAATTAATTTTAGTGTTAAACTTGTCTTGATACTTATAAAGTAGATCCAGATAGTAAAATATGCATATTTGACTGCAAAGCTCCTAATTGTAAGACTTGCCAACAGGGGGATTAAATAAAATGCTCTGAATGCTACAATAATTACAAACTTGATTCTAAAAAAAATTGTGTATTTGATTGCTTGGCTGATAATTGCCAAACCTGCATTGAAAATAATTAGTTATAATGCTAAACATGCCTTTAAGCTTATAAATTAGATCCTACTTCTGGTCAATGTAAATTCGATTGTAAAGTTTAAAATTGCTAGAAGTGTGTATTAAACGATTAAAACAAATGTGAAACATGTATATCTAAATATAAAATTGATGATTATAATTAATGTATTTTCGATTGTTAAGTTTCAAATTGTAAAATTTGTTAATCTGAAAATTAGCAAGCATGTCTTGTATGCCAGCCATAATATAAGTTAGATTAATAAAATAAATGTACTTTTGATTGTAAAGTTGAAAATTGTTCAACTTGTGTTGATAATAATTAATTGAAATGCTAAACATGTATAGATACTTATAAAATTGACTCATAAACATACTAGTGTGTTTTTGATTGCTAGGCAACAAATTGTAAAACTTGTATTTAAGGAGATTAACAAAAATGTTCAGTCTGTTATGACAAATATAAATTTGATTAAAATTAAAATTGTGTATTTGATTGTAAAGTATAAAATTGTCTAAAATGTGTTTTAAATGATTAAAATAAATGTGAAACATGTATAAATAAGTATAGAATTGATGATTCTAAATAATGCATTTTTGACTGTTAAGTGTCTCATTGCTAAGCTTGCAAAACAGAAAACTAGTTAGAGTGCTTTACATGTTTACCATAATATAAGCTAGATTAATAAAATAAATGTGTTTTTGATTGTAAAGTTGAAAATTGTTCAACTTGTGTTGAAAATAATTAATTAAAATGCTAAACATGTATAGATACTTATAAAGTTGATTCATAGACTAATTAATGTGTTTTTGATTGCTAGGCATCAAATTGCAAAACTTGTATTTAAGGAAATTAACAAAAATGTTCTGTTTGTTATGATAAATATACATTAGATAAAAATTAAGATTGTGTATTTGATTGTAAAGTTTAAAATTGTTAAAAATGTATATTAAATGATTAAAACAAGTGTGAAACTTGTGTTAATAAATATAAAATTGATGATTCATAATAGTGTATTATTGATTGTTAAGTTCCAAATTGCTAAACTTGTTAACCAGATAACTAACTAGCGTGTTTTGCATGCTAGCTAAAATACAAGTTAGATTAATAAAATAAATGTGTTTTTGATTGTAAAGTTGAAAACTGTTTAACTTGTGTTGAAGATAGTTAATTTAAATGCTAAACATGTATAGATACTTATAAAATAGATTTAGAAACAAAACAGTGTGTTTTTGATTGCTAAGTATCGAATTGCAAAATTTGTGAATCTGAAAATCAACACAAATGTTCAATTTGCAATGAATAATATAAAATAAATTAATCCTAAAATTGTGTATTTGATTGTTTAGTATAAAATTGTGAAATTTGTGTTTCAAATGATTAAAGCAAATGTCAGCAATGCTTACCAGATTATGATTTAAATTCAACTAAAAACTGTATTAGAAAATGTTAAGTCTAAAATTGTCAAACTTGTGAGATAGGCAATCCTTCTAAATGCTAAATATGTAACATTAATTACCAAGTAAATTTAAGTAAGTAATGTGAGTTAATTTGTAATGTAAAAAATTGTTTAGAATGTTAACCTAAAGATCCTAATATTTGTCAAAATTGTGTCAATAATTATGTTCTTGATAAAGATAACAAAAACTGTCTCTGCTAAGCATAAAATTGTAAAACATGTTAATCAAATGATGGTAAAATATGCCAAGACTGTAATAATCAATACAAATTAGATGGAAAAGGATAGTGTATTTTTGATTGTTTAGTATAAAATTGTGTAAATTGTGCTTCAAATGATTAGAATAAATGTCAATAGTGCTTACCAGATTATGATTTAAGCCCAACTTAAATTTGTGTTAGCAAATGTTAAGTTTAAAATTGCTAAACTTGTGAGTTAGGTAATCCTTTAAAGTGTTCAGTATGCAACGTTAATTACCAAGTAAACTCAAGTAAATAATGTGAGTTAGTTTGTAATGTATAAAATTGTTAAGAATGCTAATCTAATGATCCTAATATATGTAAAAATTGTGTTTAAAATTATCAACTTGATAAAGATAATAAAAGTTGTTTATGCTAAGTATAAAATTGTAAAACATGTAAATCAAATGATGGCAAATTATGTCAAGACTGTAACAATCAATATAAATTAGATGGAAAAGGAGAATGTATTTTTGACTGCTTAGTATAAAACTGTTTAAATTGTGTGACAAATGATTAGAATAAATGTCAACAGTGCTAACTTGGTTATGATTTAAGCCCAAGTAAGAGTTGTGTTAGCTAATGTTAAGTTTAAAATTGCCAAATATGTGTGATAGGTAATCCTTTAGAGTGTAAAATATGCAATAAAAACTACCAAGTTAATTCAAGTAAGTAATGTGAGTCAGTTTGTAATGTAAAAAATTGTTCAGAATGCCAATCTAATGACCCTAATAGTTGTTAAAATTGTGTCAAAAATTATGTACTTGATAATGATTAAAAAAATTGTCTCTGTTAAGCATAAAATTGTAAAACATGTTAATCTAATGACGGTAAATTATGCCAAGACTGTAACAACCAATACAAATTAGATGGAAAAGGATAGTGCATCTTTGATTGCTTAGTATAAAATTGTGTAAATTGTGCTTTAAATGATTAGGATAAATGTCAATAGTGCTTACCAGATTATGATTTAAGCCCAACTTAAATTTGTGTTAGTAAATGTTAAGTTTAAAATTGTTAAACTTGTGAGTTAAGTAATCCTTTAAAGTGTTAAGTTTGCAATATAAATTATTAAGTTAATTCAAGTAAGTAATGTGAGTTAGTTTGTAAAGTATAAAATTGCTTAGAATGTTAATCTGATAACCCTAATATTTGTAAAAATTGTGTTAACAATTATGTTCTTGATAAAGATAATAAATATTGTTTATGCTAAATTTAAAATTGTAAAACATGTCAAGTAAATGATGGAAAATTATGTCAAGAATGTAACAGCTAATACAAATTAGATGGAAAAGGAGAGTGTGTTTTTGATTGCTTAGTATAAAATTGTGTAACTTGTGCTTCAAATGATTAAAATAAATGTCAGCAATGCTTACCCAACTATGATTTGAGCCCTAATAAAATCTGTATTAATAAATGTTAAGTTTAAAATTGCCAAGCTTGTGTGCTTGGAAATCCTTAAGAGTGTTAAATATGCAATACAAACTATCAAGTTAATTCAGATAAGTAATGTGAGTTAATTTGTAATGTAAAAAATTGTTTAGAATGCCAATCTAATGACCCTGATAGTTGTTAAAATTGTGTCAAAAATTATGTACTAGATAATGATAAAAAAAATTGTTTATGCTAATCATAAAATTGTAAAACATGTTAATCTATTGATGGTAAATTATGCCAAGACTGTAACAGCCAATACAAATTAGATGAAAAAGGAAAGTGTGTTTTTGATTGCTTAGTATAAAATTGTGTAAATTGTGCTTTAAATGATTAGAATAAATGTCAATAATGCTTACCAGATTATGATTTAAGCCCAACTTTAATTTGTGTTAGCAAATGTTAAGTTTAAAATTGCTAAACTTGTGAGTTAGGTAATCCTTTAAAGTGTTCAGTATGCAACATTAATTACCAAGTAAACTCAAGTAAATAATGTGAGTTAGTTTGTAATGTAAAAAATTGTTAAGAATGTTAATCTAAAGACCCTAATAATTGTTAAAATTGTGTCAATAATTATCTTCTTGATAAAGATAATAAAAATTGTCTCTGCTAAGCATAAAATTGTAAAAATTGTTAATCTAATGATGGTAAACTATGCCAAGACTGTAATAGCCAATACAAATTAGATGGAAAAGGAGAATGTATTTTTGACTGCTTAGTATAAAATTGTTTGAATTGTGTGACAAATGATTAGAATAAATGTTAATAGTGCTTACCAGATTATGACTTAAGCCCAACTTAAATTTGTGTTAGCAAATGTTAAGTTTAAAATTGCTAAACTTGTGAGTTAGGTAATCCTTTAAAGTGTTCAGTATGCAACATTAATTACCAAGTAAACTCAAGTAAATAGTGTGAGTTAGTTTGTAATGTAAAAAATTGTTAAGAATGTTAATCTAAAGACCCTAATATATGTAAAAATTGTGTTTAAAATTATCATCTTGATAAAGATAATAAAAATTGTTTATGCTAAGCATAAAATTGTAAAACATGTTAATCTAATGATGGTAAATTATGCCAAAATTGTAACAGCCAATACAAATTAGATGGAAAAGGAGAATGTATTTTTGATTGTTTAGTATAAAATTGTGTAAATTGTGCTTCAAATGATTAGAATAAATGTCAATAATGCTTACCAGATTATGATTTAAGCCCAACTTAAATTTGTGTTAGCAAATGTTAAGTTTAAAATTGCTAAACTTGTGAGTTAGGTAATCCTTTAAAGTGTTCAGTATGCAACATTAATTACCAAGTAAACTCAAGTAAATAGTGTGAGTTAATTTGTAATGTAAAAAATTGTTAAGAATGTTAATCTAAAGACCCTAATAATTGTTAAAATTGTGTCAATAATTATCTTCTTGATAAAGATAATAAAAATTGTCTCTGCTAAGCATAAAATTGTAAAACTTGTTAATCTAATGATGGTAAACTATGCCAAGACTGTAATAGCCAATACAAATTAGATGGAAAAGGAGTATGTATTTTTGATTGCTTAGTATAAAATTGTTTGAATTGTGTGACAAATGATTAGAATAAATGTTAATAGTGCTTACCAGATTATGATTTAAGCCCAACTTTAATTTGTGTTAGCAAATGTTAAGTTTAAAATTGCCAAATTTGTGAGTTAGGTAATCCTTTAAAGTGTTAAGTATGTAACATCAATTTCCAAGTTAACTCAAGTAAGTAATGTGAGTTAGTTTGTAAAGTATAAAATTGTTTAGAATGCTAATCTTATAACCCAAATATATGTAAAAATTGTGTTTAAAATTATCAACTTAATAAAGATAATAAAAATTGTCTCTGCTAAGCATAAAATTGTAAAACATGTTAATCTAATGATGGTAAACTATGCCAAGACTGTAATAGCCAATACAAATTAGATGGAAAAGGAGAATGTACTTTTGACTGCTTAGTATAAAATTGTTTGAATTGTGTGACAAATGATTAGAATAAATGTCAACAATGCTAATCAGGTTATGATTTGAGCCCAAGTAATAGCTGTGTTAGCTAATGTTAAGTTTAAAATTGCCAAAATTGTGTGATAGGTAATCCTTTAGAGTGTTAAGTATGTAATACAAACTACCAAGTTAATTTAAGTAAGTAATGTGAGCTAGTTTGTAAAGTATAAAATTGCTTAGAATGCTAATCTGATAACCCTAATATTTGTAAAAATTGTGTTTAAAATTATCAACTTGATAAAGATAATAAAAATTGTTTATGCTAAGCATAAAATTGTAAAACATGTTAATCTAATGATGGTAAATTATGCCAAAATTGTAACAGCCAATACAAATTAGATGGAAAAGGAGAATGTATTTTTGATTGCTTAGTATAAAATTGTGTAAATTGTGCTTCAAATGATTAGAATAAATGTCAATAATGCTTACCAGATTATGATTTAAGCCCAACTTTAATTTGTGTTAGCAAATGTTAAGTTTAAAATTGCTAAACTTGTGAGTTAGGCAATCCTTTAAAGTGTTCAGTATGCAACATTAATTACCAAGTAAACTCAAGTAAATAGTGTGAGTTAGTTTGTAATGTAAAAAATTGTTAAGAATGTTAATCTAAAGACCCTAATATATGTAAAAATTGTGTTTAAAATTATAAACTTGATAAAGATAATAAAAGTTGTTTATGCTAAGCATAAAATTGTAAAACATGTAAATCAGATGATGGCAAATTATGTCAAGACTGTAATAATCAATACAAATTAGATGGAAAAGGAGAATGTATTTTTGACTGCTTAGTATAAAACTGTTTAAATTGTGTGACAAATGATTAGAATAAATGTCAACAGTGCTAATCAGGTTATGATTTGAGCCCAAGTAAGAGTTGTGTTAGCTAATGTTAAGTTTAAAATTGCCAAACATGTGTGATAGATAATCCTTTAGAGTGTTAAGTGTGCAACATTAATTACTAAGTAAACTCAAGTAAATAATGTGAGTTAATATGCAAAGTATAAAATTGTTTAGAATGCTAATCTTATAACCCAAATATTTGTAAAAATTGTGTTTAAAATTATCAACTTGATAAAGATAATAAAAATTGTTTATGCTAAGTATAAAATTGTAAAACATGTAAATCAAATGATGGCAAATTATGTCAAGACTGTAACAATCAATACAAATTAGATGGAAAAGGAGAATGTATTTTTGACTGCTTAGTATAAAACTGTTTAAATTGTGTGACAAATGATTAGAATAAATGTCAACAGTGCTAGCTTGGTTATGATTTGAGCTCAAGTAAGAGCTGTGTTAGCTAATGTTAAGTTTAAAATTGCCAAACATGTGTGATAGGTAATCCTTTAGAGTGTTAAGTATGTAACACAAACTACAAAATAAATGCAAGTAAGTTATGTGAGTTAGTTTGTAATGTATAAAATTGTTTAGAATGCTAATCTTATAACCCAAATATTTGTAAAAATTGTGTTTAAAATTATCAACTTGATAAAGATAATAAAAATTGTTTATGCTAAGCATAAAATTGTAAAACATGTAAATCAAATGATGGCAAATTATGTCAAGACTGTAACAATCAATACAAATTAGATGGAAAAGGAGAATGTATTTTTGACTGCTTAGTATAAAACTGTTTAAATTGTGTTTTAAATGATTAAAATAAATGTCAATAGTGCTAACTTGGTTATGATTTGAGCCCAAGTAAGAGTTGTGTTAGCTAATGTTAAGTTTAAAATTGCCAAACATGTGTGATAGGTAATCCTTTAGAGTGTTAAGTATGCAACACAAACTATAAAATTAATGCAAGTAAGTAATGTGAGTTAGTTTGTAATGTAAATAATTGTTTAGAATGCTAATCTAATGACCCTAATATATGTAAAAATTGTATTATAAATTATTTACTTGATAAAGATAAGAAAAATTGCTTTTGTTAAGCATAAAATTGTAAAACATGTTAGTTAAATGATGGTAAAATATGTTCAGATTGTAACAATCAATACAAATTAGATGGAAAAGGAGAATGTATTTTTGACTGCTTAGTATAAAACTGTTTAAACTGTGTGACAAATGACCAAAATTTATGTTTATAATGCTTGCCAGGTTATATTTTAAGTCCAACTAAAAGTTGTATTAAAAATTGTTAAGTTTAAAATTGCTAAACTTGTGAATTAAATAATCCTTTAGAGTGTTAAGTTTGTAATCCTAATTCCAAGCTTAATTCTAGTAAATAATGTGAGCTTTTCTGTAAAGTAGATAACTGTGAACAATGCTAAAAAGATAATCCAAACATATGCCAAATTTGCACCTTAAATTATGTTTTTGACAAATATAGCAAATAATGTTTATGTTAAGTACCAAACTGTAAAACATGTTAAAAAAATAATGGAAAGATTTGCTAAGAATGTAGTAGTAAATATAAAATAGATTCTTATGGTGAATGCGTTTTTGATTGTTTAGTTGAAAATTGCCAAACTTGTGCATTAAATAATCAAAATGAATGCTAAAACTGTATTCCAAAGTATAAATTGAATTCATAATTCAAATGTGTGAGTGAATGTAAAGTTTTAAATTGCTCTACCTGTTTTCCTAGTAATACATATTAATGCTAAATATGTAATCCAAATTATCAACTAAATAAAATTAATTAATGCGAAAATATTTGTGATGTTTAAAATTGCTAAACCTGTGAATTTAATAATAATAAGATATGTAAGATATGCAATCTAAATTATTAATTAGATCCAAATAAAGAATGTAAATGCTAATCATAAAATTGTCAAACATGTTAAAAAGATAATGGATAATTATGCTAAATTTGCAATAAAAAATATAAATTAGATAGTAAAAATTAATGTATACCTGATTGCCCAGATAAAAATTGCTTATTATGTGAAGAGTATAATTAAGATTAATGCAGATAATGTTCACCTAATTATATTTTAGACTCAAATAAAAAATGTTAAAATAATTGTAATGTTTCTAACTGCTTAACTTGTATTTTAAGTAACGCTAATATATGCTTAAATTGTTAAGCTGGTTACTAACTAAATGAAAATTAATAATGTATTCCAATTTGCAAAGTATAAAATTGTATTTAATGTAAAATAAATGATCCTCTTGTATGTATTACTTGTGCTAAAAGCTATACAACTGATAAAAATCATTAATGTGAATTAGCATGTGATGATTACGATGATGATTGCTATTAAAAAAGTTTACAATTATAAGGGCATAGCTAAATAGCTAGCTCAGTAGTTAGTGGTGTAGCTGGATTTGTTACTAACGGATTGTATTTATTTACTCCTATTCAAATAGTAATCTCTTACTTTGATTTTCTTTAAACAATCAATTTATTGCTTTATGTAAAAGTGAATTATCCAAAATCATTGTATACTTTTCTAAAAATATTTAATTTTAGTAATTTTGAATTTTTGCCAAGCATCTAAAAAGAGGATGCTAATGTTCCTTAAACTTTCGGAAGAGAACGATTTGACTCAAATTTTTATAGCAATATGTTATAACCTTTAATTGTTTGGGCTAGTGCTTTTTTCATATATTTTGTTTCTTATTTGGTTAACTTAAGTAAAATGGACAAGAAAAGCAGAGTCTACAAAATATTTAATTTCATATACGATAAATTCTTTTATCAGATATTTACAGCAATAATTTTTTTAACTTTCTATAAGATAAATTTAAGTGTATAGCTTCAAATGTATGATACAAATTTAGACTTAAAAGGGATTTTTTCTTATATAATGAGTGCAATTATTTTAATATCTTAAATATTTATGGTATATCTAGGCTTATAGATGATAAGTATTGACGATTTCAATAGTAATAAATTAGTTTAAAAGATAAAACTTAAATATTAACAATTCTCTGCAAAACAATTTACTAAAAGATATCATTTTTTTAATGGTATAATGTTGATAAGGAAAATTCTTTATGTAAGTGCTCTTGTTTTTATGCAAGATGATAAAATGACTTAAATAATAATAATTTAAGGGATATTTAGTATATAGACTTTACTTGTTCTCATTAATAAACCTTATCCCAGCTAGCAACAAAATAATATTATTACTTTTAGCAACTTTTGCTATTTGATATCAATCCTTTGCATAAATGGTCTCATATATGATGACATTGCAAATATATTTACCAAAGAAGTAAGGGAAATATTTGCTTCTATTACAATTGGCATGCTTTCATTGATTTTTCTAAGCAATTTAGTAAAAATAATATAATTAGTTAGAAGATCCTCTTATTAACTATTACCTGGACATATAAATGATTCAAAAAATAAATGATGATTTTATTTATTTCAAAATAAATAAATAACAAATATTATTTTTGTTTAATTTATAAAAATTAAATTTAAACTTGTTTAAATTTTTCATAAATGGAAATTATTTTTTTAATTATCAAAATTTTATTTTTAAAATAAATTTAAGGTAAAATTTTTAATTTTAGAATTATTTTTATAAAAATATTTCTAAACTTATTATATAAAATATGGAGTTTTTGATAAAAAAGTTATTTAGATTAATAGATTAAATATATAATTCAATTAACTTTATTTCATTATTTTCTTTAAATTTTTTCATTTTAAATCAAAATTACTTATAAAATAATTATATTTCAAAATTATTCTTACAAACAAAAATAATTAAATAAATTTAAAATGCACTGCCGTAAAATTATGAATTCAATATCAATAAAAATAAAATTTTATTAAGCTTTATATATTATTTAAACATTTAATTCTGTTACAAATATTTTAATTTTTCATACTTTACATGTATTGCTTTAATTATATTAATAAATATAATTTAAAAGGGCAAATTAACACTAATTTTCAGTTTTTAAATAGAATATATCTAGAAATCTCATAAATTATATTCAATCCGAGATAGTATAGTGGTTAGTATTCCTGCCTGTCACGCAGGAGACCCGGGTTCAATTCCCGGTCTCGGAGCTTTTTATTTATTTTTAATTTTATAAAAAAACGAAAAAATCTTTTATAAGTAATTTATTGATAATTTTCTAAATGATTTTTGCTTTATATAAATTATTTCTATTTTATAAAAACTTTTTTTGAAGTTAAATTAATAAAAATTAACAAAATAAATTTAATTTCTAGAAGTCTATTAGGCTTCTATATTTAGTTTGAGGATATTAGATACAAATAAAATGATTTAATATTTATTTACTATATTTAATAGAGTTATTTGTTTATATTATTCATATAAAAAGTTGGATGTATAAAAAATTATGGATATAGAAAATTAGTTTATATTTTATTCATAGCATCTTTTAAGTGTCCTTTTCTTGTTTGCTGAAATTAATAAAATCTAATACACAAAATATAATTTAATTTTAAAAAAATAGAGGGAAAAAATTATTTTGCTTAAAAATTAAGCATATCATATTTTTTCTTTAAATCAATATAAAAATTTGTTTTAAAATACATATATATTTTCCTTGAAAAACATTTTTTATTATTAGATTTAAAATATGTTTATAAACTATCTTTTTATAAATATATCTGATTGAATAAATATATATATAACTTTATATCAATTTTATCTATTGATTTGAAGTTTATTTTTAAGAGTTTCTTCTTTAAAAGTATTGATAAAGCTGGAAGAAGAAAATTAAATTAGTAAAAGAAATGAGAAAATTAGATTTTTTTTCATAATAATACTAATATTACTTGTATTTTTTAAAATTCTATTAAGAATATTATTTGATCTCAGATTAAAAAAGATATTTTCTTCAATCATCAAAAAAAATTTAAGAAGAAACAAAATAAATTCTTTTATTATAAATATATTTTCGAAATAAACAATATTAATAAAATTCATTTTAGGTTTGAAAAAATTGAATTAAATTGTATTATATTTATTTAGCAATAGTTTTTTTTGAATGGTTATATATATCAAAAAAACAAATCACGTAACAAATATACTAAAAATTTAGTGAGAGCGAATTACAGAATAAATTAACAAATCCAAAAATTCTTTTTATTTGTTCTTCTTAATTAAAATAGAAGAAGCTAAGGATAGTTGTAGACACTTAAATTGAGAAACTATTTCTTTAGGTTATTTATTTAATTAATTAAAAATTTACATATTATCAGCCTAGAAAGAAGATCAAATAAAAATGCAAAAAAAATTATCTTTTATAATATAAGTAATTGGATGGATTATTTGCTATCTATCTGACTTTGTTAATAGCGATTGCAGTACAGGTACTTACTAAAATGAGTTAAGTGGAAATTGTGATAATTGCTATGTTGGGTGTAGCACATGTACTGGATATTAATAAAAAGATTGCTTAGATTGCTTACCTACATTTAAAAAAATATAGCTTTCTAATCAATTTATTTGCTCTCTTTGTCCTTAGGGGTAGTTTTATGATGATTCAGCAAGCAAATGCTTGAATTGCAACTTTGATTGTGATGTATGCCTATCATTATCTAAATGTTTAGTATGTAAATAGGGATATGTATTTGATTCTCTTATATAAAATATATGTAATAAGGTTAATTGCGATTTTGGTTACTATAGAAATCCTATTAATTAGCTGTGTGAAAAATGTACCACTCAGGTTTCAAATTCAACAAATTGCTTAGTGGAATATACTGTAATTATTTAAATAATTATAATATTTTTAAAAATTTGGAATAAATTATCTTCTTAATTTTTAAAGAATAAATTTTAATTTTTGAAAATGATTTAAAATTTTAAAAATTAAAAAACTTACATTTAATATTTTAATTGAACTTAAAAATTTTAATCAGAAAATTATTAATTGTTTACAAATTTTTGATTAAAGAATTTTAGAATCAATTTTTCTAATTTGATAAAAAATAAATTTTTAATTTTAATACTAAAATTTTTAATTTTTTTCTTTTTTTTAATAAAGTATTATGACTAAAATGGCAAACCTACTAGTTTTAGTGTAAAACCATTAATATGCGATGATACTTATTAGTTATAATATTCGTAATGTACTTGTTAAATAGGTGTTTATCGTGATAGTTATAGCTGTACTACATGTACTGATCCTAATTGCATGATTTGTTATTCATTTAATAGTTGCTCTTAATGTAAATATGGGTATGTTTTAAATTAAAATACCTATAAGTGCGTTTTATAGTGTGATTAAACATAATATGTAATGTAATATTCAAATGCTAATAGTCTGTAATGCTATTAAAGTTAAGTATTAGTATAAGATAATAAAAACTCTTATTGTAAGTACTTTTATGGATATGATTCTTATTATGGATGTTTTAACTCTTATTGTAGACCTTTATAATTTAAACTATTTGATCCAAAATCTAATAGTTTTAAATGTGTAAGTGCTTGCCCAATAGGATATACTGCTAACCTATAAACATTTTCTTGTATTCAAAATAATTGTACTGGCGATATATCCTAACTAATAAATGGTACATGCTTTTATAGGACATGCCCTTCTGGATATTACTTTTAATAATTCTAAGATCTCAAAACACCATCTAAGTGTATAGTGATAGATAATCCAAATTGTATGTATCAATTAGATGAATATCCTACATGTTTATTTTGTTAGAATTCATATATTTACAACAACGGATATTGTGTAGCTCATTGCTAAGGTAACGATCCTTAAAACGATTTACTATACTACTAAGAATCAGGAAAATGTAATTATTGTTGGAAAAGTTACTGTTCCTCCTCTTAATTTGAGTACACATATATTATAAATGATGTAAGTTATATAGGAAACAACTGCCCAAACAACTATCAAAATGTTAACAAAAAATGTGTTTTGTGTAGCAATCCTAAAATGATAAAATGTGATACTCCAGAAACTACAAAATATTTATGTGACTGGGGAGAAAATAATACAACACCTGATTGTTAAAAATATGATTTAACCAAATTAACCTAAAATTCTTTTGATGGCTATGGCAACATTTAAAATTATAGTTAATGTTATAATTACGATCCCATTACTAAATTATGTAAAATTTGCTATTAATGGTCCCCCTATAATTTCAAAGGAGTGTGCTCAAGCTAATTTTAATATCCAACTAAGTACTTTATATATCAGGATCTGAGCTAAAATATTCAAACACAGTACTTTGTTTTGGATTCTTGTAAACCTAATTAGTTTGTTTAAAGAGTTTTAATAAACTCTATATATATGAATGTTTGTAAAGACTTCGCTTAGTGCTTATAATTTAAAACGTAAACAGTAGATGGAGTTGATTAACAAATTTGTGCTTAATGTGCACCAAATTTTTTTAATATTTTTGGAAGTTGCATTGATGATTGCCCAAATTAAACATTTAAAAACACAATTTCAATGGCTTGTGAAACTCCTATTTAAAACTGTGCATAGTATTATCAGTAATCAAAATAACCTTTATGCACTACTTGTTTAATAGGATATGTCTTATATAAAAGCTATCCATCAGATACATGTGTACTTTATTCAAGCTGCAAAAATGGTTTTTTCTATGATTTATAATAAGGTTACTGTAATCAGTGTTAAGCAAATTGTGATGAATGCTTATCTAATTTAAAATGTACAAAACCTTCTGCTGGATATGTTTTATATAATTTTTAGCCTGTTAATAAATGCCCATAAGGAACATATCTATCTGGTAATAGTTGCTAAAATTGTGGGTAATTTTGTTTGTAATGCACAGATTAAAATACATGCTAAAGCCCTTACTCAGGTAGTTATTTTTATCTTATAAGTAATAAGGTATTTGTTTACTTAAATCCTATATGTAGTACAAATTAGTTTTTTAATCAATCTCAAGCTATCTGCTAGAATTGTGATATATCCTGTGCTTAGTGTTATAAATCAGCCACTTAATGTCTACTCTGTTCTGATTCAACTATGAATCTTTATAACTATTAATGTATAAAAAATTGCCCTATTGGGTACTATAGCTCATAAGTAAAATCCACAAACTATTCAAGAAATATGTGTTTAAAATGTGATTCTAGTTGCTTTGATTGCTAAAATACTCCAACTTTTTGCTTAACAGCTTGTTCCGATGGTTACTATTTTTATAAAAATTAATGTTTGAAAGTATGCCCAACAAAATATATAGCATCAAATGGAATATGTAAGCTTAATTGCTCAGATGGCTAAACTTATGATCCAAATAGTGACCTTTGCTGTAGTCTAAATTGTACTAAGTGTACTTCTACAATATGCACATAATGCTAAAATCCTAATATGTTTTTAAACCCAATAAATTAAAACTAATGTATTTAAACATCAGATTCTAATTGTTTATCAACTGATATTTAAACTGGTAATTTTTAAGAAAAAATAAATCTAATTCTTCTTTTTTTTTTTAATTTTATTATTTAAATTAATAGGAAGCTGTATTTAATGCACAAGTAATTATTAATTTGATACTGGTAAAAAAATATGTATTTATTTTATTTAAAAGTGCAGTATTTATGATTAAAATGACTAAACTAAGTGTATTTAGTGCCAGTCAGAATATTACTTAACAGATTAAAATGTCTGCTGTGGAGTTTAAAACTGTTCAACTTGTAATAGTAATGATATATCAAAATGTAATGCTTGCAAGCAAATGTATGCTTTTGATTAAAATAATAATTGTATTTTTGACTGTCAAGTACCAAGTTGCTAAACTTGTGTTCAAAATAATTAGAAGTAATGCGCTTAGTGCATATAAGCATATAAAGTTGACCCTAACTCTCAACAATGTGTCTTTGATTGCTAAGTTTAAAACTGTTAAATATGTGTTAAAAATGATTAATAAAAATGTAGTACTTGCATTAGTACATATAAACTTGATTCTTCATCTTAATGTATCTTTGACTGTTTAGTTTCTAACTGTCAGATTTGCTAAACAGGTAATTAGTAATAATGCTAAACTTGTGCCCCAATGTACAAAGTGGATTAAAACTTAAAGTGTGTATTTGACTGTTAAGTTGATAATTGCTAAACTTGCGTTACAAATAACTAAAAGCAATGTAGTACATGTATAAGCACTTATAAAGTGGATCCAAGTAATTTATAATGCATATTTGATTGCCAAGTTGCTAATTGCTAAACATGTTAACCAGGTAATCAATTAAAATGTTAAATGTGTGCCCCAATGTATAAAACCGACTAAAATTATAAGTGTGTATTTGACTGCTAAGTTGATAATTGCTAAACTTGTGTTACAAATAATTAAAAGCAATGTAGTACTTGTATAAGCACTTATAAAGTGGATCCAAGTAATTCATAATGCCTTTTTGATTGCCAAGTTGCTAATTGCTAAACCTGTTAAACAGGTAATCAACAGTAATGCTAATTATGTGCCCCAATGTATAAAACCGACTAAAATTATAAGTGTGTATTTGATTGCTAAGTTGATAATTGCTAAACTTGTGTTACAAAAAATTAAAAGCAATGTAGTACATGTATAAGCACTTATAAAGTAGATCCAAGTAATTCACAATGCATTTTTGATTGTTAAGTTTCTAATTGTTAAACATGTTAACAAGGTAATCAATTAAAATGTTAAATATGTGCTCCTATGTATAAACTTGATGAAAGCAATAACTGTGTTTTTGATTGTAAAGTTTAAAATTGCTAAATCTGTCTTTTAAATAATTAAAATATGTGTAGTACTTGTCTAAAAAGTTATAAAATAGATCCTAATAGCCAACAGTGCATTCTTGATTGCCAAGTTTCTAACTGCAAAACATGCTAAGCTGATAATCAGTTATAATGCTAAAATTGTGATCCAATGTACAAACTTGATTAAAATAATAACTGCATTTTTGACTGTAAAGTAAATAATTGCTAAACTTGTGTTACAAATAATTAGTTATAATGTAGTACTTGTATGAGTACTTATAAAATTGATTCCTCTCTCTAATGTATATTTGACTGTTAAGTTTCTAACTGCTAAACTTGTATTCCAGGTAATCAAAATTAATGCTAATAGTGTCAACCAAATTACAGCATTGATTCTAGTTTAAATTGTGTGAATATCTGTAAAGTTGCAAATTGCCTTACATGTGTATCTTCAAATCCAAATTAGTGTGTCGCATGTAACTAAAATTACAAACTTGATTTAAGTCAGTAATGTGTTCCTAGTTGCTAGATAGAAAATTGCTAATAATGTTTGCCAAGTAACTCTATGATTTGCTAAAATTGTATTTAAAATTACAAATTAGACAGTACCTAATCAAGTTGTTTATGTTAGGTTAATAATTGCTAAAAATGTATCCCAACTGATGGTAAATAATGCTAAACATGTATTACTAAGTACAAATTAGATAATACAAGCTAATGTGTATTTGATTGCAAAGTGTCAAATTGTTTATAATGTATTTCAGACAATTAAAATTAATGCTAATAGTGTCAACCAAATTACAGCATTGATTCTAGTTTAAATTGTGTGAATATCTGTAAAGTTGCAAATTGCCTTTTATGTGTATCTTCAAATCCAAATCAGTGTGCTTCATGCAACTAAAATTACAAACTTGATTCAAGTCAGTAATGTGTGCTTAGTTGTTAGGTAGAAAATTGTTAACAATGTTCATCAAATAACTCTTTGATTTGCTAAAATTGTATTTAAAATTACAAATTAGACAGTACCTAATCAAGTTGTTTATGTTAAGTTAGTAATTGCTAAAAATGTATCCCAACTGATGGTAAATAATGCTAAACATGTATTACTAAGTACAAATTAGATAATACAGGCTAATGTGTATTTGATTGCAAAGTGTCAAATTGTTTTTTATGTATTCCAGACAATTAAAATTAATGCTAATAGTGTCAACCAAATTACAGCATTGATTCTAGTTTAAATTGTGTGAATATCTGTAAAGTTGCAAATTGCCTTACATGTGTATCTTCAAATCCAAATTAGTGTGTCGCATGTAACTAAAATTACAAACTTGATTTAAGTCAGTAATGTGTTCCTAGTTGCTAGATAGAAAATTGCTAATAATGTTTGCCAAGTAACTCTATGATTTGCTAAAATTGTATTTAAAATTACAAATTAGACAGTACCTAATCAAGTTGTTTATGTTAAGTTAATAATTGCTAAAAATGTATCCCAACTGATGGTAAATAATGCTAAACATGTATTACTAAGTACAAATTAGATAATACAGGCTAATGTGTATTTGATTGCAAAGTGTCAAATTGTTTATAATGTATTCCAGGCAATTAAAATTAATGCTAATAGTGTCAACCAAATTACAGCATTGATTCTAGTTTAAATTGTGTGAATATCTGTAAAGTTGCAAATTGCCTTACATGTGTATCTTTAAATCCAAATTAATGTGTTACATGCAACTAAAATTACAAACTTGATTCAAGTCAGCAATGTGTGCTTAGTTGCTAGGTAGAAAATTGCTAATAATGTTTGCCAAGTAACTCTTTGATTTGCTAAAATTGTATTTAAAATTACAAATTAGACAGTACCTAATCAAGTTGTTTATGTTAGGTTAATAATTGCTAAAAATGTATCCCAACTGATGGCAAATAATGCTAAACATGTAATATTTAATATAAATTAGATAGCAGTAAATAATGTATATTAGATTGCTAAGTATAAAATTGCAATTAATGCATCATTGATAATTCGTATGCATGTTAATAATGCTTACCTACGTTTACTTTAAATTAAAATAATAAATGTATCAGTAACTGTTAAGTTAAAAATTGTCTAGTATGTGATACTAAAAACTCTAACAAATGTGAGACATGTAATGAAAATTATATTAAAGACGAGAGCTAATAATGTATCTAAAATTGCAATATAAAAAACTGTAAAATTTGTGGTTATATTAATATTTGTGAAGAATGTTAATAAAACTACAAATTAAATGAGGAAAAATAATGTGAATTATAATGTGAATATAATGAAGATGAATGCTATTAAATTAATCTTAAGTAATAAGAAAATAGCTAAATAGCTACTAACGTAGCTGGTGGTATAGTAGGATTTGTGACTTATGGATTGTTCATATTTACACCAATTTAAATAATATTTTCTTTATTCGATTTTTTATAAACAATAAATCTACTAACCTATGTAAAAGTAAATTATCCTACTTCGTTATACACTTTTGTTAAGCTTTTTAGCTTTAGTAATTTTGAATTTTTGCCTAGTATAAAAAGCGATAATGCATAAGTTCCATAAACTTTTGGTAGAGAAAGATTTGATTCTAATTTTTATAGCAATTTAATATAACCCTTAATAGTATGGGTAACAGCTTTTTTTATTTACTTTATATCATATCTAGTAAATATAAGCAAAATAAATAAAAGCAGTAGGATATTTAAGATTTTTAACTTTATTTATGAGAAATTCTTTTACTAAATATTTATAGGTCTAGTTTTCTTAACTTTCTATAAAATTAACCTAAGTGTGTAACTTCAGATATATGGAAAACGTTTTGACTTAATAGGGACAATATATTTAATAATAAGTTTATTAATTTTTATCTCTTAAACTATTTTTGTAATTTTTGGTTTAGAAATTATAAAAAATAATAATTTTAATAATCTAAGTTAGTTGACATTGATTTAAAGGCTGAAAAATAAGTTTTAGCAATTTTCTACCAAATAATTTGTTTACAGATATCATTTTTTCAATGGTTTAGTGTTATTAAGAAAAATATTTTTTGTGAGCACACTTGTCTTTCTTTAAGATGATAAAATAACTCAGATTATTTTAATTTAAGGAATATTTAGCCTATAAACTTTACTATTGTTAATAAACAAGCCTTATCCTTATAAAAAATAAAATAATATTGTTATCCTTTGCAATTTTTATTATTTGCTTTCAGTTCTTTGTATCAATGGACTAGCCTATGATGATATAACAAATATATTTTCAAACCAATTACGTGAGTTTTTTGCAGCTGTAGCAATTCTTTTTTTATCTTTGCTCTTTTTAAGCTACTTATTTTATATTTTTTAAATTATCAAAGGCCTATCTTCATCACTTTTACCTGATAAAGTAAAAATGCTCAATAGTAGGTGAGAAAAATATTACTTTTGGATAAATTGATAATTCTAATAATAATAATGTAGTTAATCTTATTTTATGTGTTTTTTATTTTGTTTTGAGATTTTTGGATTTATATTTTTATAGTTTATAATGAATTTATTAATTCTTGTGAACACTGAATGACTAAAATTTGATAATTAAATAACTACAAAATACATTAATTTAATTAAATAAATAATTATTTTTTATTTTTAATTTAAGAACCTTTTTTTTAATTAATACAATTAAGTTTAGAATGTATTTTTAAAATGTAAGTTCTAGTTTTTTATCTCTAATAATTATATGTTTCTAATAATTTTTAAGTAAAATTTAATCCGAAATAAAAAGACAATCATTTAAATAATAATTCCTATTCAAAATAATCATTTTTGGGATTAATATAAAAAAAATAAACCACTTAAATTGATGGAATTATATTAAAATAATTCTTTAATTGCTAAATTTATCAATGTAACAGGACATTAGCTTTCCATAGTATCTTTATCTCACTTAAAATCACTTAAAGCAAATTACTTTCCTACTGATTAAAATACCTTAAGGATTCAAATATTAAGGCACCATCAATCTTTTTTTACCCTTTTAAAATACCCTTTTTAAAATGTAAATTTTTTAAAAACTTTGTAATCAAATGAAAGGGTATAAATAAAATATTCTCTTCGTATTTAAATCTAATTTATAATAATTTCTTTTAAAATTATAATTTTATGTAATTAATTATTTTTATTTTTGTTTAAAGAAATAAAATAATATTTAAAATTATGATTAATAACATCAAATCCGAGATAGTATAGTGGTTAGTATTCCTGCCTGTCACGCAGGAGACCCGGGTTCAATTCCCGGTCTCGGAGCTTTTTTTAAATTATTAATAAAATATATGCAGAAAATTTAAATATTAAATTAATTGATTAAAGTTATCTAAAAATATTTACATTATCAATTAAGTTAAATTAATTAATTTTTTTAATTATAGATATTAGTCTAATTTATATTAACATAAACTATTATTTAATTGAATATTTGATAATAATTAATTTCTGATTTTTTAAAAAATTTTTAAAATTAAAAAAAATTACTTAATTGTTTTTAGTTTTTAATGTTATAATTAAATTTTCTTTTTATTATTATTACAATATCATAAAAATTATTTGGTGTTTGATATAACTAATTCATTCATAATTCTTTTTTATTTACTTAAATGAATAAAACCTTAAATAGATTTATTGCTTGTGGATCTGAAAAAATCTAAAAGTTCACATAAATTAAATTAAATTTTATTTTTTTTGATAGAACTTTAAATGATTGTCAATGATTTTCAAATGAAAAATCTTTTAGCATTTTTAGTCTTAAAAGCTTGATAAAAATAAAATAAAATTCCATAATTTTTCTGATTTAATTAGTTATTTTTATTCAGTAATTTTTATAAATATATTTAAAATATATTAAACTTATTTTAGTATAAAAGGTATCAATAATATAAGCTCAGGATTAAAAAATTAACAAGAAGAATAATCAAATATTTTCTTTTATAATTGTTTAAATTTGTTTAACTTTTTACAAAAACCAGAAGAGAATTTATGTATTAAACCAATCTTATTCAAAATAAAATATATTTTTTTTTGCTATCTATAAAAGAAGGAGTTTATCTAGTTCCTTTTCCTTTTAACAAAAATTTTCTTGATTTATTTTGCAATATTTTAATTTAAAAATAAAGGATTTTAAAAATTAATTAATAATTGTAATAGATTTCTCGCTTACTCATAATATTAAAATATTATTAGATTCGAGTTTTCACTATTATTTTTAATTAAAATTTTTTAGTTTAAATATTTTTATTTTCATAAATTTTAAAATTATCTATTAGAATTGTAATTAATTTTTAAAATATGAATTAATTAATAAAAATATTTTTTTAATTTGAAAAATTTATATTACTAAAATATTTTTCAAATTTCATAAGAATTTGAAACATTTATACTTTACATCCAACACTCAAATAATTATTTTTAAAATAAAATTTTAATTAATTAAATAATATTAATATTTGTAGAATAATCTAAGAAAGTAAATAAATAAATAGTTTTAATCATTTATTTATGAGAGAAAGTAAATTGCTTTTTTGTATCTATAAATTTATTAAATAAATAAATAAAATTTTTAATAAAAGTAATTAATTATTTCAAAATAAATTTTTAGTTATCACAAAATATTTTCTACTTGAGAAAATTTGTATGTTTCAAAGAAGATCCTTCTTTAAATTTTAAATTTATTATATCTTTTAAAGTCCCTACTTTCTTATTATTTATTGATTTAAATATTTGATTTTTTATAAAAATTACTAATATTGATTTGTAACTATTCATGAAAGCAAAAAATTCATTAAGATAAAATTAAATTAAAGTATTTTGATATTTTGGATTTTTAAAAATAATTATAATAAAAATAATATTAAATAATATTTATTTATCTTTAGTTATTGTATTAAAAGAAATATTTAAATTTATAAATAAAATATCAAATCGATTTTAATACTAAAAATAAATCTTAAATGTTTTATTTAAAAAAATAATTAATTTAAAAGCCAACAAAAAATATTTTTTAAAGAATAAAAAGTGGCTTTTCTCATTTTTGAGCTAGTGTGGTATAAAATAGCATTAATTTAAAAATAAAATCTACATACACTTTAAAGTAAATTAAATTTGTATCTAGCGCTTGAATAAAATGTAAAATTTTGTTTCTTATCTGTTTGTTAATCAAAATTTCTTTGAATTAGCTTTAATAACTTCAAGTTATTCTTCACTAGTTTTATTAAAAATTTTTGAAGCTATATTTATTTTTCGAAAATCACTTGCAATTTTGTGTAAGAGTCTTTAATTATATTAATTTAAAAATAGTCTTAGATACTCAAATGTGGTGTTTGTGTGAAAATATCTTTAAGAATAAGCAATAAAAAGATTAAACTATTAAAAATAATTAAAAACTTTTATTCATTTTATTGATTTTTTAAATTCTACTTTATCCTAATTATATAATTTTGAGTATGTTACAAAACAGATCTTTTTTTAAAGTTGATTTATGATATTTTAATGATTATTATTATATATCATTAAAGAAGTATGATTTATAAAGTTTGCTAAAATTAAGTAAAATAAAAATTAATTTTTCAGATTTTTTAATACATTTCTTTAAATGTGTATCTTCAAAAATAAAAAAGTTGAAGCAAAAGGAAAATATCTTGATAAAATTATTAAGAATAATTCAAGTCTTTCTAAAATTAAACAAAATTTATGTATTTCTTATTATCTGCGTTTTTTAAAATATCTTACTGTTTATACATAATTATTTGTTTTTTATGATAAAAATAAATAAAAACACATGGTAAAAATAATTATTCCAGTAAGGACTAAAATTTGTTTTAAGCGAAAAAGAGCTGGCTTCTTTAAATTCAAAAGAAGCTCGTAACAAAAAATGATTAATATTGATAAAAATTCAGGTAATTCTTGCATCTTAAAAAATATTAATTTAAAAAGACAAATTAACTTTTTTTTGAAATCAATAGTCTTTGATTTTATAGATTTTCTTCTCATTTTTTCCAATAGAAAAAAAATCAAACATTCAACTTAGATGAATTATGATTTCTTCAAATTTTTTATTTGTAAAACAAGTAAAGGTTTTTAGAAATTTTAAGGATTAAAATATTATTTCTACTTTAGTTAATGTCAAATGATTTTAAAGTAAAGATAATTTAAAAATTATCTTAAATTTCCATATTAAAGTGAAATTTAAATTTTAAAACAACTGAATAAATTTTATAAAATTCTATAAATGTAATTTAATTAACTAAACAAAATGTTTACAATTCCTAAAAATTATATCAGCAAGAATTGTTATTTTAACTTAAAACCATAAAACAGAAATAAATTTATATGACCTATAAATATCTGCATAAAAAATTTATTCTATAATAAAATTTGTTTTTATTTTTACATGTTAACTCAGTTTAACTTTATGTAAAACAAAATTTTACTAACTTTTTTAATGAAGAAAAAATTTACCTCAGAATTTATCTTACTGAATAACATTAATTTAATTTACAAACCTTTTTCAAGCTTCTTCGAAATGTTATACAGCCTGATTTTTTATATATTAATACTGAAAAATTAAGAGAGTATCTCTAATTATAAACTGATCAAACAAAAGTTAGATAATATTTAATTAAAATCAAAAAACAAAAAAAACTTATTTGAAAAAAAATAGTAAAACTAACTATTTCTCAAAAATGAAAAAAATATTTGTCTCTTTAGCAATATTATTAACCATTTCGTTGGTTTTTGCTGATTCTTCTAGTTCTGCCTCTGGTAGTGGTAGTGGAAGTGGAGCAAGCTCTTCTGGCTAGAATAACTAATAATTGAATAGTACTTAAATCAGTTAGATTTAGTAATAACTCCCAACTTGGATTGCCTCTGCAAGTCAACTCTAATTAGCCATTCAGAAATTTGCTGCTACCAATAAAATTAGTGTTAGTACTATTATTGCTTACTTAAAGTAATAAAAGGATAGTGCTAATTAATAAGCCTAAACTGATCAAAATGCTGCAAATAAAGATGCTTCCGCAGCAAAGATAGCAGCTGAAAAGGCTTAAAAAGCATTAGACAAATCTAATGCATCTTAAAAAGCATCTGATAAGGCTCAAAAAGAATTATAAGATGCTACTAATTTGGCTTAAGCTAAAAATGCTACTCTTTCAGATGCTATAGCAAAAGTTAATTAAGATTAAACAACTTTAGCTAATTTATAATCATAATTTGATTAAGCTTCAAAAGCATACGATGCTGCTGTTGCAAAATTCTAAGCTTCTAAATCAGATGCTGATAAAGCTGCTAAAAATTAAGCTCTTGCTGCTAAGCAAGCTGCTAAAGACTCTCTTACCCAAGCTTAAAAATAGTTAACACTTGATTAAGCCGCTTTGAATAAAGCTAAAAGTGAAAAGAGTACCGCTGATAGATAAGCAAATCTTAAAGCAACTGCTGCTAGTATTGCTTCAGACAAAGCCGCTGCTGATAAAGCTGCATCTGATTAAGCCGCTTCTGATTCCTAGAAAGCTTCTAATAATTCCTAAGCTTCTCAAACTAAATCATAAAGCTCTACCTCAAATAAATCACTTTATGATACTGCTTTCAAGTTTGCTACTTAGAGTAATAATAACAATAATGGAAACAATAACAACGGTAATACTGGCAAGCTTTGAGAATAATAATTAATTATAAAAATTCAAGATATATACTCAAATTCATTGTTGCTTAAATAGCCACCAAGAACATATATTTCTTTATTGTATAATAACATTATTATATTAAAATATTTATTCAGCATAATGAATTTCATTTTAAAATTTATATTTTTAATTTATTATAACTTACTTACTTCATTTTTCATATTATAAAATACTCAAATAAATTTTATTTTGCTCTTACCTAGCATTTTAAAGTTTTGATACTATATTTTAGCCATTTATATTTTTTATTTAGTGTAAATTAGCTGTGAATTACATTTTGAAATAATAAGTATCACAAATCAAAATTTTTAGTGAATTACCTTAATCATTAAATCAAATAAAATTTTAATTTTTCAATAAATCAATATGAGTCTTTGAACAAAACAATTTTCCTCATACTATTTGAATTTTTTGGAGTATTTGAATAAATTAATAAAAATATTTGATCCACATATATGAATAATATATATTTATTCTTTTAAAGGTGAAAAATTTAAATTCAGGTAAATTATTAATATTAATAAAAAGTGCAGCAAATTCTGTGATTCATTTGTTTTTAAAATAGATGGATAATTTAAATTAACCTTTCAAATATTGAGAAGGTATAATCAATTAAAAAGGTAATAATAAATCACTTTAAAGTAATAAGTAAAATATCCGTTTGATTTTTTTAATCAGTAGGAAAAGAATTTAAAAAGTAAGATTTTTACCACAAGTAAATATCAATAATCTAGAGTCTTTTTTTTTTCACTCAATTCTCCATAAATAAGAAAATTATTTAAATATTTTAAAAAGATTTATTATATTTAATGAAGATTTATTTTATTTTTTTGAAACATTAAAAAAAATAATTTGAATTTATCTGGAAATAATTTTATCATTTTTTTACCCATAGCTTCTGAAATAATATTAATTATTTTATAATTATTCATTTATAATACAAATCATTTGTTTGGGTTTTAGTAAAATATGATTACTCCTCAATCAAAAATATAAATACTGTAAAAAGAAAAGTGCTTTTGTTAACAGCTTTTCTGTTTAATTAATTTTGCACCAATATCAATTAAATTAATTTTCGAAATTGAATAGTTTATATGCTGCATCTGAATTATGATTGATTTTTTAATATGTCAAGGCTTTTAAATAGAAAATATGGACAGATTTAATTAATAAAAATAAAAAATGTGATAGAAATCTGAATAGATTAATATTATTTAACCTCTCTATCCATTTATCCAACTTTTTTAAAGGATAAACCTAAATTATCTAGATGAAGAAAATTTCATAACACTCTTAAATTAAAATTGAGAAAATATTGTTTTCGATTTATATGGTTATCCTTTAATAAATATGAAAGCAGATGAAAATTTTAAAGAAAATGATTGAATAAAAATCTAAAAAGTTTTAGTATGTAAATATTTCTTAAAATGTATATTAAAGCTAAGACTTTTTGGTGCTGAAGTCTTAATTTTACTATTAATTAAATTAATTTACTTAACATGAAATTGATTATCTTAATACTTTAAAAGCAAATTCAAAAACTAAAATGACTTAAAAACAATCAATAAGATATCTATTTTCGAGTATATTTTTAGTTATATTAGTATGCTAACTAGTTAACGGGGACCTTATTTGTAGCTCAGGAGCTTATTTTAATGAACTAACAGGGAGTTGTGAATAATGTTTTTAAGGATGTAGTACTTGTAATGGATACTAATAAAAAGATTGTTTAGATTGCCTGCCAAATTATTATAAAGTATAACTCTAGAATTAATTCTTGTGCTTAGCTTGTCCAGCTGGATAATACTTTTATCAGAATTCTTGTTAAAGTTGCAAATATGATTGTAGTATTTGTTTATCGCTAACAAAATGCCTCGTTTGTTAGACTGGATATGTTATGGATAACACTTATGAAATTTGTAGTACTTCTAATTGTGCTTATGGTTATTTTAAAAATCCAATTAACAATCAATGTTAGCAATGCCCTTCAAGCAGCTATTTTTAAGATTGTGGAACTACGCTGGTATAATATTTTCAAATTATATCTCCTTTTTTATCTAAAATAAATAATGATACTAATTTTATCTCTACTTTATTTAAAATAAATAAATATACAATGAATTTAAATACAAACAAACAATTTATCAAAATGTAAAAAAATAAATATTTTGGTATAAAATACTTTGAATTGAACTAATTTATATATTCTTTCTTTTCTTTTTTATTTAATTTTTCAATTTAATAAAAAAAATATTTTTATCTAAATCTTAAAACTTAATTCCAATTAATTTGATAAAATTTATTTATATTAAAATATTTATTGAAAATAAAAGCAAATTTCTAATGGAGTTGTAACAGGTTTTACTATTTACCCTATCAAATGCCTAGATACTTTCTAAATAAATACTGCATAAAACTCTTGTGGTTGCTTCAATGGCGTTTATTTAAATAACGGAGTTTGTGTGCCTTGTTAAGATCCTAATTGTCAAGTCTGTTCTTAATTTGGTTGCACTTATTGTAAAATAGGATATTTTAACCAACAAGGTTCTTGTGTAACTAATTGTAAACCTTAATTTTATTATTAGTAAACCAGTAATAATTACCATTTTTCTTGTTTTCCATTTACTTTTCATAAAATTATATAAATAAATGGATAAAATGTAAGCAACAACTGGAAAGGCTATGACCCTAAATTTGGTATATTTGATGACATATGCTAGCCTTTTCTCTTTAAACTTTTTAATTATGCTTCAAATTCTTACTAATGTGTTTCTGCGTGCCCTATTGGATATACATTAAATTTATTGAGGCTAGCTTGTGTAGAAAATAATTGCTAAAATGATATCACTCTCTAAATAAATGGAAATTGTTTTTTTAGAACTTGCCCTTCGCAATATTTCTTTTAACCATTCTAATCCTTTACATAATATTCAACTTGCATCCCAATCTCTATGAACTAATGCTTATATTAATTAGATGAAAGCATGTCATAGTGTTTAACATGCTAGCCTAGCTATTTTACTTCTTCTTGTGTTTAAAACTGCCCATCATAAATTTACTATTAGAATAAAAATTCATGCATCAAATGTGATATGACTACCCCCACCTGCTCATAGACTTACTTCCTTTATACTTACAATGTAAATGGAATAAATTATAATGCATATACTTGTCCAACTAACTATTATCTGCCAAATAATAGTTCTTAGTGTACTCAATGTAGTAATCTGGCTATGATATCCTGTGATACTAAATCAGAATACTACTGTGACATTGGGCAGGATAACAGTGACCCTTCTTGTCCAATTATAAATTTATAATAGATGGTAGGGTATTCTTTTGATAAGTATGGTAACATTGTTTCAAATAACAATTGTTTAAAAATTAACACTACAAACAACCTTTGCTCAGTTTGTAATCTTAATTTTAACTATAACTTTTAGGGAGTTTGCAGCTAATTATTTATGAGGCCTACAAAATACTACATGTACTATAATATTACAGAATCTCAATATCGTGTAGTTGGTTCTTGTACTTCTAATTAATATATTTAAAGTATATAAAAATCATCTTATTATATTAAATACTGCAAAGATTTTTCTACGTGCTTGACAACAACTCAAGCCACAATTAATGGATAATCTTAATAAATTTGTTAAAAATGTTCTACAAATTTTTTTAATATTAATGGGAATTGTATAGACAGCTGCCCATCGTATACTTTTTAAAATTCTTCAACTAAAAATTGCGAAACTCCTATAAATTATTGCGATACTTATTCATCAAATACAATAACACCATTATGCACCTACTGTTAATACGGATACTTACTACTTTAAACATCTCCATCAAGTTAATGCATACCTTTCAATTCTTGTAATAATGGTTTTACTTATATTTATAATTTATGCATTGCTTGTGATCCGAATTGTAATTAGTGTTTATCTAATAAAAAGTGTATCTAACCATCAACCAACTACTATTTATACAACGATTCTCCAGTTACATCCTGTCCTCCTGGGACTTATTTATCTGGATTTTCATGTTTAAGCTGTGAATAATATTGTCTATCATGTACAGATTCAAATAATTGCACTTAAAGGCTTCCTGCTTCTCTTCTTTATCTTATTAATGCTCAAGTTTATGTTTACTTTAATCCCATTTGTTAGTTAAATTAGTATTACGATACAAACTTATAGTAATGTGTTAATTGTGATTAATCTTGTTCTTAATGCTATCAAGCTTCATCAAAATGCTTACTTTGCTCTGATATAACTTAATCTCTTTATAAATACACCTGTGTATAATAGTGCCCTAATGGTTTTTACACAAGCGTCTTAACTACCACAAATTATACAAGAAATGTTTGCCTTTAATGCGATCAGAGCTGTTTAAAATGTAATTAAACTACATGTAACTAGTGTGTTTAGCCAAATATGTATTAAAATCCAGTAAAACCTTTTATTTGCTAAGCTAGCAGCGATCCCTGCTGTAGTCAAGTAGATATCACAACAGGTAAATTAAATACGCGTTATAAAATTTTCTTAAATATTAATTTATAAAATAGGTTTATGTTAATAATGCTATTCGAATTGTTTATTGGATAATAATTCTAAATTATGTTATTAAATTATTCCTTATTGTAGCTAATATTAATTGACTGATAAAACTAAGTGCAGTTAATGCTAATTAGGATACTACTTAACCAGCCAATATAATTGCTGTGGTGTTCAAAATTGTAAAATATGTAATGATAGTAACTTGTAGTAATGTAATAGTTGTAATGATTAATATTAAATTGATTAAAATTATTAATGCTAATTTAGCTGCTTAGTCACCAACTGTTAGACTTGCTAGCCAGGTATTTAAAATTAATGTTAAACCTGTTTTTAATAATATAAAACGAATGATAATTTTTAATGCATATTTGATTGTTAAGTACTAAATTGCTAAATGTGTATTAGTGGGAATCAAATATAGTGTTAAACTTGCGATTCTTAGTATATATTAGATTAGAACAAGCAATGTGTTTTTGATTGCCAAGTATAAAACTGTTAAACTTGTGTTTCAGAAGTTTAAAATCAGTGTCATATATGCAAATCCTAATATAAATTGGACTCTAATTTCAACTGTATATTTGATTGTTAAGTTCCTAATTGCGCAGTATGCTAAACAAATAATTAAATTAAGTGCTAGCAATGCGATCAACTTTATAAGCTTGATTCAAATTAATAATGTATTTTTGATTGTTAAGTTTCAAATTGCTAAACGTGTATAACAGGAAACTAAACCTAGTGCTCATAGTGCATTTCATAATATATAACAGACTAAACATTATAGTGCATCTTTGATTGTTAAGTTTCAAATTGCTAAGTATGCATAGCAGGAAATTAAAACAAATGTTAGAAATGCAATTTTTTATATAAAATTGATTAAAATAATTAATGTGTATTCGATTGTTAAGTATAAAATTGCTAAACATGTGTGGCAGGAAATTAAAATTAATGCTAATTATGTAATTTATAATACAAAACAGATCCAAGTGGACAGTGCATCTTTGATTGTTAAGTTCAAAATTGCTAAACATGTGTAACTGGAAATTAGACATAATGTTTGAATTGTATTACATAGTATAAAGTAGATTAAAATTTGTAATGTGTTATTGATTGTTAAGTTTAAAATTGCTAAACTTGTGTAGCTGGAAATTAAAATAAATGCTAATAATGCAACTAATAATATAAAACTAATGCCAACGGGTAATGCGTGTTTGATTGCCTAGTCCCATAGTGTAATACTTGCAGATCTGGTAATTAAAATGAATGTTAGAATTGCATTTCTTAATATAAGACGAACTCCAATTTTTAATGTATTTTTGATTGTTAAGCAAAATATTGCTAAACATGTGTGGCTGGAAATTAAAATTATTGCTAAATATGTAATTAATAATATAAATTAGATTCTAATGGTGATTGTATTTTTGATTGTCAAGTTCCAAACTGCTAAACTTGCGTAACTGGAAATCAATCTTAATGTTTGAACTGTATTTCTTAATATAAATTAAATTCCAGTTTTTAATGTATTTTTGATTGTCAAGTTTAGAATTGCATGAGTTGTGTGGCAGGAAACTAAAATTCCTGCTAAGTTTGTAACTTGTAGTATAAACTAGATTCGAATGGTTTATGTATTTTTGATTGTTAAGTTAAAAATTGCTAAACTTGTCTAACTGGAAATCAAAATTAATGTTTAAATTGTATTGCTTAGTACAAAATAGACTCTAACTTGTAATGCACCTTTGATTGCTAAGTTTCAAATTGTTAAACATGCATTTCAGGAAATCAAAAATAGTGCTAAACTTGTTTGTCTTAATTTAAAATAGATTCTTATAATAAGTAATGTATTTAGGATTGCTAGGTTTTAAATTGTCAATAGTGTGTTTTAAATAACAACTAATAATGTTCTATTTGTGATTAAAATTATTAATTAGATACTAATTTGAATTGCTAATAATAATGTTCAGTACCAAATTGCAAAGAATGTTAATAAGGAGATTCATAAAAGTGTTTTGAATGTCTATCTTAATATTAAAAAGATGTTAATAGCTAATGTTTATTAGATTGTAAAGTTTAGAATTGCTAAATTTGTACTGCTGGAAATAGTTGGAGGTGTGAAGTATGCAATAAAAATTATGAATTAGGTTCATCATATGAATGTGTTTAAACTAATTAGATATTTTAAGATGAAAATCAGAAATTTCTTACTAGCGTTATAAGTATAGTTTTAGGAATCATAATATACTCTTTGCTATTTTTTATCCCATTTTGGATGTTTGTCAGTATCTTTGATCTACTGTAAACAATAAATCTTCTAGTCTATGTAAATGCCAGCTATCCAGTATCTCTTTATATCTTTTTAAAGTTTTTTAACTTCAGCAATTTCGAGTTTCTACCTAACATTTAATCTCAAACAGCAAATGTGCCATTCAGTTATTCAAGAGAAAAAGTAGATTCAAATATATTTAGCAACATGATTCAGCCCACTATTATTTGGTTTATAGCATTATTCATCTATTTTCTTTCTTATTTGCATAAATTAGTTAACCTAAGAAGTAAAAATCTAGTCAATAAAATAATTTCATAATATAATAAAAGATTCTTTTTCATGATCTTTGTAGGTTTAATATTTCTTACATTCTATAAATATTGTATAAGTTTTTAGCTCTAGATGTATGACAGTAATTCAAATAATTTGTTCGAATTAATGTCTGTTATACTAAGCGGAATCTTATTTTCTTCATAGATTATATTAGCTTTAATAGGTTTTTAGACAAATAAATCAAAACAAAGTGATTCTATTTTTAAAAAAATTGAGCAAAAATTTTAAGAGTTTTCTACTTTGTAATTTAGGTAATAATATCATATCTTTAATGGAATCATTCTTATCAGGAAAATACTCTTTGTTTATGCACTGATATTTTTTTCAGATACAAAAATAAAGCAAATCATATTCATATAATGCTTATTCAGTATTGAAACTTTGTTGCTATTATTAACAAGGCCGTTTCCAGACGATACTTTTAACAAAAATTAAATTTTTTGCCGTTTCTGCTTGCTGATTGGATCTGTAAGCCTTAATTGGATTATTTATGACGATTTAGTAGATTAATTCTCTTAAAATATTAGAATTTTATTAGCAATTATAGCAATCATTTTTTTTTCAGCAATTTATATTTCTATCTTGATTTTATCAATAAGGATAATCAAATAACACTTGTACAGACATTTTATAAAAAAATAAAATATGATTTAGTTAAGCAAAGTCAATACAAAAATTTGATAATATATAAAAATAATTATTAATAAGTACGTCAGTCTCTATTTTTATCTTTATTTTGTAATTATTTCTTAAATAGATAATTCAAAAACATTTGAGTAAATTTATTTTTTTTATTAAATATTCCTAAATTCATAAAATTTTTAAATTATTTTTTTAAATCAAAATATTTAATAAATAATTTTCATTCATCATTTTAATTAAATTGTATTATTTTCAAAAAAAAAAATTAAAGTAAAAAAATAGATTTTCATCTAAAAGAGAAAAAAATAAGTTTTTAGAAATATTAATTTATGTATAACTTTGTTTAGAATTTAGAGGTATTAAAAATAAATAAATATTAAAATAATTTGAACATAAATTATTTTTTTCATTTTTCATATAAATTTTTATACTTTTTTTATTCAATTTAGTTTATTTCAATCTTAAATTGTTTCTTTTCTTTTAAATTTTTTATGTTAGGAGAAATTTAAATGTATTGCACACTCATCAGCTAAATCTAACTCTTATGTATCCTATCTATTTTTGAAAGCATTTCTTTCTGTCAGTTTATCATCAATTTCGTTTATTTAGTTAAGTTTAATTGATATAAATGACGATCTGGCTATTGAACTTTATCTTTTAATCTTAGATTTGAAAGATATATTTTGTTGCTCTATGCTATTTTAAATTATTTAAGTAAAAACTATTAAATAAAAAAATATTTACTTTTGATCTTATTCACCTTTTAGATTAAGAGGCGAAAGCTTTTCTTATTATTGTTATTCCTATTGGTACTGTTATGGATTCTGCTATTAGTTATTTATATTTTAATTAGATAATATCACTGATGAAAATTTATTTATGAAAGTCAATCCATTTTATAGGTTTTAAGAGCCAACATTCTTCGCAGATTGGACATTTTTTTATCCTCTCAATAATATTTACAAACTAAATTGACACACTATTATTTTTCTTTTATCATAAATTCTAATTTATAACTAGCCAAGTTCATAAAATGTAGGAATTCCATGGATAACTAAACAATTTTGACTTTTGATTTCTAACTTAATCCAATTTGGCATTAAGTTTATACCTTTGCTTAGGAGTAACTAATAAGAAGTTTTTTAGAAGTAATACCTTAAATTGTAAAATTAAACAGAAAGATCATGCTTAAAGCATTCAATAATATCTATTTCACTACTCCTAAGGTGTATAGAGCATTCTTTAAATGGAAATTAATTAATATTTTTGTTTTTTACTAGTCCTAATTTCTTAGAAATCAAAAATTATTTTATTAATCCAAAATGAACATTTTGTTAAACAAATTCTTATAGAAATTAAATACTTTTTTTATTTTAAAATATTTCTTGAATGTCTTCAAATATTATTTTTAGATCACTTTGAATCATGTCAATATCAAAAAATATTTCTGGATATGGTTTTATAGCTATATTCGAATAAGAAAACGGTTTTTGGTCTTTAATATAGGCATATTTGGTATACCAATTACAATTTAAAAATTCATTTTACTCTTTTCTTTAGTTTTAATAAAGTTTTACTAGTTTCTTAAGGTGAAGTAATGTTTGATAGCTAAGATAATCTAACTTTAACAAGTATAGAGAAATAATAGACATCAAGCAATAATGAAAAACATTTCCTTAATCAATGATTTACTAATTGTAGTATTCTGGCTCATATGTTTTACCTTCAAAATGGTATTTTATATCAAAGTATTTTAAAAAGTAAGCTATTTTTTGAATGCTGAGATCTTTTGTTTCTTAATCAATAAATAAAAGGATTAACTTTTTGAGGCTTTTATTTCTTTTGATAGTTTTTGAAGATTTATATTCCAGAAATTTATTTATTCCCTGTTCTTGTTAATTTTTAAGCTGCTATACATTGGAACTCGTTTATTTAAAAATATTAGCAAGTTCCTTTTAATCTTTTAATTCTTGTGAAGCAAAATTTTTTGGGACAATGTTATTGTAATAGCTCTTTGATATTTATTTTCTCTTATTAGCAGCATCGTTGTTAGAAAATTTAATTTCTAATTCGTTTTGAAGCTAAGTATTATATTTCTTTTTAGTGTTTACTTTTAATTTGGTATCTAAAATATTTTATTTACAATAATTTTTAAATTTACTATCATTAGACAAAATGAATTCAATCATAGCATCCATCAATTTTTGAGCTTACTTTAAATTATCACCTACAAATACAATTTTTTTTAAGTAGTAGCTGTTTGCATTGACTTATTCCTAGTATTTTCTTCCCCACTTTTTTAAAATATACAAATTTTAAAGACTTTTTCTCAATTTAAATATGATTGCTAATATTATTAATGGCCCTAAAGCATATAAGATAATGAGTACAATAAATGAGGCAGGAATTCCTGTCAAATGAATTTAAAATTCGTCTTCAGCAAATGAATATCCATCAAATGCTATTATTTTAAATTAATAATTATTAAAATAAAGCTGTTGACTTGAGTATCCAGTAAATCTCAGTTAAATAACATCTACATCCATCCAGAAATCTAGAGGTATAAGCTAATATCCTAAAGCAGATTAATTTTTTATATTTTCTAATAGTATTTGGTTTTAAAAGTTTAAATTTTAGAGTTATTCTTAATTATTACTTTTTATTAATATGATATAAGAAATACTTGATAAATCTGCACTTTCGAAAGTTAAATTATCAAATTAGAAACCAACTTAGCTATTTATGTATAAAACTCCATTAGGATGAGTTTTTTCAAGCTAATCTTAAAGCTTTAATTTTAATTAAACAGGCTTGTATAATGTAAAACTATTAAAATTTGAATTATAAAGGGAGATATTTTAAAAAACATCAAAATTGACGTAATCTGAAATTGTAAGATTAAATTTTATCTAATTTATTTCAGTAAAGTTCAAAAACAATAAACTTTTTTCACTTAAAATTTAATTTATCCTAAGTGGTACTCCTTGCAACACGAGCTATCTGGAATCTAAACTCAAAAAACTTAATACTCCATCATAAGATTTATTTATGAAAACCCCATAGCTGTCGTCAATCACCTAAAATTAGCATGTGAGGTTGGTTTAAGAAGTATCTATTAATTATTATGGATTAGTAAAATCTAATTTTAAGGATGATTCAATTGCAAACTGAATTGGGACTATTTAAATACTTTAAAGTAGTCTTCTGAGAGTTAATTAAGTTAAAAGTAGAAGCTAATCGTTACTAAATCCTTAAAGACTTAAGCTTATTTAATCGAATTGCTAAAAAAATTAAGGATTTGTTAAATTTTAATTGGTAATATAAAATTTTTCTCTCATTTATTAAAAAATTAAACTACTTTAATCTTAATTTAAAGCTATTCCATCAGTATCTTTTGAATATATGAAACTATCTTAAGAGAGGGGACTTTAGACTTGTAAGAGGATTATATTTTAATTTGATAAAGGGATTTTTTCAGATTAGCCCAAACCTTCTTTAGTAGCTTTGATATAAATAGTGTTCTCTGTATATGAAAAAGTAATCCAGTCAGGAAGTGGTTCATATTGAAAATTTTAATAATAAAAAATGTCAGTGATTTATTAACCTTAAATAGGATAAAGAGGAGTTAAGAAAATAGAATAAGAAAAACCAACTTTAAAATTTTATTTACTATTAATTTGCTAATAGGATTAAGAAATAGAGTCATAAATATATTGAATTTAATTGAATAAAATTTTTGATTAAATAGGGAGAGCCCTTAATCCTTTTTAACTTAGAATAAATAGTGAACTTTGGTCTTATGATAAACATGAAGAATATCCTACATCGCTATTTAACTATACTTTAGAGAGTATCTGAGGATTAGCTTTATCTTGTATGTCAATCAATAATACCATTTCTGAGTTTGTTTAGGATATAATCAAAAAATTCTCATTTTACAGTATATTTATGTAGTTTGTCCATCCGCTTGTCTATAAAGTTCCAACAATAGCTATTTATGGGAGTTTTAAAGTGTCTAAAATGATCAATCCTTTAGATCCACTATAAAGATATGCATAATCTCCATTTTAAAAGGTAACTACTCCTTAAACACTTATCGTGCGATACAAAATTTTAAGTGAAATATTACTTTTGTCTGAAATATTTACAAATCCATATTAACCTGTATTGATTTATGTGCATATAATCCATTTATTGTCGTTTGTAATATCTAAATTATCTACTTGATTATTAAATAAATTCACTTACTTTATCAAGTTTAAGCTTTAAAAATTGCTTGAATCAAATAGTAGAAACCCATTTCCATAAGCTATTGCAATTATAGTGCCATCTTTACTTCTAACCATATTTCCATATGGTAATTTTGCATTACTTGGATTAGATACTGTAGATATTAGATTTAATTTTGGATTTTGGTTATAATTTTGATTATCAAAATCAATTTAGTAGTACTCTAAATAGTTTGAGATCTAAGAAGATTAAATGTAAAGAGATGAAGAGCTTTAATCAAATATTATATTTTAACCAACAGAGTTCAGCTGAAAAGTAGACTTTATCAAAAATGGATCCTTTTATTGCTAGAAAGAATACAAATTTATTTATTTGCTTGTAGAGATAAGTATGTTTATGTTATTATTAAGAGATAAACAGCTTTATGCTTATTAGACTGGAAAGAAATTTTCTAAATGAATATTAAATAAATTCGGCATAGAATTATTTACTTTAATATCCTAGCTTTAAAATACTTGTATGGTAGAATAGTCGCTGGTTATTAAATAATTCCTATTTATTCCATTAAAGTCTAAAAATATTGGGATCTCTGCAAAATTTATTTAATAAAATAACACAATCTAATTCTAATCAGAAATATCAAGTATATTTATTCCTTAATATTTAATGCCTATTAATAGAAATTGATCGGATAGTAATTTTATAGAAATAACAATAGCAGAAGAACTTAAAAATGGTAAGTTTAAAATGTTAAAATTGGATATATTAATTTTATCCAAATTTTATTAGTAAAGAGATTATAAATTTTGAATATTAATTGAAATGAGTTATTAATTTTATTAGTTAAAACAGAAAATGAAATTTTAATCTCTTGTTGCATCCAAATAATCTATTTTAAATTTATTATATAAACCTGCTATTTCATTCAAATCCCCAGTTTGCTAATTTATTTCTATAACTCGTAAACTTGATCCTCCATTTTAAGATATTGAATTCAGAAAAATTAGTTTACCATCCTGCGATATAATCGCCAAGCTTATTGCTTCTCCTATATTAAGTAACTTAAAATTAGAAAGATCTTAATATTTGTAAATAGCTATTTGAGTTCCTCCTTAAACTAAGATGTTTGAATAACCTAAATCTATTATAATTTAATTTATTTATTAACTTATTGCATTTTGAGATATTAACCTATTTTAAATAGAAATTTAATTTTTCTCTCCATATTTTAAATCGAATTTAATTAATGAATTGGATAATGCCAAAAATAAATTAGAATCATCTAAACTAACAGTAAATGAATGAGCTAAACTATCTTTTCCTAGTTCTAAGTTTTAAACATTCTAAAGATTTTTCAAATCAAATATTTATATAAAATTTCTTTCATTTTTTATATAAATAAAATTATTTGTTATCTAAATTTATTGAATAATTGTCTAAGATGTTTGCAACGATAAATTATTAAGACTATCAAACTACAGGCTTTATAGAGGAATTTAAGAGAAGATAACTTGCTGTGAAAGTTCTTAAATTCTACATGAAAGAAATTTAAATAATGTGAAGAAAAATATGAAACTAAAGTTCGAATGATATTTGAAAGTTAACCTTAGAGATTTCATTATAAACTAATTTATCTTCTTATCTAATTTTTTAATTCAGTTAATTTCTACTTCTATTATATATTGAATTCTACTTAGTATTATCAAACAAAATAATATGCAATCACATTTTAATAAATTGCTCAAAACATTCACTAATATCAAATAAAATTGATGAATAGATAAATGAATAGAAATATTTTTTTTGATTGTAAATGTAATGAAAGATAAATTCAATGTTATTTAATAATATATTTTTACATTTTTTACCAATTATATTTATAAAATTTAATTATAAAAATTAGATAATTAATAAATTTCCTTTTTATATCTAAAAAAAACTTTGAATGTTTCTTTGTGATGAAAATTGCTAAAAATTAAATAAAAAATTATTCAAGTAATTTTAAATCTGCAATATTAATTTAAAAAATTATTTTCATTTTAATCCTTTTTTAAAATAATGATTTTAAATTATTCTCAAAAAATTAAAACTTAAGTAAAAAAATAGAAAATAATAATTTTTATTTCTACTTAATGAACTTTATTATTTTAATAGGGCTTGTAGTTGAATTAATTATATTTTACATATGCTTTTATTTGATTAGCATATTTAATTAGTAATTGATTTTTGATAAATTCTTAAGCTCATTTTTTATTAGTTTCCATTTTTATTAACTTAGAATTTATATTATCTTTTCTATTCCCTATTCAATAAAATAAGTATTTATTTAATTTATATTTTTTCTTGTTCATTTGATCGTTTTTCTTATTTATTTTTTTTGAATACATCAAATAGCAAAAATTTATCTGATTTTTAATAATAAAAACATTTAAAATTTTAGAATTTATTATATTTGAGAGGCTTTTATATTGGGGAAAGTTTTTTATATCTGCAAAGGTTTTCTATTATTTTCATTTTCAAATTATTAATAGTATTATATAAAATAGAAGTGGATATAATTGAGTCTTATACTTATGCATGGATTTCTTAGTGTTTTTTTGGTCTTATTTTTATAACACTTTAGTTTATCATAAATTCCCTAAAATGTATTGAAATAAATCCCTATGTTATTAAATCTATCATCTAAGATAATAATTATATTATCATAATTAATTTTTTTTGCCTATATTTAAAGTTATTTGCTTAATCATATTTCAAAAGCTTTTTATTAAAGCTCATAACTTGATAGACATTAAACCTAATTGCTTTGATCATTAAATATAAAAACTATCTAGTTTCTTATTTTTATTTTATTTAAAGAGTTTTATCATTATATTTTTCTTTGTGTTATTTATTCTAGTTATATTAAAAGCATATTATCATGATCAAAATTTTGCAAATATTATTTCTAAATATAAGGAAATAACTATCCTATAAGTCTATGAGTAATTATGGTTCATCCTATTTTTGAAGATTATTTTACTTGGTTGAGTTGAAATAAATGGTATAATTTATTGAACCTTTGAAATCATGATTTATACTAATTATTAATAGCTAATCACCTTATTTTTTTCAACTAACAATACAATACTTTATTTGGTAGTTTTACATTTTGTTATTTATCTAAAATTTATAATTCAAATGCTTTTAAAAAAATATTATTTTTTGTATTCTATAATCAAGATTAATGATGTACCGATAATGATACAAGTATAGAAAGAGGTTAAAAATTTAAGAGGTAAAAAAAAAATATTGATTATTGTTTATAAAAATATTTTAGTTATTAAAATTTATGAACGATAGTAATAACGAAGGTTAAGGTAAATTCTTTGATGCATTATAAAAAGATTAATGCTTGAATCAAAAATTCAAAGAAATTGTTAGTAAAATAATCTATCTTTATTTATGGCTTTGCTTTATTTAATTAATTAAACAATGATTTGATAAGGTGTTTGCTATAATCTGAAAAGTATTATAAATAAATGTAGCAAAAAAAAATAATAAGTAACTAGATTTAAAATAGATTAGATATTAATATTTTTGTAGACTATTATACATAGAATTTTTTTATTTCTATAGAGAGAAAGTGTGAATATACATTTTTATTTTGCATAATTTGTATTATATTTTTTTAAGGAAAAACTCAATATAGTTACACTGCACTATTTTTAAAGCTTGGTATTTGGAATTCTCTTCTCTAAATTTAAAAATGCAAATAATTATTTTTATAATTAATTATTTATAAACTAAAAGTTTCTCATTTATATAAATTAAATAAAGCTTTGTAAATATTTATCATGCTAGCATTTAGGTGTTTGACATTCAAATCAATTTTTAAATGCAATTTTACAAAAATTATTTATATATTTGTTAAACTTCTCCTAAATTGATTATAGGTCTTCAAAGAATAAAAGAATAGAAATAATAGTACGCAAATAATTATGCTTTTACTGCATTAGATTTAGACTTCCTTAAATTAGTGTAATAGTTAACTTTAATATCTTTCTAAACTAAAATGTAAATTAAATTAATTACTTGAGCAAAATAAATTAGTGTAATTTAAATGATTTGTGGTAAATTAAATTTACTCAATTATGAAAAACATTCACTAAATATTAATTAATTGAGTTGCTTCATTTGAAATTCGTTTATGATGAAATAAATAAATATGCAATTTACGCATGATTTTTAAAATTTATTAGCTTACTTTGTTTTCCTTTCAAAAGTTCAAATCCATCTGAAATAAATCATAATTTAATAGATTGTTAGTGAGTAAAATTTTCATAATTTAATGTATCTTAAAAAATAAAAAAGAAACTAAAAAATAGATGAACAAAACAAAAATATTTTTTTTGATTTTAATATTAAATTTAAGAATATAGCAATCATGTATTTTTTTTCATACATAATATTAAATAATTTTATATTAAATTTAATATTTTTTCATCAAATAGTTAGTGAAATTTAAGTTTATAAAAGAATTGACAGCACTGCTTTTCCTAATGCTTCATGGAGTAATGGATAATAGATGATTTGCAACTAAAAAGATATTGAATTCAATTAAGCTAATCTTGGTGAGTATTAATTAGCCTACTAAGCTACAGCTACTACTTTTAGTCTAAAGAATCTCCCTCCGCATTTTTAGGTAAATGTAAGGATTGATTACTACCTCATAATGACTTGGGATAATGAATCTTTATCTGTATATGGTGGATCATAAAAGAAACTTTTTTATAGGATTTAATATGACTATGGTAATTCGAGTATAAAGTTATAAAGACTTTGCTATGGTGATTAATATATCAATTATTTCTATAGAAGTAATATTTTAACTTCAAATATATTTTTTATTTTTAACAAAAATTTAAAAATATTAATTCATATTTAAAAAAATATTAAAAAATCTTTAACTATTTAATTATTGAATTAATCAATCAATCTTTACCTTAATTAATTTTATTTCAAAAATAGTTTTAATTTTTTTAAAATTATTATTTTTTAGTAATTTAAAATTTTAATAATGTGGCTTAAAAAAATAACAATATTAATTAATCTATTAATACACTTATATAATAATAATTAGCTGAATATACTTTGGATGATGCAAACTCTGATTTTAGTATTTCTTTCTAAACTAACTGTAAACTATTTTAAATAAATGGTTGTGAGAGTACATCAAACGAATCTTTTGCAATTGGATAGGTTTAAGTTTTTGTAAATGAATGTCATTTCTCTTGTTTATCTTGCTCAGGTCCATTACAAAATCAGTGTAAATTATGTTACAATAATATAAATCCAACAAATGGAATATGTCCATAATGCTAAGGTGCAAACAATATTTTTGATAATGGTACTTGTGTTTCTAAATGCCCTTCAGGAAAGGTTAATAAAAATTAAGTGTGTGTTTTATAAGATTAATTTTGTTAATCTTTTTAATAAAATGGATACAGCTGCTAATAATGCCTACCAAACTACTACCTTTGGAATGGTAAATGTATGACTGTTTGTCCTTTATTTTATGGTAACACTAACAATATTTGTTAAGATTAAATAAGAAGCCTTCCAAGTAATTTTTTAACTAAAACAACTATTTTTTTGTTAATTTAAATTAATTTGAAATAGATGGATTTGTTGCACTTGAAGGATTATAAGAATTTAGATTTTCATCCTTTCATATTTAATAGTTAGGATTTTCTATAATGAATCTTAACTCAAATAATAGTGGCTTTCTTTATGGTAATAATTCTATGTATACTATTTGTGGAGATACTTAACTTCTTGGAGGCTTTAAATCTGGTATTAACAAAACTAAAATATAAATCAGTGTGCCTATTTAAGTAGCTCGTAAATTTATAAAAGTTGGGTTTAAATTTTACTTGGTAGATTATTCATAAAATAATCCTGTTCCAAACATTATAGTGAGTTTGAATGGTTAAACTGTGTAGTTAGTAACCAATTAGTTTATATTAAAAACTTAGTTCAATCTTTGTGGTTTTGAATAACAAGATGCGTATGGAGAATTCATGTATGTGATAGCAGATTCTACATCAACCAGCATTTTAATAACTATTGATAATTAATCCAATTTCGATATTGGAATAAGAGATTTTATTGTTGGAGGATATACTGTAAAATATTTGTTTTTATTTATTTATTTTTCTCTTCTTCTTATTTAAATCAATTATATTAAATTTTAGTGTGCAAATACCTGTTTAGATTGTAAGTAAGATAACCCATATTCATGCTTAAGCTGTTCTAATGGATTTTTTTTGTATGGGGATTAGTGTATAAATAATTGCCCATCAGGATACTATAATGATTCAGTGCTTAATAGTTGTGTACTATGCTCTTCTTCTTATCCTAATTGTAAAGCTTGTGATCATAACTAATGTCTAATGTGTCAGTAATCTTATTACTTTACAGCTGCAAAAACCTGCATCACCTGTCCCTTAAATCCAATTAAATAATACTGGAATCCTATTAGCTTGGCGTGTACTACTACTTGTGATTAGGGTTTACAACCAGATGATTAAAATTAGATTTGCAGAAATTAGTGTTTAGATAAAGCATGCTTAATTTGTGATTAAGCAACATAAGGCATTTGCTAATAATGCTTTTAAGGATATTATTTGTATAATAATTAGTGTGTTCAATCTTGTCCTTCTGGAACATCTCTTGACACAAATGGTCTTTAATGTTAGTCATGCAATGACCCCTTATGCTTGTCTTGCAAATTTGACAGTACTAATTTACCTATTTGTCAATAATGTATCAGTAATAAGTATTTAGATGCTTCTAATATTTGTTAATCTTGCGATTCATCTTGCTAGACTTGTAATGGAAATTAACCTAATTAATGCACATCATGCAACAGCTCAGACCCTAATATAGTTTTTAATTCAGACAACACATGCACTTGTAAATCTAAATATTATTCATTTGATCCCTCTACCTAAAAATGCAAACCTATTTGTGGTGACAAATTCAAAACGCCAGAAGAAGAATGTGAAACTTATGATAATAGTTATTAAAACGCATAAGGCTGTGATTCTAATTGCAAAATTGTTTCTGGATTTAAATGTTTTCATTAAGATCCATATCTTTTAGATATTTGTGTAAGTGCCTTATGTGGAGATGGAAAATTAGACTCATCAGAGTAATGCGATGATGGAAATAACAGTAAAAAATTGTTAAATATTATGAAAATAAAAAATATTTTTTAACTAAATAGTTAACGGAGATGGATGCTCATTAGATTGCAAGACTGAGCTAGGATTTAATTGCTCATCTTAGTCTGGAATATCAAAATGTAGCAGCGTATGTGGAGATAATTATGTGACATAATATGAAGAATGTGATAGTAATGATGTAGGATGTGATTAATCAACATGTAAAATTAAAGTTAATTCTGGTTGTAGTTATACAAAATATAATGATTAACTTTAAATTTCAAATTGTTTTTAGTGTGATGATCCATTTTGCATGAAATGTACTAAAACTGATCCTAGTTAATAACAATCATGTCTGTTCTGCAAGGATAATTATTACTAAGATAATATTTAAAACAAGTGCTTAGCTTGTGATTAATCATGCAAAACATGTTTTGGATCTTCTAAAAACTAATGCAACTCATGTTTTAGTCAAAAAGATTCAAGGGTAATACTGGATTAAAGCTCAAATACATGCGTTTGCAATAGCCAATATTACTCATATGATATTAATTCATAAAGTTGTTTACCTATATGTCATGATATGTACAAAGCGCCTGAGGAGGAGTGTGAAATTTCAAATCCATTACTATTTGATAATGCAAATGGATGTATAAACTGCAAGGTTTAAAGTGGCTATAAGTGTTTCAGTAATCCATAATACGATTTAAGTGTATGCAATACAGTAAAATGTGGAGATGGTATTAGAGACTCAGGTGAAGAATGTGATGACGGAAATTAAAGTAAGCATTTTAATTTAAAATAATATCTAAATTTTATTATATTTTAATTTTAATAGTTGATAATGATTTTTGTTCCCTAAACTGCAAGATCTAACAAGGATATTCTTGTAGCTAAGACATTGGTAGTAGTAATATTAAATGCAAATCAACTTGTGGAGATAGGATCAAATCAAGTGATGAAGAATGTGATTCAGCTGATTATGGTTGCACAACTGATTGCAAGATTATGAGTAATTATGGTTGTTATATCGATCAGAGTTCAATTTCTAACCCTCCATAAGTTTAGAAATGCTTCAAATGCTAAGATGCTAATTGCTTTAGATGCAGTAAAATTTATAATTCAGTCTTGAACTCATATGATGAAACTTGCAATCAATGTTAAGATGGTTTTTATTTCAACATTATTTCAAATTAATGTGAAAAATGTGATTCATCTTGTAAGACCTGTAATGGACCGTCTGTAAATAATTGTTCTACCTGTTTTCAAAACCCAAATGTTGTATTAGATCCTAATTTAAATCAATGCACTTGTGTAAATAAACATTATAATTATGATACAACTTAAAATAAATGCATACCAGTATGTGGTGACAAGTACAAAACACCTGAAGAAGAGTGTGAAGTAAATGATCCGACAGCCTTCAGTAATTCCTTAGGTTGCATTTAATGCAAAATTTAACCAGGTTATAAATGCATCTAGTTAAATAACTTTTTGCTTGATATATGTATGCTTTCTACTTGCCAGAATGGCATATTAGATAAAGGAGAAGAATGTGATGATGGAAATTAAAGTAAAAATTTGATAATTAACTTACTAATTTACTTATTTATTAATTAATTATTTATTTATAGTTTAATTAGATTAATGTAGCTTAGATTGTAAAGTAAATCCTGGATATTACTGCTCATAAACTATTAACAAAAACGACATAAAATGTATAGAAAAATGTGGAGATAGTATTAAAACCCCAAGTGAAGAATGCGACCCTCCAGGTTTAGGATGTAGCTAGACTTGCTAAATTCTTCAAGGTTATGGATGTCAATAATAGCAAATTTCAAATAATCTAACAAATTTTTAACCTACATAATGCTTCAAATGTAAAGACATTAATTGTCAACAATGTGTAATTGTTAACAATAATGTTGAAATTTGTAAGGTGTGTAACATTAATTACTTTTTAGATATTAAATCAAATTAATGTATGTAATGTCATCCCACTTGTTAATCTTGTAAAGGACCTCAAGCAGAAGATTGCTTATCTTGCCCAAATGATTAATCTATTATTTTTGTTGATGGAAATTGCAGATTATGTGATCAAAAATTGGGCTTATATTTTAATTAATAGAGTAAGAAATGTTAAGAGTAATGTGGAAAAGGATACATGCTTACAGATAGTCTATTAAAAAAATACGGAATAGTAAAAACAATTGAATGTGATGATAATAATACTGTAAATAATGATGGTTGCTCACAGAATTGCAAGATAGAAAATGGTTTTAAATGTATAAACCCACCAAGCAGTAAATCTTTTTTGTCTTTTAGTTTAAATTATTTTTAAGAAATTAAGTTTTAAATTTATGCAAGAAAGAAATTAAAAGCAAAACAACTAACTTACTTACTTGCTTCCTTCCTTTTTGAATATTAATTTAAAAGGAAAATATTTTTTCTATCTTTTACAAATAATTAAAAATAAAAAGAAACTTTTAACTAAAAATTCCAAATTTAAAAATTTTAATTCAATATTATATTAATAATTAATCACTTGAAATTAGATACTAATTTTATTTACTAATTTTAAAAGCTGTTTAAAATTAGATAAGTTAGTCTCTCTGCACAACAATTAATGATGGACCAACTCCTTTCTTAAAACTAGAATCATAATTTTCTCACTTATAAAACTAATATCAAATTCAAGGAATGATTTAATTTGATAGAGATGTATAAATATCAAATACTAAGAATATAATAATTTATTTAGATACATAAAATTCCTCAAACTATGATATAAACGTTTTTACAGATATGATTATACTAAACAGTTTAATGACACAAACTATCAAATTTTAAATCAAACTCTATTAACCTATAAACGATATTAGTGTTTTTGCTAAATTCAAGTAATCTGATATCACTGATAAATATAATAGTTCATTGCTAAAGAAGTAAATAAATACTAAGCTTCCTCAAATTTAAGTATTAGTCTCAGATATTTATGGAAATAACTATTTTATTATAACTGTTTTGAATGCTTTACTAGGATTTGTTAGTTACTTTATGCTGTTTTTAATTCCTTTCCAAACAGCTGTTACTCTTTTTGATCTATTGCAATCAGTGAATTATCTCAAATTTTTAAATGTGAATTACCCAAAAGAATTGTATGTTTTTTTGAAACTCTTTGATTTTGCAAATTTCGAGTTTTTCCCAAATATCAGTTCTAAAAATGCTGATGTGCCATTAACATTCTAAAGAGAATAAATTGATTCCTTTTTCTTTAGTAATATAATTCAAACTGTGATTATTTGGACATTGTTTCTTGCATTCTATTTCTTAAGCTACATTTATAAAAAGTTTTAAATAAGAATAAATCATTTTATTGATGAACTTATGAATAAAATCTATTCAAATTTCTTTTTCAAAATAGCTTCAGGAATTGTTGTTTTAACTTTTTATGAAATATCAATATGCATTTGGCTCTAATTAAATGAAATTTAATTTTAAACAAGTTTAAAGTCTGTAATAGGCACCATTTTCTCTGTACTCTTTTTGGCTTCATAAATATTTATAGTATATCTTGGAATATATAAAAGTGAAAAAGGAAGAGAGTAGCTAAATAAATTAGAAAGCCTACTAAAAAATATATAAAACAAATTCTAATAATTTAGTCAAACTAACTTTATTAAAAAGTATTATTACTTTAATGGTTAAATTTTAATAAGGAAAATACTCTATATTTACTTAATAATTTACTCATAGCAAAATAAGATGTAACAAGTTATATTAATTTAGCTCTTGTTTGCTTTTGAGACTATAATTTTGATAATAAAAAGACCTTACCTGCAAGCCAAGATGAACTAAATCTAAGTATTCACTCATATTAACTTTTTAATTGCTTTATTTTCTATAACATGGCTAGCTTATGATGATATTCTTAATAATTTTCCAAAAGACACAAGAAATATTTTTTCAGCTGTTAGTATAATTTCGATCTCCTTAATTTTTATAAAAATAATGATTCATCTGTTCCAAACTCTTAAGGAAAAAATTTAGTTTACAAATATCAAACTCACAATTGGAGATTTAAAATAATAGAATACATCTTTGTTTTAAAATTTATGAAAACTATTTTATTTTGTATATTTACTGATATTAATTTTAAAATAAAATTTTAAATCTTTAGCTATTGGAATAATTTTATATTTTGAATTTATTATGATGATTTAAAAAAAAATATTTTTTATTTTTAATATTATTTTCTTGTCAATTAAAAAGTAAAAATTAAAACTTATTATTTTATTTTAAAAAAAATAATTTCAGATATTTCAATTTATTAATTTTTTAACATTTTTTTAAAAATAATTTTAATTAAAAAGCAGAAATAAAAATTATTTATTTTATTTGATATAAATTTAAATATTTTTTTTAGAAATGAAACGATTATTGAGAGTTTTTTTATTAATTTCCAAGTAATAATTGTAGCAAGAATGATTTTCTGAAGGGAATGAAAAAGTTAAAATTATATATCAAAAAGTTAGTTAATTTTGAATACATTTGATAGAAATATAAATTGCTTTAAATAGAATTGATAGTATTTAATAATACTTTAAAAATTAACTTTGAAATATTTTTATTATTGTTTATTATTATATTTTGATATAAATATTTGTGATTTTAATCTAATCTAAGATTTCTTTCTTACTAATTTAAATTAACTATATGGCTTGCTTGCTTTTTGATAAAATTATATTATTTTTTAACATTTTTACGATATAAACTATTCTTATTAGATCCCTTCAACTAGATGGGTTGGATTCAATGAACCACTTGCACCATACTTAGAATCTCTTTTCGAGTTCTTCCCAGGCAGCTTTCTTTTAGTCAGCGCTTAAGAAAGAGTATTAAATAGAGTTGTAAGCACATAACTTTAAGTCCTTATAATCTATTTGAATTAATTATAATAATAAAAATTATTAATTTATTTAAATTAAAAAAATAATTTTAGTTTATTTAGTAATATTAAGAATATTTTCTTACCTAATTAAGTACCGAAGGAGACAAAGAAGAAATCCATTGAAACTCCGTTGTATCCGAAGAAACCTGGATCATCGGGATTGATAGATACCTTAACTCCATAATTTAAGAAAGTTTTAATTGGGTGTAATCTGATATCGTCGATATATTTAAGGATTTGGTTAGAAACAGGGCAAATTTCTAAACATATTTCATCGTTTTTAATCTTTTCAAGGAGGTATGAGTGTTGAGAAAGGTTGATACCGTGACCAATACGCTTAGTACCAAGAAGTAAGACATCAAACAAGTTTGTGTTTTTTAATGTGTGTAAAGATTCACCACCTTTATATTAAATTATTGTAAAGTTGAATAAAAGACCAATATAATATCTTTTAATTGATGAGAGAATAAATCGTGGGTATTTATGAAGGAAATTGACGGAATTCTTTAGAAAATTAAGATTACAGTATTATTAAACAAATTTATTTAAATATTTGGATTTAGTTGCATATTAACCTTTAATCATTTTCAAATATTTAATTAAATATAGAGAAAAAGTGTAAATTTTTGTGGTTAAATGATTAATAGCAAGATTTAAAAAAGTGAAAACTTTAAGAAGTTATCTGGAAATTCTTGTTACTTTTCATCTATTAGTTTCAATCAGAAATTTCATTTTTCAAAAATTATTAGCTAAAGGCTTTTAAAATTATTTAAATGCAAATTTATTTTGTTTTTTATTAGCTTAATATTTTTTATATTGGTTCATTTTACTATTTATTTGTGACTAGCCTTGCTTAAAATAAGAATGCTATATTGCTAGTTATTTTTTTTTTCATTTTTTTTTTTCTAATTTCATTTTTGTCTTTCAAAATGTTTCAGATTTAACAAAAAAACTAAATTTATTTTTGTATCTAAAATTGAATATCATTTATTTACCATGGAAAACAAAGGGAAGTTCAACTCCGATTTCAGCTTGCATTTCCTTCATTTTAATCAAAGCTGGAGCCATTTCGAGCATAGTTTTGAAAGCATCTTCTTCTTAGACTAAATCGAAGGCGCAGATTAATTCAGGATGATGCTTCTTGGCAATTAAAGCATCTCTCATGTATTGTTCAATTTGATTGACATCCCACATCTTGAGACCTTAAATGACAAGTTAGTAGGTAAAGTAAGGGTGCTCTGCTTTAACTTCGTTTAAAACCTTAGAATAAATTTCCATTTCTTCCTTGACAGTAAGATTAGAACCATCTTCGTTGAAAGTAAAACCTAAAAATGCTCTTGCTTCAATGTGAATAACTCCATCCTTAATGAAATTTTCAATATATTTTTTCAAGTATCTAGGGAAGTGTTCTCTGAAGTAGGTAACACCAGCAATGCTCATGATTTTCTTTTCAAAAGTTGCCCATATATTTTCTTTGGAAACCATCCTATCTTCTTCTTGAACAAAGAGGCACTTACGAATTTAAGCATCGAATTAACTCTTATCACTAGCTTTCTCTCTCTCTTCGCGCAAATTTTTGAATCCGGGCTCAGCCTTTTCAGCATTTTAGAAGTATTTGAAAGTAGATGTTTCTTGATTGAAATAAGTATTTTCATGGTATGCAAGTTCTTCCATAAACTAATTTAGATAAATTGGAAGATGTTAGAAAATAAGTAAGAAAGATCAATTAAAAAAGTTAAAAGTCAGTCAGTAAATAATTTATGGCTGGATCAATGAGTGAATAAACTGGAATAAAAAAATAGCTAGATAAATTTGAAATAGGCTTTAAAATCCTACCCAGTCAATGTCCATGCAACAGTCAGTGTGGATGTGTAAAACAGCTCCCTTAGGAAGTTTTTATATAGCTTTGAAAATACGAGATTCCTTTTCGAATTGTTCTCTATGCTTGAGAGTGTAGCCTTTATAGAAGGAGTCATCCTTGGTAGCTCTTTCACTAATCAAAATCTATCTGTAGAGTTTATTGGCTTCTTCTTCAAGTGGTGTAAAGGCAATTCCGTTGTATTTGGCAGTTGTTATTTCCCTTTCAAATTCTTATCTCTTCTTCAAGTAGTCTTCCATTTTATTTGTTAAGTTTTACAAGTAAGTAGGCTTTTTATCTTTTTTTTGCAATTTTTTAATTTTTAGTAAATTTTTTTTTTTAATAATCAGCTTTTGCAATCAAAATGCCTATTTTTAAAGAGGGTGGAGGTAGACTCAAAATATATAGATTGTTTGCTTATTTAATTTTCTCTTTGAATCTTAATTAATAAATGAATAAATCAAAAAAATAAATAATACCCCGATTCTTACATGATTTAATAGATAAATACATCTATCTATCTATATGATTATTTATATTTCATACTTGCTAATTGGAATCTATATATTTATATCAATCATAAATTAAAAAAATATACAAATAATCCTTACATTTAATACTTAATAAAAAAAGTTATTTTCATAACAAAAACCTTGTCTGTGGTAAAATAAGCATATAATATCTCACATTAAACTCATTTCTTTTAGTTTTCAATATCACATATTTATCTTTCAATTAAAAATAGCCTGAAATTTTATTTTTGCATTTCGCACTAATAATAAGATATATATTTATTTAGAGGATTAGTAGGTTTGTAACAATTTTACAGAAGCATAAAGAACTCCTTTTAAATAATAAATAGTATTTTTATAGTTATATTCTATAACTCCTCTTTAATAATTAAATATTATCAATCGGTTTGTTAGTGTTCTAGTTAGTTATATGAATTCATAGCCATAATCTAAAATGAACTTTTATATATGATCATATTACTAACTAACTAACAATTAATTTTTAATATTTTATTTGTAAAGCTAAATTAGAACAAAAATTTGCTACTCATTCATCAAAATAACAAAAAAGAAAGAGATAAATTTTATTAATTTATTTACAATTGGAAAGAATCAAAATAGACAATAAGAAATCCAAATAAATTTTGGATGAAAGATAAATAAAGATGGTATGAAAAATATTTATAAAATCTAATTTTTCTTTGATTTAAATATAACCAAATTAATATTTGTAATCATTTATGTATATAAGAACATAATTTATAAGGCTTTATTTAGGAATGAATGTCCCCCAAATCAAATTTGAATCTATTAGGCTTACCTTTATAATAACTAGTTCTATTTCTGTAACAAATACATTAAATACCGGATAAATTATATATTGCCAATTGAAAAATCCAATATTTTTTGACAATTTTTAGATTATTGTGTAAAAATTGAATAAAATTAATTTAAAATTATCGATACTTATTATTTATACAAATAATCTATAATATTCATTGATTAAAAATTAAATACATTAATATAAATTATTATCTGCTAATTATGTCCCCCTATAATATCAATGCAATTAGCTTACCTTTTTATTTGCTTACTTTAAAATTTATTCAGTAAAAATACAACACTAAAATGAGTAAAGTCCAAAAAATAATATTCAAAAAATTTGTAAATTAAATATCAAAGTATATTTTCAAGGAAAAAGTAATACTTTTTATTGTTTATTTAAAAAAAAATGATAGTTTATAATCGATTTTTTTAAAAAGTAATAATTATTTAAGAATTGAGTTAATGTCCCCCCTAAATTAATATAAACTAAGCTTATCTTTTTAACCACTAAATTATATATTTTTCAGTAATAATATTGAATGGATTATATTTCTTAATTAACATATAGTAGTTATAGAACTATGTTATTGTAAAAACATCTTAGTTATATTAGCTAATACCTTCTAGATTAAATATAGATATATAAAATTTAATTACTGATTTCTTATGAAAATAATTTGAAATTTATATTATATATATTTCTTTGTAAATACTCTTAAATACCAAGAAATAGGATATATTTAAAACTAATTATAACTTTAAAATAGCATTTATGATTTCAATTAATTTACTAAAAACAACTTTACTATGTAATAAGCAATATTTTATGATAAAACATGAATATCCTTTTCAATTTATGAGAAAATCACTTAAATAAATGAAAAATTTATATTTAAATGGAAAATATAGTTAATAAAATTTCTATCAGTGCTAATAGATAGATAGATAAGTAAATAAATATGCAAACTAATAATTAATACAAATATATATTGTGAAATAACACAGATTTAAAGAAATTTATAAAATAAAGATTTTATATTTATATTTCAAATTTAAATTTAAAGTATAAAATTAATTAATTAGATAAACAGGCAGATAATAGGTTATTTTTAATTGGTTATTTTCTAAATAGTAAATTATTAACATATTATTTTATAATAAAAATATAAAAGTTTAAAAGTAATTTATTATAATTTCTAAGCTGTAGATTTATTTGTTTTTTCTGTTTTAGCTAAATATTCTAATTACCTTTTACAATAAATTTACAGAAGTTTATATTTTTTATCACTTAATCTGATCATATTTAGTCATCTATATATTTATCGCACATATTTATATATCTTATAAAATAAATTAGATATGATTAAGTGATTTATTTATAAATAAGAAATATTAAGTATTTAACTATTTATCAATAGCTAGTTCATTTTTTTTGGAATTTCAAAAAAATTTTTAACTTTAAGTTTCTTATGTTTTATATTAAATTTAGAATTAATTTAATTTATTCATAAAAATACCAAAAATAAAAAAATTATTTCATTTGTATTTTAGTTTCATTAAAATAAAAAAAATAAACCAAAAAAGGGACCTGCCAGGATTGAACCGGCGACCTAAGGATTTGCAGTCCTCCGCTCTGCCACTGAGCTAAAGCCCCTTTGACATTAGACTTAAAGAAGAATTTAAAAATTTACTTAGGTGTGAGTAATATATGATTTGAGTTTTTATTTAATTTTTGATTTATTAAAAGATTAATCTAATATTAATGGTTAAGGCATAAATTATGAATTAATTTTCATAAAGCGCTTTATAATAATTATCAGTTTTAATATAATGTAAAATTTAGTTAATTAATATTAGAAAATAAGCCAATTATAAAGTATAATAGATTTATTCTTAACATATTTAATTTTATTTATAAAGATTAAGCTTTAAATAAACACATTTATTTTAGCTATGAATTTTGATAAAGGCATTTATGAAATATTAGATTGATTTACTTATTTTTTATTTGTTAATTTAATTCTTTTATAAAAGAAAATTCCTATTTCTCCCTTGTTAAGTATTTATTTATTTACGGCAACTATTATAAATATGAAGAACTTAATTAAAGAAATAAAATAATATTTATAATGTGAATATAATTTATATTTTAAATATGAATTTAAGTAATATCTATTATTATATTTTTTTAATTATTTTGAGGAAATCTGTTGAATTTTGTTTTTATTAATTTAATAAAAAATATTTTGAAAAAAATTTAAAAATATGAAAAATAAATAATCTATTTTTTTAATCTATTTAATTAATAAATAAATTATGAAAAGTATTTAATATAGTTTAAAATTTTTAAATTAAGTATTAAAAAAATATATTTCTTAGTAATAGCTGAGCTATGAAATATTCTTGTTAGATAATTAATTTTATTTATTTAAAAAATTTTTTTTTAAATAAGATTTACATTCAATTATATATAAAAATTCCTTTTTTTCATCTTTTCTTATTTTCAATTGGTTTCAAGTAAAAAGTAAATTGAATTTAAATAGAAATTAAAAAATGGATGATATAAAAGTGAGAGAATATAATTTGTTGAAAATCAAACTTCGAAACAAAAAAAATCAAGAAGAAGTTATAAATTAGCTAAAAATTTAATAAAATATAGAAGAATTGTAAATATCTGTAAAAAATTGTGAAGAGGGAGGAGAATTATTAAATTAAATTTCATCTCATTTTCAATATTTACAAAATTTGAAATAATTGTCTTACAATCTAGATAATTTACTAAATCTTGATATTTGCTTTATATTCAAAGATTTGAATAAATTCACTAATTTGAATATCTTATCTATAAGGTTAAAGAAAAATATTAGTTATCAATAAAATCATGACGGTTTTAATTTAGGATAATGTCTTTCTAGCCTTACACGATTAAAGATTTTAAAATTAGATCTTTATCTTCTCTATTCTTCTTAATTTTAGGAATGTTTTTAAATGTTATAAGCATATTAATAATTTAAAGTACTGAAAAGTCTTCAAATAAAACTAAGATATTTGCCAAGGAATTATTCAACGCTGTATGAAATAGTAGACGGAATTTCTAACTTGCAAAGCTTAGAAGATTTTGATTTTCAATTAGGGATAAACATTTGTGGAAACTCTGGATTTGATAAATTAATTGAGGAAATCTTTTATTTAGTAAATCTAAAAACTTTGTTTCTGAAACTTAAAGATTGTTAGTATTTTGGAAGAAATGTAAATCGTTTTCTGCAAATTATAAAAAATTTATAAAAACTAGAAGAATTAACTCTAAAGCTTCCAAATCAAGTTTTAAAGTAAAATAACTTTGTTAAAGAGTTGGAATCTTTAAGCAATTTAAAAAAATTAAACTATAAATCTTAGAATTTAGATTTTTAAGCAGCATAGCAACAGTTATAGCAAATATCTCAATTAAAAAATTTAGACAACACAAAGCTGATTATAAGAATAGAGAGCGAAAGCATGTAGAAAAATTAATTTTAGATAATTTAAGACTAATTTTAAAATATTTCTAATTTAACTAAATTGAACTTGTCTTTCCCTCCAAACAGTTAGATTTTACTAGTTGATCTTATGAATTTTTTAATTTGTCTTCAAAATAACTAAAAACTTGAAAAAATAGATATAAAGTTTTCTTTAGCTAACTAAGAAGAGTTTTACAAGGAAGAGCCTGAATAATAATTTCAACTTCCTCTTAATTCTTTAAAGCATTTCAAACTTATGATAATTTAAACATGGAATAAAAAAGATTATGGAAGAATAAATAAGCTACTGTCTATTTTTAAAAGTTAAACTTAATTAGAAAGTTTCGATTTTTATGTTTCAAGAATTAATTAATTAGATAATTTTGGAAAGATACATTTAGGAGATGTATTGAGTGAAATGGACAACTTAAAATTTTTAAAACTAGACATAGGTTAGTAGTATTTTATAGAAAAAAAATAGATTTTTTCTGATTTAAAAAGAAAATAAAAGCTAGAAAAATTAGCAATTCAAATTATGAGGTCATATGAACTTAATGGTGAGCACCTCTAATATCTAGGATAGTCGCTGAGCTACTTACAAAATCTTAAGGAATTAGATTTAAATATTGTTGGAAATTCACTTGATTTTGATTCACAAGGAATAATTTTGTTTAGTCAAGGGTTTAAGTAGCTGTAATAATTGAAAACACTTACTTTAAAATTTAATAAAATAAATTTAGGCTTTCCATCTATTTATCCTATACTATTGTAAATTCATGAGCTCAAAAAATTAAGATATCTTTACTTTATGTTCAGAGGAATAAGTACTGCAGATGTTTAATAAGAAATTTTGCCAGACATCATCTTTCCATAAGAAATTAAGTCTATTAGTATTGTGTTGAGGGAGGGCAAGACAGAGTTTAATTGCATAAAAGGATTATTTGAAGGATTTAAGAGTCTTGTAAACTTAAATATTTTGAAACTATAAATAAATTTAAAGCAAATTGAACTAGAAGAAATAAAATATATTGAAAACATATTAGCTAATTTGACAGCCCTATAAATCTTAGAACTAGATTTTGCTTAAGGCAGTATAATTTATCTTATGAATATGATTAAAAGATTTTATCAATTAGAACAATTAACATTTATTGATTTATTTACCAATTTTGAATTCTACTACTCTTCACTATATAGGTCAATATATCAAAAAGTATTGTATCCTGAATAAATTAAACATAATATTTAATTGACTTATAGTTATTTTTAATAATTAAACAAGTAGGATTAGGATATATTTAAAGAAATTTTCTTAAATAATGATATTAGAAATTTTGAATTTGAATATTCTGTTCCTTAAAAATTTACAGATGAATAGGCTTTCTATTTATTTTCAAATATGAGCTTATTATCCAATCTTAAAATTCTCAAATTAAAATTTAAAAACTAACCTTAATTTAGTTTAACTTCGTTTGAAGTAATTGCTTAAGCTCTTTCTACTCTAAAAAATTTAGAGTCTCTTAATCTACAAATCAAAAAGCTCAATTACTATTATGATTTTATAGACCTAAAACCTATTTTTATTTAACTTTACTCTCTATAATAATTGAAAGATTTAAGATTTAAATTCATTGATTTTTCAGCTGAAGAAGAAGTTCTAAAAGTTATGTTTGATGCTATCGGTAATTTGAAAAATTTAAATAACCTTAAATTGTTTATGTTTCAAAGTTTTAAGTTAGAAAATACTTTAAACTCTATCAAATAAATGTTCTAAAGCCTTGCATCTCTAAAAAAAATTTATTTCTATTTAAATATCGATCAATAAAATTAATTAAACTTAATATCATTCTTATAAAGTTTTAAGCACTTTTAAATGGTAAAATAAATCAGTACAGTTTGGAATTCATATAATTAACAAAGAATATTGCTTAAAATTCCAAAGTTAGTTGAGATAAAAAATATTTAAATTTGAATAACTTTTATTAGAAGTTTGTTTTTGCTATTTTATTTTGAAATATATTTAATCTACGAATTAAAAATTACAATATATGTAAATCACTTTTCAAAATATAAAAATTACTTAATTTTTCATTTTATTTTAATTTAATTATTTGATTACAAAATTCATTTTTTAAAAACTTAAATTAATAAAAATATATTTAAAATAATTAACGTAACTTCGACTTTACAATTTTAGTGAAAAAATTTAAAGATATCTAATATTTAAATAATAAAACAATAATCTATTAAATAGCAAACACTATTTCTTTGGTATGCTTGATATTTAATGTTAGTTAATTCATCTCGTTATATAAAATTCAAATCAGCTTTAATATAACAAACTAATATAAAAATACATTCAAATCCAGAATTTTCATTTAATAATTTGAGCTTTAGAAGATATATTGGCTATTTTTTTATTTAAATAATACTTGTTTAAATAAATATCACTAATTGATAATTCTTTTGTACCTGATATACTTTTTTTATGAATTTATTTTCATTACAATTTTTTTTAGGGAAATTCGGTGTTTTTCCTTTATTAAAAAAATTCATAAAATTTCAAGTAAGGACCTAAATATATGAACCTTAGAATAAGTTGATATATGGTAAAATTATATTTTATTTATAGAGCAAGAAAATTTTATTAAATATAAATGCTTTTAACTAAAAATATTCAATAAATTAATTTTAAAATACTCAAAAGAGATATTCAACATTGATTTTAAAAATCAAAATAGAATTAAAATTATAATTAATAAAAAATATATTTTTGATTATATTTTTTAATTATCAAAATTAATCATAAAAATAAAAGTAGATTTGTGTATTAAATATTTCCATTAAAATTTTTTTTTTTCAATTAATATGACTTTCATTTTTCTCTAAAAATAGATTTAAAAAGGGACCTGCCGGGATTGAACCGGCGACCTAAGGATTTGCAGTCCTCCGCTCTGCCACTGAGCTAAAGCCCCCGTCTCATTAGTTTTTAATTTGTTTTATTAGATTATTTAAATAGGTTTTTTTTAAATATATTTTATAAACTATTAAAAAGGGACCTGCCGGGATTGAACCGGCGACCTAAGGATTTGCAGTCCTCCGCTCTGCCACTGAGCTAAAGCCCCTGTTTCGATATTATATAACTTATTATATTTGATTATTTAAACATATTAATTTTAAAATCTATTTTAATATTTTGTAAAAAAGGGACCTGCCGGGATTGAACCGGCGACCTAAGGATTTGCAGTCCTCCGCTCTGCCACTGAGCTAAAGCCCCCGTTACAAAATTTATAAGTATTAATAAGTAGATTTTTTAAAGATATTATTTTTAAGTTTATTTTTTTATTTCATAAAAAGGGACCTGCCGGGATTGAACCGGCGACCTAAGGATTTGCAGTCCTCCGCTCTGCCACTGAGCTAAAGCCCCCGTCACAACATTATTTAATTTATTTTATTTGATTATTTAAACATGTTAATTTTAAAATCTATTTTAATATTTCATAAAAAGGGACCTGCCGGGATTGAACCGGCGACCTAAGGATTTGCAGTCCTCCGCTCTGCCACTGAGCTAAAGCCCCAGTCTCAACTTTTATGAGTATTGATAAGTAGATTTTTTAAATTCCTTTATTTGAAATGCAGATAATAAATTAAAAAGGGACCTGCCGGGATTGAACCGGCGACCTAAGGATTTGCAGTCCTCCGCTCTGCCACTGAGCTAAAGCCCCCATCTCAATAGATTTTAAATATTTTAAAAAGATTATTTAAATTGATTAATTGATTTAAAAAAAATTAATAAATTAAAAAAAAGGGACCTGCCAGGATTGAACCGGCGACCTAAGGATTTGCAGTCCTCCGCTCTGCCACTGAGCTAAAGCCCCTTTTTCAAAATAAATGGTTTTCAGTGGAAAATTATTATTAATAAATAATCAACTGATTTTGTACCCCAAATTAAATAAAAAAGCTATTCATTGAGATAGTTTCAATAAATTGCAATTTAAAATGAAATTTTTTACATAAATATTTTTATAAATTGATTGATAATTAGAAAAAACATTTAAAGAAATATGAATTTAATTTAAAAAGCTTATAAATATACAAAATCTATTATGTCTTAAATATGAAAAGCAAACATAAAATTTGGTTATATTTTAATTACATTTTTTAAAAAGTTAAAATTAAAAATTTATAATATACAATAAGATAAATAAATGATTGAATGAATAGATATTTATTATTTATTTATTTTAAATTTATTTCAACTTAATAAATTTTTATAAAATTTGAAGGTTTAATTAACTGTTTGTAAATAGTTTTGAGAAATATTAATGAATTTTTTCATAAATAATATACATATATATACTTTTCATTTGTTTGCTTGATTGCTTGTATATTGAGTAATGATATCAATCTCTTATTTATAAGAAATAAATAATTTACAATGAAATCAAATTGATTTATTTTATTATTTATTAATATTAGATTGATTATAATACATACAATTAATCATTCTATTTATTATTTTTTATATGTCAACTTGTTTGCTTATTAATTTATTTATTATTTTTAATTTTTGTTTGATTAGATCAATCAATAATTCATTCATTCATTCAATCTATCATGCAATCGAGATTAAAAGAAAGATGCTTTCTGAATGCAATAAATAAAAGTAAAAGATAAGAAAATAAATCAAATACTTATTTAATTTAAGGAAGAGATATAATCAAATAATATATAAAGACTGAAAGGGGAAAATGTCTCAAGAATCAATGAATGGACTGCTTTAGTTCATTAAGGACATTAGGCAGTGTAAAAATAAAGAATAAGAGTATAGCAGAGTTGCAAAAGAATTAGCAAAGATTAGAAATAAGTTTGAAAATAAAGGTATATCAGGCTATTAGCGCAAGAAGTATGTTTGGAAAATGCTTTACATATACATTCTAGGTTATGAAATTGATTTCGGTCATTTCCAAGCAGCAAATTTGATCAATTCCTCGAAATTTTCTGAAAAGTACACTGGCTATATAGCGACTGGTAACATATTGAATTATAATATTGTCTGATTCGAAAGAATGATTTTAATTTTTGAAATCCTCATCTTGCATTTTATTCACATGACTAAAATATTAAAAATAGGCATTTTGGTAAACGAAAATAACTCAGAAATTTACAAAACAATAGCATAATCAATTAAGTAAGACATTTAGAGTATGAATGAAATTAATCAATCCTTAGCTATTTCTATGATAGGCTCTCTTGCTCCTAAGGAACTTACTGAGTAGCTTGATTAAGAAATTATTAGAATAGTACTTGGAGAGAGAAATTGCTAGCCTTAAGTTCGTAAAAAAGCAATCCTCTGTTTATTAAGAATGTATAGAAAGTATAATGAAAGATATGATCCAACTAAATGGGTTTCACAAACAATCAAGATGTTTGAAGGAAGTAATTCATTCATTTATTTTATTTGCACTATTTCAACTAAAATGACGAATAAAAAACAGACTTAAAAAAATATTAAATCAAATTATTCTTCAATAAAATCAATCAGATTTTTGCTCTTTCAATTTCAAATCAAGACTTATTAGATTTTAAATAAAAACAAATTAAATAATTGATTATTTTATTAAGATTTAATATCATTTATTTTATTGCAAATTTATTTATTGTCAGCACCTTTTGATTCTAATTTTAATTAATATAAAAAGGGTATTTCAGCTTAGGTTTTTTGAGCGCCTCAGCTTCATTCCTTCTAGGTGTTGCATAGCTCTCCTCTCCTGAATTGTTTTCAGATGTAGTCCCAAAAATTGTAAAGATTCTCTCTAAATTAGTTTTAAACAAAGAGTGCTCTAACGATTACTTATATTATCAAACACCTAATCCTTGGTTGTAAGTTAAACTCTTGAAGATTTTGCAACTCTACCCTATTCCAACAGATGAAAATGTAAAGAAAGTCTTATTAGAAGTATTAAGAACTTTAATTAACATTGATGTCACCAAGAGTGTGAATCGTAATAATGTAAACCACGGTATTCTCTTTGAAGCCACTTCACTCTTAATTCATTATGGAGACGGTATTCCTAAAAAGCGTATGGATGAAGTCATTAAAAGATTGGGTGTCTTCATTTCATTCAGAGAACCTAACTTTAAGTAAATATAATCTTTTCAATAAAAAACGGGAGTATAATTTTTATTTATAAAATAGATATTTAGGTTTAGAAACTATGTGCAAGCTTGTTCACAATAATGAAGATTTGATTGAGAAGCATTTAAGTACAATTTTAAAGTCTTTAAAATCAAATGATATTTCAATTAAGAGAAGAGCATTAGAATTGCTTTATTTAATGTGCAATCAAAACACCTCCAAAAGAATAGTAGAAGAATTGTTGGGATATGCTGAAGAAAAAGCTGATTTAGTTATTAAGGAAGAATTAGTCTTGAAAATAGCTATTTTAGCTGAAAAATTCGCTGATAATTTAACTTGGTACATCGATTGCGTTATAAAATTGATTTCATCTTCAGGTGATTTTGTCACTGATGACATCTGGTTCCGTATTATTTAAATGATAGTCGGTTTTGGTAAAGAATCCAATCCAGAATTGCAACGTTATGCTGCTCTTAAGTTATTCACTTCCATCAACATCCCTCATGCTCATGAAAATCTAGTTTGCATTGCTGCTTTCGTCATATCTGAATACTCTCCTCTTCTCGTAGATTCTGGCAAAGACCCTCAAAAGATATTTGATGTTCTTAATCGTCATTACAGTTTATGTTCAGAAAAAGGTAATTTATTATTTATATATAAAGAGTGCTTGATAATAAATAAATAAATAAATCAAAATCATTATAGTTATTTATGTATATAATTTTAGTCATTATTGTGGTTTAAATAATTTATCATTTGTATTATAGGAAGATAGATGCTTTTGAACGCATATGCAAAATTAGCAGCAAGATATAGCGATTTAAGAGGTATTGTTTAATCAATATTTGAAGTTTCAAGTGAACACTTCGATCCTGATTTACAATAAAGAGGTGTTGAATATAATGCTCTTTTAAATGAGCCTTAATAGGTTTAGCAAATTATCTTTAGTAAATAGCCACCTTTCTCTTTGGATATTTAGGGCGACAATCCTTTGATTAAGAGAATTTATAAGCTCAAGATGGGTTCTAAATAAGAAATGAAAGATCCCACAGTCGCATTAGAAAATCAGAGAAGAGCTTAAGAAAGTGTAGAATTCTTGACAAAATCTGCAGTTGGGGTACAAGCACTTAGCAATACCCCATAAGCTAAGATCCCATTAAGCAATCATATTGAAAACTTAAAAAACAATGTTCTATACGAAATTAACTAGAATTCTGTTGTTGTATCAGGAAGTAATATTATTTCCCCTCCTCCAAATATGAACTCTCTCAGCAACATTAATTAAATCAAAAATTTACTTTCTTCCTCAATAGGCTAAGTATATGAATCTAATGAGCTTACTGTTTAATTCAAGAGTGATTATTAACAACATATGGGTAAAATTGCTATGTAATTCGAATCTAAGGTATTAATTGTTAATTTTTACTCCTTTTAAATAATAAATTTAAGTTAATTAAATTTGAAAGTATATTTGGAAGTCAAACAAACTACCTTCAATTAATATTCAATTTTTTCAATTTCATTTAAATATTAATCTGATTGAGTTATTGGGTGGTTTAGTTTAAGCTCTATTTAATAAAAAGTAGTTGAATTAATAATTGAAAAATTATAAATTGATTCATCAATCCTAACTAATTATCTTTGAAAATTTATTAGAATATTTTAAATAATATTAGTCAAAAAATAAATAAATTGATTTAAAATTAAATACATCCCTTTTATTTGTTCTAATAAATTGTTTTTATTAAACACAATTTAAAATTTTTATATTTTTAGAAAACATAAAAATAAGAATTTTTTTATGCTTTCATAGTTTTTTTAAAGAAAATTTAATCTAAAAAAGAATTTTTGATTAAATTGAAAAAAAATTTTATTTTAATTTTAAATTAAAAGATTGGAAGAATGGAAAATGTTAGTTTTGTTATTGCAAACTCAGATTAGAATGGACTAGATTTTAACATCTCTCCTATTAAGTATGATGAACATCCTTAAATTATGATGCAAGTTATGTCTACTGATCCTCGCTAATAAATGCCTATTGGTTTATTAGCTTATGATGTTAATGGATAAAATAAAAGAATAGAAATCCCTCTTCCTATTTTTACTAATAAGTTTATTTAAAGAGTTGATATGCCTTAAGATGCATTTGATAAATTCTGGATTGAATATTCTTCTGGCAGTAACAGTACTTCACACAAATTAGATGCTTATATTCCTAATCCTGCATAAATTAATGTCTCAATCAATGATATTCTTAAAAGAGCAGGTGGGCTTTTAAATAATGTCTTGGGTCTTAAAGTTATGGCTATCCCTGACATGAACAATATTAACGTATTATACGGTGTAGGATAGTTTACTTACAAAGATGTTGAAAAGAATGCAGTTAAAAACTTACCAGTTATGATTTAAATGGAAGGATCTGAGGTTTATAAAGAGCACCTCAGATTATCTCTCCGTGGAGCTGGTCATGGTTTCCCTATTGCTAATCTCTATCAAATTATTGTAAGTTTTATGGGTGTCGATTGATAGATAGAAAATTACTTACACTGATTTACAAATTTAAAAAAATTAAATTAATTGTAAAATTAAATATTAGAAAGGCTTTTTAATTAAATTATTTAATGAAATTGTCCTAATATTATGAATGATATTTCTTGTTTTACTTAAATTTTTTACTGTATAAATAAATATTTTTGACTTCTCTTACAATTTAATAAATAATGAAAGCTCTTTTAAATATTTTTTTATAACTTTTAAGTTATTTTTAATAAATGTATTTAAAAATGGAAAATTATTTTCTTAAAATATTGTTAGAAAATATAAAATTAACCTAAAAAAGTATTTTTTATTATTTATAAAGTTATTTATAACCATTTGATCATTACTCATATCAGAATATTGTTAATTTGCATCAAATGTAAGACTATGCTCTAATTCTAAATTTTACATTCAATTTTATTTTTTGAGTCAAATATTTTAGGATAAATTCTGTTAGATAACTGAAAAAATAAATTTATTTTATTTCTTATTTGTTTATTTGTTATTTATTTATTTTATTTGTTGTTTGATAGAATTTTGTGAATAAAATTGATATTGAAATATAGAAATAAAATGGTTTTAAAAATAATATCAACTGTTTATTTCAATTACATAATTTATTTAATTTAATTCATATTTTTAGCAAATCCGTCAATTTCATAATGAATCCAATCAATACAAAAATAAAAAATTTAATACTTGATATTAATTATGATAACTTCATTGAAATAATAAAATGAGTGTTTTACTTTTAAATTTCTCATTTAAATTTCAAAGTTGTTAGAAAATAAAATCAAAAGTTTTAAATTTTTTTATTTTTAGTGATATATTTATCGTTTAAAGTGATAAACTTTTGATTTTAAAGTAATAATTTTAAAATGGTTTTTATAGACTATATTGATTGTTTATATATAAAAGATTATTTAGAATTGCTGCTCAACAATATATTAAAAAATGAAATCAAAATGACACAATTTAATAACTTAATACATCATAATTCAAAGTTAAAATAGTGATGGATTAATCAAATTATTTTTTAAGACAATCTCTATTTAAGATATAAATATCAATATTCACCAACTTACCAAAACGAACATGAATATTTATAAAATTAAAGCTAAAAAAATTACATGATGCATAAATATTTGAATAACAAAAGTTAAAAAATATGTCAATGCAATAAATGTAAATAGTTTTAAAAACTATTTTTAAAAATTATTTTATTTATTTTTTAAAACTTGAAGAAAAAATAGTTCAGCAAGTAATTGTAATTAGCAAGGGGAAATACTTAATAAAGGCTTGTAGTTTATGAAAAATAATGCATTTTGAAATATTAAAAGAAAAGTAAAGCTTTGATTATCTATAAAAATAAACTAAAAATAATTGAAAAAAAAAAATATAAATAGCAGACTAAATAATTCATAATTAATTTACACTTCACTCAAAATAAAAATTGATTTAATTACATTGTCAATCTGATTAAAAGTTAATAGTAACTAAACCAAAATTTAAATTAATAAAAGAAAATACTTAACAAGTAATTGCGTGAATATTACTTATAATATAAAATAATTACGACTTATTATAGCAAACATTTAAGTGCGTAATCAATAAATAATTGACTGTTCAAAACACAAATAAATATATATGTTCATTTGAAAGTTATAAATAGTTCTGCTTATTAATTTTTTCAAGGTTAACCACCTCAAAAAAATCAAAAAGATCATTTTTTATTATACTTACAAAGTCAAATTTTGATGATTTTTTAATTACTAAAAATAAGATTTGGTTTTATAATTTAAATTTGAGTGAGCTTTACAAAAAATAATAAAGAAAAAGCTATTCGTTCATTTTTTCATTTTTTAATGCTTTTATTTTAATCTTATTAAAGATTATTCGTTTAAAATTAAATATCTAACATTTGTTAAGCAGCATTACCAAAAAATTAATAAATAAATTAGACTTTAATTTTATCTCTCTTAGTTCTATAAATAAATTATGAATGTACAAATCAAAATCATTTAAATGATTAACTTCAAAGAATAAAAAGTATCTTTTATCATCTAATTTATTTTATTATTTAATTGATTAAGTTATTTTTTATTGTATTAGGGTAAATATATATGAGTGTGCGTTTTTGTTGAAGCTAATTATGAGGAAATATTATTAAAGTTAATTAAAAGAATTAAATTTCTTTGAAATATATGTAACTAGGCTTGACAAATTAAGAAAAGTCTAAGGGTTTTTTTCTATTATAAATAAATGTATAAATGAAGTTAGATTTTAATGAAATATTAATTAAGTCCATCAGACTTTTTAACAAAAATATTTAAAATCTTTTATAATTGATAAGAATTGCAAAGGTGATCAATCAAATAGTTAATTCTTTTATTAGTCAGAATGTTTTTCTAAAGATATTCAAATATCTAATTTCTTTCACTCATTAACTCTTTTTTTATGATCGTTCTTAATGTATATCTTAAATTGCCTTATTAAAATTATCTTCCCCAAGATAATTTCTGTTAGTTTCTAAAAAAAGCGATATTTTCTGATGGCAAAGATATTTTTTCAGCCACCTAACATTATCGAGAATATGTAATAACGTTCAGAAGTTATCAAAAAAATTTATTTAAACCCTTTTATTTGAAGATTTTAAACATTTTATTTAGGTTGCAAAATAAATAGGATTTTGATTATTCAATAGAAATTTGCATAATTTGTTATCATCGATGGTTTGTTTCTTTTTGTTTGTCTGTTTATGGATTAAGTAAGAGGGAAAAAAATTCACAAAATACTTTACACTTGAGAGAAATTAAAATTTTTAATTGCAATTGAGGTAAAGCCAAAGCTTCTGAAAATGTTCTAAGAAAAATTTTTGGAAAGACTTTGATTTTGAATATTAATTTCTTTTATATTTCTTATCATAGACCATATTTAGTGTTTATGATGTCAACCAACATATCCTTTAATATTTAATATATCAATTTTGTATCTTCTATCAATTTACTTATTTTCATTGCATTGAAGTTTACTTTCTCCCTATTTAAAATTAGATAAGTCATCCAACATCAAATTCTCCTATTTATAATTATTAAAATATATCTTAAAAGCATAAATCTAAATTAATTTTTGACACTCAAAATCTATTTATTTAAAAACTTCATTTTGTCAAATCTATCATGCTATCTCAACCTGAAAGTACACTCAGCTTTTTTGCTAGAAACCCCAATTTGACTCGTACATTAACTGTCTTGACTGCTCTTTATGGACTCAAATAGAGCATAAATTACATTAAAAATCGCTCTTAGAAAAAGAAACATGCCAAAATTGAATAGATAGCAGCTGAATACCAAAAAAACAGAGACAACTAAATAAAATCTCTTGAAATTCCTTCACTAGAAAAATTGAATATCGGAGAAGAATAAATTGAAAAAATTATCAGCTCATCTGCTTCTGACTTAGCATAAATGCTTAAAAAGGGTGAAGTTACTAGCGAAAATCTTGTCAACGCTTTTGCTTTAAGATGCTAAACTATTGGTCATGAATACAAAGCTATTACCGAGATGAATTATGAGTAAGCTATTTTGCTTGCTAGAGAATGCGATTAAGTTCTATAGAAATTACGCCAAAACAATAAGAATTAAATTTCTTCCATCCTTTCTTCCTCTTCTTCTCTTACTGCTAGTGAAGACGGTGAAGAAGGTCAGTAGAGTAACGCCTAGGACAATTCTAACACTAATGACTCACTAGAAGAGCTTTACTATCAAAAACCTTTATTTGGTGTCCCAGTCTCAATAAAGGATATCATTGAAATGAAGGGATTTGCTGTCACTGTTGGATGTATTTCTCGTAAAGACAAAATAGTTCAAGAAGATTCCTTAATTATTAAATTAATTAAAAATTCTGGTGCCATTCCTCTAGTCCGTTCTAATATTCCTTAATTAAATATGTCTTCAGATTGCTACAATCGTCTCTATGGCCGTACTTGCAATGCTTGGGATAAATCTAGGTACTCTGGAGGTTCATCTGGAGGTGAAGCTGTCTTATTAGCTACCAGATGTTCTCCTTTAGGATTTGGCACAGATATTGGTGGTTCAATTCGTATCCCTGCTTCTCTTAACGGTGTAGTAGGATTCAAGCCAACCAGTGGTAGAACTCCTTTCAAAGGACTTGGTTTTGTGTCAAATTGCATATCTGGCTAATTGATTATTCGTACTTCTCTTGGTCCTATGTCTAGATTTGTTGATGATGTTGCAATCGGCATGAAAGTACTCACTGATGAGCAATTCATATAAAGCTAAAAGGCATCTTAAAAAGGAGCTTATCAACCCATATTCAGTTTCGACATGAAAAAATACTAGGACAGATCCAAGAAGTATCGCATTGGTTACATCAAAAATTTGCAAACCTTTGATGCTTGTCCTTCATTTTAGAGAGCTGTTGAAATATCTATTTAAGCCCTGAGGGAATAAGGACATGAACTGATCCCAATCGAATTTCCCTTTGAAAAAGAACTCACTGAGCTTTATTTCAGCATTTTATCTTCAGACAATAACAGAAGATATTAAGATCAATTAGTGGAGGAAGAATACATTTCTGAGTATGATTCAATTAAATTTATCATGAAATTAAGCAACTTTACTAAAAAGTGTTTAATTTGGTTACTACGTAAAGCAAAGCAAAACAGAACTGCTGATTTATTGGAGTACGCAAAGACAAATAGGTCAGCTGAAGATTTTATGATTGTTAGTGGAAAAATTAATTGTAAAAGAGAAGAAATCATCAAATACTTTGAAAATCTAAAAATTGATGCAATAGTCACTCCAGGATAACCTCTACCAGCTTTCGGACATGGTTTATCTTCTCATTTCATCACAATTGGATCAGTTTATACTCATATTTGGAACACTCTTAACTTCACTGCAGGAGTCTTACCAGTAACAACAGTATAAGAAAATGAATAAACCTATAACACTTGCAAATAAAATGATAATATCACTAAGATGATTTAAAAGCACATTAAAAACACAGCAGGATTACCTGTAAGTGCCTAAGTAGTAACTTTTCCCTACGAAGAAGAGTTATGCTTAAATATCATGAAATAAATTGAAGAAAAAGTAAACTTCTACTAAAATAACAAAACTCCAATTTGATGAATTAGGTAAACAAACGAAGTAAATTAGTAAACAAATATATAGTTAAATTTTATTATTCATAACAAATTAAAAAAACATAATATATTATAATAATATAACCAAATAAATATAATAAATAAATAAATAAATGTAAACATGTATTTATATTTTCTCCTTTTAACAAATATTAATATTTTATTACAATCTTAATCAAAAATATAAAATTGATTTCATTATTTTCTAAGCTATTAATTTGTATTAGCTAGCTAACATTATTTTTAATTATTTCAAAAATTAATTCAAAATTATATTAAAAAAGCAACTCAGATTTATAAAGTATTTATATCCACCTATTTTAATTTAAATTGCTATTTTTACATTAATTTAATATTAAGAAATTAGGTTTTTATCAAGTAATAAGAATTGTAATTCCTCTTTAATTTTAGGAAATAAATTTGGGGTCTATTTGATAATATGTAATTTATTTGATTTGTTTCATATAAATAAATTGACAATTTAAAACTTACAATGGATTTATTCTTAATTTTTTCTGCTTGAATAAATATTAGATTCAAATAAAATTTTCTAGTAATAATTGAGTTCCTTAAAAGTTATTAATAAAACAAATATAAAAAGTCATAATAGAACAAATAAAGAAAGTTATTTATGTAAGTAATTTTTTTATGATTTATTTTAAAACTTTTTTTCATATAAATAAGTAAATAAATAAAAATGTACTTACAATAGATTTATCCTTAATTTTTTCTGCTTGAATAATTAAAAATAAATTTTAGAGTGAAATATAATTGTATAGTATTTATTAAATGTAAATTCGGTACTTTAATAGTTTTCAATCAAACAAATATATAAAATCATAGATAGTACTAAGGAACAAATAAAGAAAGTTATATATGTAAGCAATTTTTGTATATTTAATTTTTTTAACTTGTTTCATTTTAATAAATTAAACCTTACAAAAGATTTATTCTTTATTTTTTCTACTTGCATTATTCAAAGTAAATTTTAGACTCAAATGTAAATTGTATATTAATAATTAAATATAGGTTCATTCAGTTCCTTCTTAGATTTTAATAAAACAAATATTCAAAGTCAAAGAAAGTATTATAGATTAAATCAAGAAAAATAAAGAATTCTAAAATTTATTTTTTTTAATTTTAAAAGACCTATACAAACAAAATTATTATTTGAGAATAAAATTAATTAAGGAGCACAAGAGTAAGTTAAGCCAAAATAAATTTTTTTCAGACAAAGTGTTTATTTTAATTATTTATTTATTTTTTTTAAGTTGGTAAATGTAAAGTTTTGCTATTTCATTTTAAAATCAATGTAATTTTATATTTTAAAAAATATAATAGAAATGAAAGAAATTGTTTGTTTTTACTTACTATTTTTTATAAGATATAAATTTAAAAACTATTAATAAAAAGGTTTGATATAAATTGAATCCACTTATTAATTTTTAAGTTGATTTATATTGAGATATCCTTAATATTATCATTTATTTTATAAAAAAAACATACATGCTTTTTAATATTTATTATATCAAAAAAAAATGGTTAAAATATAAGTTAAATTTATTAGATTGATTAATGCTAAAAAAAATGCAAATATAAATAAATAACTAATTGTAAATTATTTATGATATTTTATTTATAATTATTAAGAAATTTATTTATTACTTCTTTGCTAAGAAATCTTCTAAAAAAAATAGTTCTAGAATTAGGTAAAAAATGTCCTTATAATTAAATACTTTTGAATGAGTGAGAAACTGAGAAACGAATATATTTGCTATCTGTTTATACTATTTTATTCATTTAATTAGTCTACCTTATATATTTATTTATATATCTCCATAAAAAACAATCGAAAGAAAAATGATTTAAAAATAAATTGAATAAAATTTTTAATTGTGTTTTTGTATACTAAGATAAAATACAAATAAGCAAATAATAAATAAATTATTCAATTATCAAATGTTGATTAATTACTAAGAAAGATTAAACAAATTTATTATTTTATTGGTATAATTTTAGTTTAGTTAGTAATCCTTTTAATATTTATCTATTTTAAATAAAGATATAAATAATAGCTCATAAATAAAAGGTATTGTAATTATTGATAGTATTGAAGTTATTAATAGTAAAATATAAATAAATAAGCAAACAATAAATGATAAATGTGTTTAATTTTATTATAAATTATTTAATTAATTAGGTGGTACATAAATTTATTTTATTTATTTATTCATTATAGTTTAATTAATTTAGCTTTTTTACATTTAATTTTAGAAATTAATTTCAATTCTATTTTTTATTTACTGAGAATTGATTAGTATGTAGATAATGTATTGTTAGTTTTTATGATTATTTTTATAAATATTTTTAGCATATTATCTTGATTTCTCTCAATTTTTATTAATTTTGTAGCTCTAATATTAATCAAATTCAAAATATTGACTAATCTTTAAATGAAAGGAGCGAGCAAACTCTATTTTTTACTTTTCACTTTTAAATCACAATTTATGTGCTAATTTAAAAGCTGAAAAATAAAATATTTTCCAAATTTGTTACATCCGATTCTATTTTTAAAATGCTTTGAAAAACAATTTTTTTGAGGATTTTTTATTAATGAATGAATTCAGTTAAATTAAGATTTAAATAATTTCAGTCAATCAGTCAGTCAGTAAGTGTTTAAAACCTTGTTGATTTCAGAGATCAGGCTTTTTATGCTTATTGGCTTAGAAACATGTCCAGCAGCTCCAGATTTAAGGGAATTTTATATATCTTAGATAGCTGTGTAAGCACTTACAATAATGATTGGTACTGGCTAAATTTGATTTGATTTGATTAATTCTGTAATTTTGAAGGTGGCTTCTATTCCATCCATTAAGGGCATGTTTATATCCATAAGAATGAGGTCGAACTTTTCTTGTTGAACTTATTCGATTGCAGACATACCGTTGAAAGCTTCTTTTATTTCTAAGTTTTCAACTCCCTTTAGATAGTTTTTAAGTATCTAAATGTTGAAGGGCATATCATCAACTAGTAGAATTCTTTTGTTTGAAAGAAGAGTTTATAATTTTAATGAATTTTAATTGAGAAGATTTTAATTTGCCAAAAAATCTAAATCTGATTTATTTTTTTTATAGTTGCATTTTCTCACATTTTCATGATTATATTATTTTGGAGTGTAGCACCCGTTATATTACTCGTACCTCGAATAATCAACAAATTCAGCTAACGAATTAAAGGATCTATTTGTATTACTTTTTTATGCTGCATAGTGAGATTTGATGTCTTCGTGGCTTTCTATACTGTTGTCTGATAAGATGATTTCATCCTTGTAGGGATGAGTCAAAACATAATTTGGTTAGTTTTGCCTTAACTGGTTTTCTAAAGCAAGAATATTTTTTTTACTAATATTTCGATCAGATAAAACAAATTAGCTCATAGCAGCTTTCGTTCTTGACTAATCCTCCAAAGTAAAAGTAAAAGTTGAACCTAAATTCTCTTTAGATTTGATTTTTAAATTTTGGGTATTCGAGCTAAGCTGAGACGTTAATATTTTAACAATTTTAATTCCTATTCCACAATTTCTTTGAAAATTGTAAAGACTTGGCTGGGATTTATAATGTTGATTTTTTTACTATTTTTAATTTTATAGAGAAAAAGAACTAACATTTGACTTTTTCATTGGTTCATTGTTTTCAATTAATTTAATGGAACAACAATTTTTATCTTCTCTATTAGCTGGACTACTTTTTTTATTATCTGAATGGAAAGGACTTACATCTTTTGATGTATGTTAAATGCTTTCGTTAATACTGCAGGCTTCTTTAATTTCAATAACGCTTTTTACATTTTCATGTCTTTATTAGTTTTATTAAAATTTAATCTTCTAAGACTCTTGCTTAAACAAAGAAAGTTTTAATTCCTTTTTAGCACTCTCCTCAATTTTGCTTTTTTTTTCCAATTCATTTTCTTTATTTGCTAACTCCTCATTTTTTATTTAGAAAGGATCTCTCAATTAATTTTATTTATAAGGCGTGATTTATTTAAAGCTACTATTGTTGTTGTTGTTGTTATTATTATTATTATTATTATTATTGATTTAAATATTATTATGATTGTTTCTATTATCCTTTACTTCCTACAGTTCATCAGAAATATCTTGCTCATTTAAGGATTCATCCTCTTAATCGTTCATAAAAATGGTATCATAATCTTCTATGTTAACATTGTTCATTCGTTTAACAAGCTTTTGTTCAATTCCTATTCCAGTGTCTGAAACTGAAAATTCAAAATTATATTTATCTATTTGATTCACTGTGAAGCTGATTCCTCCTTTAAATGTAAATTTTAAAGCATTAGTCAAGAGATTAGTTAATATGCAAATAAGCTTTTTCTTATCACTTCTCACGAAAACATCTTGCTGCTTGAGAGGACTTTATACTGTATTTTTTGATGAGTACTAATTGTATTCATTGTAATTGCTAGCATTCTGTGATGGGCGGTGCTACTACTACTATTGTTATTACTCTTTAATTTCAATTTATCGAGATGATTTCTCTGAAGTATTTGAATAAATATCTGCTATTGGTGTGTTAATTACTTTTTCACTCATAAATTTAAGCGAAACAAATTTCTTCTTAAAATCTTCAACAGGGCAAAATTCGTATTTTTAATTGTCTATGTTTTTTAAAGGATTTGAGATTAAATTTTCATCTACTTAATCAATATTTGCTTCAATCTAAGGAGATGAATTTTTGCAATTTTAAAGCTCGAGAGATTTCTTTATTGATGGCTGAAAGAGAGTGATTTTTGAGTGAAAGTAGAGATTTTTCAACTTAGCCTGGGGTTTGAATATTTCTATCATTTCATTGACTATTTCTATGATTGAAAACTTTTCTAAATTCAACTTGTTTTCTCCTTTCATGTACATGGAATAATTTAAAAGATCTTCAATTTTGTAATTTAATAGATTTGCACTAGATTTTAAAATTTGAATGTCTTTGCTTTTTAAATTGACGCTCTCTTCATGTCTATTTAGCAGCAATTAATTTATTTAAGAAATAATTGAATTTAAAGGAGTTTTTAACTCGTGGGCTAGACTAGATATTATTTTTTGTTTGAAAGTTTTTATTTTTAAATTATCACTTTTAATTTTTTGATCTTGGGAAGAGCTGATCACTTTATTTTCTATACTTGGACTTGGACTTGAGATATTTTTCTTTAGTTCTTCCATCATTATTAAATATGAGTGTTTTCCTTCATAAACGCAGTCTATAAATTTCACTTAAATGTACTAAGCAAAATTGCTTGAATCTTCGCTCTGGCTATCAATCCTTTCAAAAATGTATATATTTTAATTAGTGCCTAATTTAGTCTCTAGTGTTTATGATTGATTTTTCTATTTCTAAAGAAATTTGTTTGAATGGCCAATAAATTATTTTTTATCTTAAATTTCATTTTATTCTTATTCTGCTAAATTCTTCGTTAAAATAGTCAGCAATGACTCACCATCCGTACATTTTAAAGGTAATTCAGTGCTTTTGTTTTCTTTTTTGCTCGTATCGCTGTTAACGCAATTACTCTTATCTTGTATAACTCTGTTTTTCGTCTATTCTACAGATCTAGTTCCTAATATTTCATTAAATAAGGGATTAAAAACCTAAGGGCTGCTTGAACATTGCAATAAAAGACTATTCTTCCTGTCTGTGTTATTAACACTGTTTTGAATCAGATTATTTTAGCATATATTACGTTTGAGAATAGGATTCTAAGTAGCTTGCTTGCCAATTAACTAACTAGGATTTGTATGATTTGTATTGTAATTTACGCTTTTTAAATTAGATTTGTGGTGAATTTCATATTATATGTTCTACATAGAGCTATTTTATAGTAAGTAAATGCATTGGTGAGAGCCATTCTTGTTTTGATTCATTATCTAGTTATAAGAAGAAAAGGGAATAGGATGAGAATCGAACTGCATTGTATCTTCAATTTAATTGGTCTAGATATGGGAAGTATGCTAAATATTTTAATTAGTTTGTAATCTACTAGTAATATTATTTAAAATATTATTATTATTGTTGTTGTTGTTGTTATTGTTGCAATTCTAATCATTTAAATTGTTGTAATTTGGAATATTTCCTAAATTTAATACTCCATTTCCTCTCTGTTAGTCTTTGAATGACAACCTAGATTCTTAAATACTTTTGCCTGCGTTCTATAAATAGATGCTATCTTTATGATTCATGCTACCACATAAGGTATATTTGCTCAAGTAGGTATTAAATAAGTTTAAATATTCGTTTTAGAAGTTAGGTATTTATTGCTGCATACTTAGACTTACAAATGGAAAATCTAAAACTGATGTATTTGTCGAATATTATGAGGTTTTGTAAGTGATCGATGGCTTTTTGCAAAGCTTTCTTTAAGTCTTTTAGTTTTGTATTAAAAACCTAGTAAACCCACTATTATATTGAATATCTATTTGCGATTACTAGTTAGGTTTATTGTTTTGCTATAGACTATCATTTTCAGAAGGAGTAGAAAGCTAAGCTAAAAATACATTGTTTTACATGTATTTAAATACAAACTAGTGCCAAAACTAGTACTTTTAGGATATGTATTCAAGCAAAGCTGACTCTTTTTTGATTTAAGTTAAAGAAACGCTCTTTTAATATATTACAAATATACTAATTGCTAAAAGAAAAATATGTGTCCACAGATATTCTTCATAGCAGAACACTCCAGTAACAAAATTTATAAAAATTAACAATAAAGAGTAATTGTAATTCTACTATGCGTATAAATAAAAATAAATAATTTATCCTTGGATTTAATACCAGCTGACGTATTCTTCGCAGAAGCCTGCAGTAAATATTTAACTCTGATATTGTTCATCGTTGAGCTGATTTTATTTGCTTTAACTATAATTAGTGCTTGTACAAACATTCTACTTAATCTTTCTTTCAAATTAATAATTACAAATCATGTAAGTCAAGTAAATTAAAGTTTATAGAAAAATGGCCAAGTTAGCATTTTACAAGCTCTTCATTTTCTTTTTGGTAATCATTATCTGAAGTAAAAATTATAATACGATATGCAGCAAATCAGACGAAATTAAAATGTTTATTTTTTTAAATAGTAAATGCCGTATCAAGTTGAATAAACTAACAATAAAAAACAGGAAAGTTAAATGTTTAACTAATTAATTATGCATTTCCACCCTAAGCTTATCTCCTAATTTGTTTTCAATTTCGCTGAAGCCCTAATCAGGTTTCGCTCTCTCATCATTGCTATTCATTGATGAGCTTTCTTAAAAATATTGTTTGCTAATTGTTTCTTTAATTTTTTAAGTTAGTTTTCTTTTATGTAATTTTTTCAATATCAAAATGCATCTCAAAATAGTTTTTTGATAAGATTTCCTATTAAAAAATTAATAAAAAATAGCTATTAAATCTCCCACCCTCTTTATTAATGACTTTTTATAGTAAGTAAGTAAGTCTTTTTATTAAAAGCTGAAGAAAGCAAGTCAACTCAAGTCTACAAGCATGCATACAATCTATCTATCTATCAATGAATAAAACACTGATTAATTCATTCATTAATAATTTTTTAATAACTAATGTAATAAACAAATGAAAAAAAAAAATAATCAGTAAATTAATAATAAAGTAATGTATTTTTATTAAAAATCCTCTGTTGTTCAATCCTAAAACAAATTAAATATTTTATCAATTTTTTTTAAATTTCATCAAGGTCTTTTGTTGATTCAAACTAGAAAGAATTTCTTTTGTTCAATCTTTATTATTCCAAACCAGTTTTTTAAAAATAAATAATTTATTTTGGAAATATTAGATAAAAGGATAAAATGAAATAATTAAAAAATTTTAGTAAACCAATTTAAATTTACGTGAAAATCTTGTGAAACTATCCAATTTTAATAAAAATGTTTAATATTATTTGAAAAATCTAATTTAGATCTATTTTTACCAGAGTATTTTTTATTATATTTATTTTTTGTTAGTAATAAAGTGCAATTTTTATTTTTGGTATATTTGCTACTGATAATAAATCTTGTTTTTTTAATTAAATACAAGCCAAATTACATTAATTAATTGATTCATTCATGTTTATGTGTTTACTTTTTCATTTTTAATCTTTATTAATAATAATAAAAAAAAATTTGTTATCCTTTTTATTTATAAATTAAAGAAGTATTTAGGATAAGCATTTGGTAAATGTAGATATAAAAAGTAATAAGTTCAATATTTTAATCAAAAAATTCATTTTAAGTAACTGATAAACTAAATTATTGTAACTTAAATATTATCTTATTAAAATGTACTCAAATTTATTAATTAATAATCAACAAATTATGTTATTTATTTCTAAATTTCAATTTTCAATAGGCTTATTACTTATTAAGATAATCTATAATTAGAAAAACTTGATAGCATTATTTTAATTATATAGAACTAAAAAATAAACAAGCAAACAAATATCCACTAAAATTTAAATTTTAGTGTAATTTTTTTTTCATGGCCAATTAATAATATTTTTATATCAAATCCATAAACCCTTTGGCATCCAATTCCAGTAAAACCATGGATAAAACTTCTTAATTCCTTTAAACATTAAAGAAGATGGTCTTTCTTACTACTTACTGAAGGTTTCACAAACCTCCTAATTGTATTTATGCTCTGTTAAGATGAGTTTGCCTTCGCCAACAAAAATAGGGCTGCTTGTGTAACCACTATATTTATAAGGAACAATTAAGCCTTAGCCACTTAATACATGAGAAATATTTTTGACTAAAATAGGAGTTTAGCTCATAATTGCACCAAATGTTTTAGCAGTAGGCAAGTTAGCACAATCACCTAATTTATTTAAAATAATTTCTTAAAATTAATCCCTTGAAAAGAAACATATTTAGATATTTCTTTTGATAAGATTTAACTAGTTTCCATTTCTTAACAAATTTAAGCAGCTAATTAGTTAATTAATTAATATCTTGTGTAAAACAATCATAAATTATTTACAAAGTTAATTTTATTTATAGAACAAATTCTAAATTGTTTCTAATAAAAGAAAAATAAATATGATAACTTCTTTAAATAAAATGTAAGCAAACAGAGAAATAAATATTTCTTTTTAATTGTGTCAAGTAATTGCTCACTCATTCAGTCAATTATAATAAATTTATGTGTGAGCATTTGAAATAATACAAAATTATTATTTTTATAATTAATTGAAATTATTTTTTTGATAACTAAATAGCTAACTAAATTTGTATTGATATATCTATCTACTTTAATTTTTACATTTCATCTTTATTCAAAATAAATATTTTTAATTTAAAAAATTCATTTGATTTAATATTTCGATCAAAAAATAAATTTTTGTTTTACACATTATCTATTTAGTCTTTATATTATATAAATCATAGCTAATAAATTTTTTAATATTACATAGTGCTATATTTTATTTTCTAAATAATTTAATTTTTATTATTCTAAAATTAAAATTAATAAATATTTTTTCAAATTCATTTTGTAATATTTAAGAAAATAACAAATAAATATTTATGAATAGTCAGTTTTTTATTATTTTTGTTAAGATTTCTTTAAAAATTGTCAGATTTGAAAATTATTTTGTAAATCACAAATTAAATTGTTGAAAAATGATTTCTTAGTATTTAACTTACTTACATGTTTGAATTAATTATCATAAATAACAAAATTATGTATCTGTATAAAATGAATGAAAATTAATTAATTAATTAAAATTTAAAATCTACCTAAGGCCCAAATGTTGTTGTATCTTTTATGCTGTAAGGTCTAAGGGTTAACATCAACAAGACCAGAATTATCTGATATTTCAGGATTGTTTTTGATGAAATCAGCAGTTTTCATGGGAGGAGTTATGTGTGCAAGATCGAATCTGATTTCTTCTTTGACCTTTGTTTAAATATTTTCAAAGACGGCAACTTGACTAGTAGGTTTAATTTCTACTAATCTTGAATTCTAAATATATTGGATTTATCTTGCATTCAGCATTCTTTCCAAACTTTAAGTATACTTAGGATGAGGATATAATTCTGTGCTTTCGTTTCTAAATTCAAAGTTTGTAGTTGATCTTACTCCCTTTTTATTGATTCTTTCTTCAGTCAGATAAGCGATGCTTTAAGGGCTGCCCTAGCTTTTAAAAGGTGAGGAAGGTTCAGTGAAGATGGCTCTTCCACCACCAAATTCTTTGACAAGTTCATTAAATTTCTGAGCGTAGCTGTAGTCATACATAGTACCTACAGGACATTCTACACTTTCTAGTGCTTCTTAAGCTCCTATTAATTCATATATAAAACAATTATAACCAAATAACAATATATTTGAAAAACAAACTGCTTATTGATTTTTATTTATTTTGATCTACTTACTATTTCACTTAATATAATTAATCTACTTATCGTAAATTAATTTTTATGAATATGTCTACTTATCTAAAAAAGATTAAATATTTCATATGAAAAATAACAATTGAAGGGTATGATATAGATAATTTAAGCATTAATAGTATTTGTTATACAATCTAATTGCTATTTTCAAAAAATAAAAAGCTTTGTGTCAATATAAATGATTTCAAATAAAATAGTTGATTCGCTCTTCATTTATTTATATATTTGTTTGTTTGTTTATTACCTTTGATTTAAGAATAATCACACTCCAATCCTGAAGCAATGATAAGATGTTCATAGCTATACTCAACTCCATCATTAGTTTGTATAACGCTTCTTTTTGGGTCTATTTTGACAATCTTAGAATTGTTGAAGTTGATCCATTTGCTGTATAAATCACTGTTTTTTTTAACAGTTAAGGAAGCATCATAAAAGCCACCTGATACCATGCTCCAGCTAAATTAGTCAAAATGGTGCTTTGAGGGTTCAAATACTCTGATTTAATGTCTCTTTACTCCTCTTTAGTGAAGGAATTAAGATACAAAGTTCAAGCCAGATGTGCCTCCACCTACAACACATACTTGAGTGTGAATAGGAGTAAACTTTGTGCTTGAAAAATTTCTATAAGGTATTCTACTAAGCATTTTATTGATATTTTTATATATTAATTAAAATTTAAAAGATATTTATTTTGTTGAAAGATATGAGCTAGCTTGCTTATCAATTATTTAAAACAAGATTTATTTATTTATTTATTTTATTATTATTCAATCAATAAGATGGATAGCATATCATATCATATCATATTATGGTTCTATATTTCAATATAATAAATATTATTTCATAATTTTTTTCTATATTGGACTTAAAACTGATTTTAATATTAACATTAAATAAAAATCCTACATAATTAAAAGTTTATGATAGATTATCCTAAACTAAATTTTAAAATATCTTTAAATTAAATCTAATAAATCAATCAAAATTTTATTGGTAGAAGAAAATATAAATATTTATTAACAAATTCATAAAAGAAGCAAGTAAGTAAATGATTCCTTTTCTAAATATTAAATTGTTTAAAGAAAATTAATGATATAAACAATTTTTATTTAATAAAATACTAAACACATATAGCATATACAGACATATATATATATATACTCTTGGTTTTTATTATGGTGAATGTGTTAAATAATTTTGAAAAAAATTTTCTTCTTTCCTATAAATTACATCAAAAACTAACAAACCAATATTAGGTATACCAAAATACTGATCCATTTATATAAAAAATAAAAAATAAAAATCTCAATACCCTACCCTACACAAACAAGTATTGGTGTTGGTGAACCTCTATAAACATATAAACATGACATAAAATTGGCTACTTAATTAATTAAATATAATTAATAAAATGATATTTATTTTATTTTTGTAAAATTTTAAAGTGTTATTATTTTATTATCTGTCTGTCTAATTTATTTAAAAGATAATATAAATTTTATTTATGTATTTATTACTCTATTTACAAAAAAATATATTTAATTGCATATAATTAGTTCTATGAATTTTGAGTAGTTATTAGCATATCTAAATATTTTTAGATGTTTTCTAAATTTTTAATTATTAGTCATTACTCAACCAATGAATGAATGAATGCATAGTTTTTATTTAATAAATATTTTCTTTTTTTTTCTCAAAATTTAATTTTGTTAATTTGGAAGGAAAATTAATTTTAAATATAGATTTAAATATAATAGTAGATAAGTAAGTGTTAGGTTATATTTTGTATCTATCTAACTATCTGTTAATTAATTAATGTGTTTGTCTATTCATTCATTCTTCAACTGAAGAATCATCTTGATTAAAAAGAACATCTTACGAGTACTGATTGTATTCAAAGCAGGTCTCTGTTAAATTACTCAGGGCTTCTGAAAATTAAAATTCTTCCATACCTTCTTACAAATAGTAATGGAGATAGGATTTTTTTGTAAATTATTATCTGAATTTATTAACTAGATCTGTAAAAACTCTATGTATTCCTGCATAGTTTGACAGTATTTAAACTGAATTAGTTGCTCCTTTTGGCGGAGTGTTGCAGTATGCCAAAGAAATACTGGATTCTATCCACTCTGAGAATTCTTTATTTTTTCTTTTATTTATTAGCAACTAACTGACACTTTACTCAACTTCTCCTGTTGAAATATTTCTGCCTCTAAATAGGCCATACAGCGTCATAAATTTTTCTTATTCCTCAATATTACTTAGAAAAGTATTATCTAATCTCCAAAAACAGTCCACTAGTTCTCTTTCAGTAAAGGAGCTTGCATGGTTGAAATTTTTACCACTGAGAGGATATAATTAATTCAACAAAAAAGAATATCTCCTAAAAGGGATCAAATTAGTAGCTAATTTTCTAGTGCTGATGTTAAGTTAACCAGGAAATCTTATACCAGCACTTAGACCTATTCATTAAAAATCTATTTAATATTTTTTCAAAGTCTTTTGGAAAAATAAAATAAAATTTTTTAATTTTATTTTGATTGGAGTTTTATTTAAGGTTATTTGAATTTGCTTGCTTTAAAATCTTTTAAAAAAAAACAAGAATTAATTATTTAGAATTTCTTAATGCTCAAATATTATTTTCTTTCTGTTTACTTTTATAACAAATAATTTTTTTATTTAATTATCACAAAAATGAATTAAGATTTTGAATTTGTTCTTTCTTTTTGATTTAATTTTTAAAAATAAAATCAATTTTTTACATCATTTTTACTCCTAAAACAAAATTTTAAACACTAACAAAGAACAAACAACCTACTTTAGTTGAAAGTATAAAGTTTAAGTTGTTTTATAGGCAGGCAGTCTAATTATATTTTAATTTCTGATAAACTTTTTTTTTATTTTGATATAAACCTATTTTAAATTTATTAACTTTATCTTCTTCATAATTATTTTATTATTTTTTCTTCTCTTTTAAAAAATCATTTTTTAAATTGACAAAATTGGCTGTGCTAGCTAATATAACATAATAAGAACAAAAGGAGAAAACAAGTAAGTAAGTAAATAATCAAATAAGGAGTTTTACCTGATATTGAATGAGCGACTAAATAGTTGAGGTGAGAGTATTAAATTTCTTCAATATAAGAAGTTTGCTACTCACAGACACTAATGAGCTTTTAATTATCAAATGGTACTGCCATATTCTGCAAA